GGCATGAGGTGTATTAAAGGGGAGCGCCGAGGACGTCACTCAAAAGAAGAGATGGGCAGTGTAATGCTTTGTTTATGCGACTATCTGACGTTTGGCGGCCACTTTAGAACTTGTCTGGGCCCTGTACACGTGGGCTGGCCTTCGGGCCACGCTCAGGCCCCATTTCTCCTAATGCTTTCGGAATACATGTATTCAACCCCACTTATGCCTTCTACTACCCATTGGAAGCCTCAAGACGCTACATAACTTACTACGTGCTTCCAAACTATAGGAAGTCTCGGGACGCTACAACTAATATTCCAACCCAGTGAAGGCCAAATATTCGTAACGTAACAATTACTTTGAAAAATGACTCACCGATTGCAGAACAAATCATATTCATACTTTTACCTAAACAAAGCATCAAACAGTTTTTCCACAAATTAAATTAGTTTTTATTTTTACTTTTGTTTCATAGTTTTTCAGTGGACTCTTACAAAATCAGCGCGTTTTAAACGTAAACCAATGGTGTAGATGGACTATGTTGCGAGGGTTGTTTCGAGACGGCTTCATCTTTAAAGTAGCCCCACGAACTATCGTTAACCATTGCCTCATGTGTTATGCATCTTTGCACACGAAGGCGCCTGGCGATCTGAGTTCCGAATTATCAGTTTCGACTCACTGTGATAATGCTTACCTCATGCGGAAATATAAAAGAAGGTTGCTGATGATTTTGGCCTCCATTGACACCGATGAGCCTCTGTCCCAAGTGGAGATTACAAATGTTCGTCTTTTTTGTTTCGTTGCTTGAAATTTCTTTTTTGTCTATGTTTTCTGGTGTGTTACATTTAATTTACTTTAGTTAGCTGCGTCACCGGACGGTCGTATTCTCACAGTGTTTTGGACAGTTGGCGCACACCCTTACAATGAGGCGGCGAATCGGAAGGTCGACTTTATTTTGCAAAATGCCAGCAAGAAAATTAGGCAGCGACTATCTCGTGAAAATGCCTTTCGCAAAGTCCCTACTCTCAACTTTATACATGCACCCACGAATTTCTCGGTAGGTTGCTTTTGTACAGCATTATGCGCTAGGCAGATCCACCTAAAGAGCAAGTCGATGCTGATTCCTGTCACATTGTAAAACCGAATAACGTTTATGGTCTGCCATGGGACAAATACATGGACGAAGTAAAACGGAAACGTGTGGGTGACGTTGTAATGGTTGATACTGAAAATGGAAGTGCAGATTGTCTTCGAGATAAAGGTTTATTCTCCTCTCGGTCGGCAAATTGGGCTAAAATGTGGCAAAAGCAGCATGATAGCAAGCTGATCGCGAAACGGGAACGTAGGAGGTCTCAGCAAATGCTTGGTATGTGGCAACTCATCAAAGAAATGGAGGAGCTTGATTAAAATGCTATCACAATGGCCACTTTTGTGCTCTTTGACCGATGCTTGTTTTAAAGGTGGCTGGTTGTTTACATAGTGCTGTAGATGATGTAAAGTTGACAACATTATGTGTAATAATGCAATAAAAATTTTTACCCATGAGGAAGGTATTAATGACGAACATTTCCCAACTTGTAACTGTGGCACTCGAGCCCTCTTAAGGATGGCGTATGGGAAGGTCTACTAATAATACCCCCATGGATCAGTATTTCATTGACAGAGATGGCGTGAAAATAGGAATGATGGTACTGAGGTGAAAATGAAAGCAGGAGAGGCATTTAGAAATTGCTAATCTACTTTCAAACTTGTTCTTGATTTATGCAGATGCATCTGAAGGATGGAGTGGAAGGGGTGTTGTCGCATGTCTGCTGAGCCCTTAGGCAAGATGGTGGCACGTGGCTGTTGATCAATACTACGGGTCATGGCGAAGCACACTAGCATTTCCATCGATGATGTTGAGCGGGAGTTGCATCGCTTATCAACAAGCTCGTCTGATGTAGCTACGTGCAACAGCACCACCACCACTACCTCTACACTCAACACCAGCAATGTTGAGAAGGGGACAGAATCCGAGTTAAGTAGCCATAGAAAACGTGAGTATCCTTCCCCGCCACCAGAAAGAATTGGTCGTTTTCGGTACTCTCTCTTTGTAATGGGCACGTATGTGGGTTTGGGGAACTGCGTCTTTTTCTGTTGTCTTCCTCTACTGGCATTCGAGAACATTTTTCGCGCTATGGGCTATCCTCAGCCCATCTCTTTCCTCTGTGCTACCTGCCATGTGCCTATAGCCACATTTTGTATGTGTCCATGTATTCTCTGCAAAGTAAGGCGTCAATTTCGTAAGAAAAGGAAGATAAAGGGAAGCTTCATACTCGATTGCCTTCTATCCTGCCTAATGTGCTGCTGTGTTGCTACGCAACTTCTCACGGAAGCACGTGCCGTCATTATAGACAAGAGGAACGGAGTTGGCAAATCTGAGGATGGAGGACGATCAAAATGATCGTTCGATTTCTTGACATCCTTTTATTAGTGCGAAATACAGTACGTTGGTGTCTATAAACTCCTGAGAAGCATTCGCGTGACATTTGCCTTAAAAACTTTAACTTGCATCCGCAAATCACTGATTTCGAAAAGTTGTTTCATTTTACTACTATGGAGTAGCGATCGAAAAGTGTTGTTTTCGGGTAGGCTGAAGTCTCCGCAGGCGATAGTATGGCGCAATGATCGGTTCACGAGGTTATTTATCAAATCCTTAAGTCAATGTTGAGACTTGAGCTACCCTCGAAGTGATTACACCTACTTTCGAAGTGGATACATGGTAGTTGAAGGCCTCTAACATTGAACGTTGGACTGAAATTTGGGATCCAATAGGGAGCATCTAGTGTCCCGAAACTTTCCACTGGGTAGAAGAAAGCATTAAGTGAGGTCGAATATATATAACCTGAGGAGAGAAAAAAGATAATGTCCTGAGCTTGGTCCAAAGGCCAGCCTAGGCTAAAATGGTCAGACAAAATATAAAGTAGGAGCCGGACACCAGGTGGTCACATGAAAAAGCATGACAGACCACACCAGAGGTAGAAACGGATGTTGATAATAAACGCTCTTGAAGGTAACGGAAAAACCACAATGAAATTCTCCCATTGTTGCGTCGGTAACTAAGTCCCAGTACTGTATAAATCGGGGAAAACTGGCCGTATATCCATGCCGGCAATCCTAATTCTCCTTCATTTTATAAAAGTAAGCATTTATTCCCCATTTTATGCACGCAGCTGCGCAACGACTTCGCAAAATGAGGTTTTTTAACTAACAAATTATCAACCGCATTAAAACAAAGGGGCTTCGCGATTTAAACTTATCTAAAATTCCACTTATTCTCATTTTTTGCTTTCGATTTGACTAGCTTCTCCTAGCATTTGCAGGCCCCGCCTCCCATTGGATGAGCAGTTTGTTTTCTCAAGGTCGTGCTGGTAAGCCGCATCCAATCGTGACGATGTGGCCTGGATTAGTTTGCCTTCGCTATCCTCCCAAACTGCCGCGCTATGCCGTCTTTGCTTGTATATCTTGGTGATGATCTGCCAATACAAAGTGACTGAGATCTAAATCACTCAGGTTAATTAATAATTTTAGAGCTAATGTGCTTTACGCTCTTACATTGCCTTGTGTTTTACGGTTCACCTCTTTTGGTATGCTGCCGCGATATGGGTATATAAACACCATTAAAAACACTCCTTTATCTGTTGGTTTGATCCGATCAGAGGGCGAAGAGGGAGTACACATGTAGCCTTTGCAGCTATATGACTTTTAACAGTCTTCTCTTTAGTTGTGTACGTCTTGTAGAGCAATGAGCAGCAGTCGCGTGCTGCCTTTATCCGATGCCGCTTTGTTTACGGAAGATTTATGGGGACGCCTTAATTGGCTTTATGATCTGTTCTGGCGAATTGATAATTCATAAGGACTTCTAAATATCTTGGCACGACTTTGTGTGCCTTTTTACCCCCTCTTATGGGTGAATCCATCATTTTTCTTCTTCATCCCTTCGCGGTACTTATTGTCGAACTTCTTTCGCACGCATTTTCGTGTTCTTTGTACGAATAAGAAGCTCATACATGTATTATTATTGACATCTAATAGTCAGACACTAGAGCTCATCCCTTAGTCCACCATGTTGAGTCAGTTGATACATCTTCATATCTTGCAGCAATTCCCCATGCTCGGTGGCTGGGCTGTCCAGCCAAGCTTCATACGCCTCAGAGACTTCGGCTTGCGTTAACCTGCCATCGGAGTTCACATCCGACTCTGCCATCAAGTTCTCGGCTTCTCTTCGGGCATACTTCTCTGCTTCTACAAGGAATGGGGAGAAGTGTTAATGGAGCCACCAAGCCCATAAGCTGCACAACTTTAAAGCAGGATTCACCAAACGCACTGGGAAAATTGCTCTGTAGCCCCGTTCAAACTACAAAATGCTGTGCTCATGACCTAATATGCATGCATGTCTTTGTTTATGAGCAAGGCCTCTTCTTTTGCTTGCCTCCATCTCACCTACCTTCAAGGTAGTGAAGCCTCAGCTCATCGGTGTCTGCATACCCATCGCCATTTTTATCGATGTCTGCGAATCGCTCCTTCTCGTACTCCAACACTTCAACATCCTTGCTGTCTGAAAGGTGAAAAACGCCGTTTATGCCACTGAATTTTACTTACATTAATGGCATGAATTGAGCGATCCTTGTTGTGAGCCTTTTTGCTATTCGCATTGACAATGTAGCGTGATAGAGTTAAGCCACTTCTATTGGGGCGTCATTTTGCATCTGCCCAACTCACCAGCTAGGTATTCTTCCAAGTGGAGTCTTCCATCCCCATTGTAATCTTGGTGACGCAGAACCTCGCTCACAACGTAGGCCGCCATATGACCATGGTGGTGTGGTGAGTTGAAAGCCACAAGCTCCTCCACGTCCAACTGCCCATCTCCGTTCACGTCGGCTCTCGCGAATCTCTCCATCTCATCATCCACTGACTTAGATTGTGCAAATGGGCAAGAAAAGCGTCAAAACTATTTGACTTACAGAAATACTTACTTGAAGCAAGTAACGGAGTTTGCACTTTGTGATTTCGCCTAGTTCACTTGAACTACTTCTCACTTGGACAGATGCCACTGAGGCGGACCTTGGCAGCATTATTTCAACACTTTGCACTTAGAATGGCATTCAAACGACAGCTTTTGCATGCAAGTCTGTTGATGCATTTTAAAATTAATAAATGAAAAGCGGGTTTGAGCAGGTAAGCTGGGTGTGTGGCAAACTCATGGACATTCGAAAGGAAGAGTGAAGGCATCTAATCTCTACCTCAAGGATCTGGCGAGATTCGGTCGAGCTGTCCTTGCGTATCGCTTCGATCTCTTGCAGCGTGTAGCCAAAGTTCTCATCCATGTATTCTGCCATGGAGACGTAGCCGTCATTGTTGGTATCCTGCCTTTGGAGCATCTCTCTTGCCGCTCTTTTGTCCGCTCGACTGAGTGCGCAATTAGGAAGGAGGATTATATTATGCTAGCCAGGACATTGGCATTCCATCTCGATACTTTCTCTCCTCCACTCTCCTATTTGCTGTTTTAAAATGCTACTAAACTCAGCTTTAGGCATTATGAAACAGGATTTGGTTTAAGGAATACCGTAATTTGTATGTTAGAGACTTGCCTGAAAACTGCGTTAATCCAAGTCACCAGTTCGTTTACATCTACCTCTCCGTCGTGCGAGGCGTCAATCATATTAAAAAGGCGACCCAGACGCTCTTTAGCTTCATAAGGATGTGTACTTAAGTCCTCGGCATAGGACAGTGCTTGTGCGAAGAAGAAGCAAAGTAAAAGATCACGGCTGCGTGCCATGGCGTCATGAAAATGGTTTCCGGTGGTTAAATAGAGGTGCTCCAAAATGCTGGTCAGACGTGGCCACATGGCGAATTCGACACGTCAGGCAGTTTAGTTGACGCCCCAAGTTATAAAGCAAGTAGGGTAGGCACTCAAAGCCTTAATGCATTTGCTATATACGGTTTAAATATTCCACAATCTGCACTATTAAGAGGTAGTCAATGGGACATGCATCCGGCCTTGTATTTCTATTTGAGCATTGTGGATTTTGCCTTTGGAACAGTTTTACGACGGTGCAGGAGCTATCTCTGGCACACGTCCGAAACCTCACACCATGTTGTAATGCCGTAATTATTTCGCCACTCAATGTGATCTCCTGCACCCAGGACGATCCCAAGGCTTCAGTACAGCTTGCCGAGCATCGGAAAGGTAGGACTATTGTTTTATATCCCTATCCTCATGGGGGCGATTGCATTGCGTGAATAGAACAGAAGCTATGCAAAATTACTTCGTTCCCATTTATTCAGTCAAAATTAACAAATGCGTAGCTAGGCTCATTGCCTTCTACGAATGGGTAAAACTCGGGACGATTTGGAGGATAAAGGTAGTAGTCCTAGTACAAATGATTGTTTGTCGATATTACTTGCAGCACAAAAAGTAAGTAGACAGCACGAGATGGCTTTATGTACCTCCAAGAACAAGCCTAATACAATACTTTGGTTATGTGACCACCTGATGTGCGGAGGTAACTTTAAGATTGAGTTAAAGTTGTCACCAGAATATATGCAAAACGAATGATCATAAATATAAGTGGTTATTTCGTTTGTGAATGAGACACCTTGAGACGACAGCAACACTTTGATCATAGATAGTTTTCATTTGTCCTTTTGAATCAACCGAAAAAAGCGTACATTCACGCTGATCTTGAAAGCGTGGTTTTGCATCGATTTCAGAACTAGCTGCATTTATTTCCTTTCTCGGGATGCATGTAATCTGCGCAACTTAATATATTCTTATACCTAGTTAGGAGTCTTTAGAGGAATACAATGTGCGTTGTGCAGGAGCATGATTCAGACACCTATTTAGGGAGGTAAAATTAATTTCTGAGATAACCTAATAACATTTCCCTATGTCACGTTAGTAGCTTTTTTATAAAATATAAATAACAAATTCAAAACATTATAGTTGGTATAGTAAATAATGTCACAAAATTAATGGATCCTTGTCCATTCCAGTTTAGCATTTATTCATTTGTTTTAGTGAATAAGGGCGTCCGCGAGTTCTATGAGTTTTCTCAGTAAAGGGTTATTAGCCCATCAAGTGTTGCTTCAGGAATCTGGGTATGGATGTTCGAGATGTCCTCGGGTATAGCGTAAGCTCTTGTCTTTATTGTTGATTTTTTTTATAGTCTAGTGGTAATCCCTCTGGTAAACGAAGTATGAAGCCGCCTGATCCCCCGACTTTGGGACTTGGTAAATCTAGTGATCCTCTTGCAGAACCCAGGCCCAAGGCTCCGAGAACGGACGATTATAATGGATTAGGATCAAAGTTGGATTCTCTTAAAGGTGTGGAATGGTTGTTTGTTCCATATACTTGATCTATTTCGATTCTAATCTGGACTCGTAATGGTTTGTAGAAACAGATGGTGACATTTTGGCGGGCGGTCGAAGTGAGGCTGATGATGAACTTGGCATGGTTAGTGAGGATGACATAACTGAGTCGACTGTGAGGAAAATGTGCACTCTCCTTGAAAAGCGTATTTTGGCCAATCAGGAAGCTCGCACCAAATTCCCAGATCAACCGACCAAATTTATGGACTCAGAGGTTGAGCTGCAGGAGACTCTTGAGAGCATGCAGGTGGTCTATGACTTCATAGAGTTATACTTTGTTTTAAACTTAGATATTGGCGGCGAATCCAAATCTCTATGGTGTTTTGGCTGCTCAGACGCGGCCTCTTCATTTGCTGATTGGTCTGCTGTCGCATGACAACACAGACATTAGTGTCAATGTCATAGACCTCCTTCATAGTCTTCTTGAGCCAACTGGTCTGAAGGACTCTGACTCCGATGCTGTTGGGCCTCTGTTGGAGTTTTTCTTTTCAAATCAACTGGTACAGCTTTTAACACAGAATCTGTCGCGTCTTGATGAATCAGTTCGTGACGAGGCTGACGGTGTTCACACAACCCTTGGTATTATCGAAAGTCTTTTGGACATCCGTCCTGATATGGCAGTGACCATCGCTCAGCAGGGTATATATTCTTGGCTCCTGCGACGAATTCAAAGGCGACAATTTGATAAGAACAAGCTCTATGTGTCTGAAGTGTTGGCTATTCTCCTTCAGCTAGACGATGCCAATAAGACGCGTCTGGGTGAGATGGACGGAATTGACGTTCTACTACAGCAGCTTGCTGCCTACAAGCGTCACGATCCGGGTAGCCGAGAGGAGGCGGAAATGATGTACAATCTCTTCGACTGTCTCTGCTCTACTCTCATGCTTGCTCCAAATAAAGACAAATTCCTCAAAGGGGAGGGTGTTCAGCTAATGAATTTGATGCTGCGGTGAGTACTTGGTTGCACTTTTAACGTGCACCTAAATTGCTTGTTACGCTTAGGTGCCTTTCGGTTCCCAATTGATGAATCGGAATTTTGTTTTTTTTTATGTTTTCCGGCATTGAGAGCTGTCGCATTCGCTTTGGCGTCGAATTGTCTTTGCATTTTGAAATTATTGTCTGGATGCTAGATCAACAGCTCACAGTTGTGCTGCATTGAGTCCTCGAAAGTCCTGACAGCCATCCTGAATGTTTGTCGTGGTAACCCTGTAGGAGTTGCTGATAGTCAAGCATAATTTAGCTAGTCGCAAAGGAACGCGAAGAGATTCAACCCGTTTTCTGATCAATTCCGGAACTTAAGAAATTTTATCAGCAAAAGAGGATTTGTTCTTACTATATCTAATGATTGTCTTCCTCATGTGGAGAGGAGTGAGCGAAGTTTAGAATTGTTTTAAATCTTGAATGGTTGGTTCTTAAACCACTTTAAGTGTCCACAGTACCGTAATTGAATCCCTTGTTGGAAACTGGGATTTCCAGCTTTGATTAATATCAGGAGGCCTTTGATGTGTTAACAATTCAGCATAGCATTTTATAATATTGTTAATGAATAATCTATCTGTTTTTCTATGCCGTGCCAACGCAGCGAAAGGCATGCTGCTCGCGACTGTGCATTGAAGGTGCTGGATTATGCGATGTCAGTGGTGGCGCCGGGTGAAAGTGGCAGTGGTGGAGCTTTCCTACTTTCAGAAGGCGAGGCGGCAGCCGCCGCAAATTGCAATAAATTTGTGGAGGTGCTCGGTCTACGCACTATTTTCCCCCTTTTTATGCACAGTCCCCAAGCCAAAGGGGCTAAACTAGCCGCAGCAATTCGTGAAAAGTCGCTCCCTGGACCTACCTCAGCGGAGATGGAGGAGCATATAATCAGGTGTGCAGCTTTTATGTTTGTTGATCTTCATGTGCCATGCCTTTGTCGGTTCCATATGAAAGTATTTAGCTACCTTGCGACACTTTACTGGCGTTCGGTCCTTTACTCTCATTATGCATGCGGACTTATTCTATCCGATCTGACTGATCCATTTGGTGAATATGGCTGTGATTTTAGTGTCCACTTTTCTGTGTGTGTGTGTGCGCGTATTTGCGTATGAGCAAAATTTTTCTCCATGCGTAGTATTGTGGCTGCTCTATTGCGACAATGCACCGGTGCCTATCTCCATCGCGTGTTGGCCAAATTTACAGAAAATGAGCACGAGAAGGTGGATCGACTGGTGGAGCTGCACTTCCAGTATCATGAGCGGGTAACTAAAGCGAATGCGAAAATTGAAAGTTTTCGCGAAGTAAGCACTCTCTAGTCTCTCCTTTGTCCCTTCTTGTTCATTCACCCTCGTTATGGCATTGAAAATCCCCTTTGCATTCCACTTTTCAGCGCCTGTCCAAGCGTCCGGATATTGGCAAGGAAGAGCTGGATGAAGTAGTCGCCTTGAAGCGCATGGACAGTGGTCTTCTCTCCCTCCAACTGATTGACGTCTCTCTCCTTTTTATTGCCGTCAATGGGGCATCCTCTGTAAGTTCAATGAAATCTATTTCCTTCTCCCTCCCATCCAGCTTCATTGTATAAATCTATGTGTATGCCAATAAAGCACTTGAGGTGAATAATGCGATCCACGTTTTATAGATTTTTCCATGCATTCAACGCTTCCTGAAGATGCGAGGTGTGTCAACATCAACGCTTGTAGAGACTGTCAGAGGTGAGTTTTCCTGCCACCATTATTTTACATCCTTTCGCGCTGCATTCATCTATGACATTGCAACTGCTACTGTCATCAAATTTAAGCATACCAGACAGTGTGGTGTAGTTTTGGCTCTTGTATTTGTTATTGAAAATCGCTCCTTGTTAATCAAGCACCAAGATGGTACTCATTCCACTTTACTGTTCATCAGTCGAATGCATTTCGACAGTGGTGTTGAATGCTTTTCCCTTCAAAATGTAGCCGTTGCACGTTTCGCCATACGATTAGTAGTCATGGGGCCTGTTTACTACTTTAAAGTACTCCGACTGCTCTCGAGATTGGCCCTCACTTTCATTTTGCCGCAAACGAGCAAAGATTGTTCCACCTCCATTGCTTTTACACTTGTTTAGACTACGCAGAGAGTCTGGGTGAGAGTCGAACCGCCATGACGACGGAGAAAGCGCGGGTTTTGCGTCTCATTGGCAAATTCGGTGAATTGAACTCCAAATCCTCCTCAGCTGTTGCCGGTGATCGCAACCACCCTCCACTTTAGTCACAATGAGCCCCTTTTTAGTAATTTAAATCGTGCATAGTTGTGATTTTTTTTGGTCTTTTCATGTCAGAGGCAGCGCGGTGCAAGGTCTCCACACAGGGCGGTTCCGTGTGCAGTAATTGCTACTAATTTTGTATTAAGTAGGAGCCGGATCCTGTTGTATAAATGTTGACGGAAGTTGGAAGAATGGTGTAGACGTTATTAATGTGGTAAGAGCTTCGTTATGGTGGCAATGCGGAGGTCAGAAGGCAGGAGACAGTGGCTAGGGACAGAGTACGTTTACGTGATTGCCAACCGGTTAGGTGTTTTGTGTGGCACCGATGTGATTTGGAAGTGAGTTGCTTTTATTTTAGGAGAGGGGGCGTCAAGACGCCTGAAAATAACGATGAGCTTTAGTATTTGTTCTGTGTTGATTGCCTACTTTGTGCCAGCAATTTTGACAATGCAGTGTGTGACAATCGGATGGAGCTCCTACGCAAACCACCAATTAGAACTGCACAGATCTGACATCTCTATCCCTCTTCCGTCACGACTTCCCCATTTCGTGTGCGCATGCAAGAGATCCACCCCCTCCCAATCATGCCACTATGTCATAATTTACCTCCGACCATCGACCAAACTCTCGCCCCGTCGATTTAGCAGCTCTCAACCATCCTATCTTCATTGACGCCAGCTGCGGAAACGCCACCTCCTCCTCCGCCATCGTTGAACTCATGCTACACTATCCACTCGTCTACAGCTCATTACCTCCACATTCTCTCATGCGAAATATGTTAAGCAAGTAAGTATTGGAAACGATATCTCCTCAGCACCCTTTGAGGATCGACGAGTTTGGGGAGAGCCTCACACGAGTAACAACCCGTACGACGTTACAAAATTATAACGGGCACTCATTTATTGGGTTGGGAAAACAATTATTACCTCCACAGCAAAAGAATCCGAACACCTTTAGTCTGTGCTTTCAATGGCCCGCTTTGAAAAAGCTGCAGAATTTTCCTTTTAATCCTGGGTTTCTACATCCTTGACTGAAAAATTTATGCTTTTATTTCGCTTAAGCCTTGCACATTATCTAGTCTTGTGCAAGAGTTTTTTTTGGGCTAAGAACATCTTTTCTTCTTTGATTGTAACTTTTTTACTTCTGTGAGAGGGCGATTTCAGCTGCTTTAACGGGATTGAAATTTTACATTCGAAATGGATGGATCTTGCACAACTGTGGGGGCGACATTTGTGCATCTACGTGTCGCCACAGGGCTGCCCACTGAGCATTGATTGACAAAATTCGGAGGTTCGTAGCTCGTCTTTTGACAGAAAAGGCAGGGATTTACGATGTTGTATTACTTTGATTCTTGCACTAAAAACGGTTGCTTTGATATGTATCGTGTTTTTGTTCGCTTGGGCTGGCTTGCAAGCCAATTCCAATTCAGATTCCTGCATTCTCTTCATAGTAGTTTATATTTAGACCTACTTGTTGCCATCTAACAAATGGCATTGCTCCAAGGCCAGCTCACCCGGCAGAATTCAGATGGCCTCCATTTTATGCGGGAAGTCGAAGTGACAAAGGTTTGTACATAAGGATGCCTCTACCAATCCAAGTGACATGAAATGGCTTAACGTTAGGTGGTAATCACCAGTTTGGAACATCCTGCTCGTGCCAAACAAAAGAAATGTCAGATACGGGGTCTTTTTATTCAATGAAGTGTCTTATTTTTTCAATCACGTAAATTGTCGCATCGCACAATTTACACGAACGCCGAAATCGTGTTGCAGTCAAAATTTCTCCTCTTACACACCACTGCTCCTTCTTTTACTCTTTGCCATTCAATGGCATTAAGACAGAACACTAAAATCTGTCGGTAATCAGACTACCGACCCGAAACTGCCCATAGGGTGGAAGAAGGCAGTAAGTGTGACTGGATACATTTATTCCGAAGGAAACAGAGCAAATGGGCCTGAGCGTGGTCTGAAGGCCAGGCCGCGAGTACAAGGTCCAAGCAACTCTCAGTGACCGCCGTACCTCAGGTAGTCACATAAACAAAGCATTACAATCTGTGCCGTTCTCAGGGAATACAGACCGAATTTTGAGGCCAAGTGGTCCTGTTTTTAAAAAGCCTATAACAGTAATTCGAAGTGAGTCTTGTGTAGCCATTGGCAGTGTTAAATCCTGCGTTGGTGCGAGGGTGAATATAAACACCAATCTCCCCGAGGGATAGGTAGATTTTTTAGGCTGGGTTTAGGCTGTCAGTAGAGTATTATCTGTCGAGTCTTCATTTAAGTACAACAATGAAAACAAGGAAAACCTTTGAGAAACGTTTTTGCGCATAAAACTATGACGCCATGAAAGTTGAAGTTGAAGGCGGTAGTAATGAAAATTGGAATCTCAATGAGTGCTGGAAGTGAGGAGTTCTATAAAGGAAGGAGGTACATGGACATTCCCACAATCACAGCCATAGTATGACTTCACCAAATCCTGCGAAGGTGTCACTGCACGTGTTCCTCTGCGGCAGGACTACACGCAGTGTTGCAACAGTGTCTTCGTCATTAAGGTGAGGAGAATGAAGGAAGCAGAGAGTGTGCCCATCTTTCCCCTAGCTGACAGAGGGAGAGAAGGTCATGCACTGATGGTTCACCTTCGGAAAATGTCTGAGGCAGGGCACAGGATCTTATTTTAAACCCTTTGGTGCTACAGGCTCATCAACGATGCCTGGTTAGGCACAAGGCTATTAGGTAAGAGGAATTGGCCGGGCCATCTCTGTAATCTTACATTCCCGTTTCTGGTAGCGATTGACAATTATTTCCGTCCATTTTAGATGAAATATGCTGCCAAATTTTCTGGTGTTATCCATAGCTGCTAATAAGGGAACCCACAAAGTTGTAATTCTAACAACTATCCATGTGGTAAAACAATCAAAGAGGTGTAAAAGCCCTGTTGTTTGGGTAATGGAAGAAGTAGGAGAAAGCGGGGAAGATGTGTGTAAATGTATTACTAGTTGGCCTTAAAATGAGCATCCACGCTTTGACGTATAGTATAACTAAATATACTTGAGCATAATGCGACTTGAAAAGGGGAGCATTGGCCCACACAAGAAGGTTAATGATCTGGACACGGCTGGAAGGGTGTGTGAGTGAGCAGCGAAATCTGGTCCTCTGTAGGAGATGCATAGCCTCTGTGTGCCGGGCACACACACATGTCCTCTTATCGTTTCGCGTTCTACTTAAATGTGGCAAGTAGTATAGTTGAGATGCCCCATAAAAAGGAGTATGAAAAATTTGTTTTACAATGTGGCCTCCTGCTTGACTAGCAATACTTTTAATGGAGTTCATGGCACTGAGTCGGTCTAACCGCTGAGATTGCGAGGCTGATGCATTGTTTAAAAGGGCGGGGATCTCATTGTTATTGCTATTGTTGTTCTTATTCTTCTTCCTCATTCTTTTTTCAACCAAGTTTATCAAATCTTCTATCCAACACATCACAGCAGAACAGCTGATTAGGTGCAGGCGGAGTATGTCGAACTCCTCTTGGAACTTGGGACCAAGGTAATGCTCGACTTTCCAACTGACGTCGCTTCTTGGAACATTGAGTAGTCAAACAGTTCAAGGGAGGGAGGGAAGGAGGACGGAGGAGGAGAGAAGGGGCTGAAGTTTCAACGTCTTCCAGACGGGAGGGGAGAGAACATGTCCACTCATGCAGTTGGAACGTTTTATCAACTACTGTAGTCAGTCGAGATGCCATATTTTAATTGTGCCTCTCATTAAGTCTGTAGCAACTTCCACCGAAGCTAAAGACTGGAAAAAGATCACCCAAAGGGCACTTTGCAAGTCACGTGAAGTGTGGTAAAAGCAATGTGTGGGTAATTTCGACTCCACTTTTCGTGCTTGCCTCCTCCTTACTACGTGGACCGAAAAGCGGTGTATCTTTCAACAAAATTACCCTTCGTTGAGTGGATTGTAGGGATGAGGGAGAAGGCGAAGTGATGCGCTACTTCATAGGTGCGAGATGATGATCCAAGGCTTAAGTTGAAATACATAACACTGTTCTTGAAAAGCAATGCTATGAAGCTTCCTGTCGTGGTGCTAAAAAAGTTAACAAATTACTGCGCTTTCGTTCAATTGGCTTGGTGATTCAAAGGGAACCAAACGAAACATAAAATGTGCACTTCATGGATGTAAAAAAAGGTCAAGTCATGCCAACTGCGAATCCAACCCTGTGTCATTAACCTCTGCTGGGAGGGAACTGAGGCTGCCCGACTGACCCTCCTCCTCACCTGCACACATTCAAAAAACTCATCCAATGTCCTTCGCTCACCGATCGCGCGAAAGGACAATGAAGATGAGAGAAATGTCGCAAATAGATTTATGGGACAGAAAATGGAGAAATCCAAGCAGATCAACTCCTTACAGCGAAATATCATCATCGGTGTTGAATATAAATGATCTGAAAGGCAAAACGAGGCAATGCAGAAAGGTATTTTCCTCTCCCCACGAAACTATATTAAGTCCTGTGCCTTGTCACATGATCCTGCTGTCAGACTTATTTTAGTGGGGCTATTGATGAAGGCGAGTGGATGCCCAGCGCATTCCTCCGTCTCCCTTCATCCCTCCTATGCATGCAAGACAAAGCTCCAGGTCTTGTAGGTTTGTCGAGCGAAAAAAACAATAACTTTACCATCATGCATCACCCGAGCGAACACAGATTGGAATACTTGTTTCGGCCACTTTGTTTTGTGATGGCTGTTAGGGGTGTAGAGGAAACATGAAGAAGCTCAAATTTATGCTAGCAGGTCATTTGGATGCCCTTGGAGTAGTGTTTTTGTTTTATTTATTTACTCCTCTTTGGTCAACGTGTGTTGTTTTTGTCTCTCTACACGAAAATACGGGATAGTTGCAATGGCTTTTACACTCCCTTAGGACGTTCAAGTAATTTGCAATGAGTAAATTCAAAGAACCACCCTCACCGCGCCGAAGGAGGTATTCAAAACGAGTAGACTTCTACCACGCTTTTAATATGCATGTATGTGAAAATATTGAAAAGGTGAGGTCAGTTTAAAGGCTAACTTAGCAACTAGATGTAATAAGTACGCAATCCACCATTGCGAACCCTTCAGATATTGTCACTGTGTCATACAAAATTCGCAATGACTCCTATGCCAATGCACAAAATCGAGGACCGCCTATGTTTCTTGTGAAAGCATTAAGAGGACGAGGAGGAGGAGGAGGAAGAAAAAGAAAAACCAGAAGGAGAAGAAGAAGGAGAGAATGTTCAGGAGTGAGATATTGAGGCAATAATTGTAGGTGAGTCGCAATCGTTGGAAGGTAAAGGTGGTATCATAGAGGAAGTCATTCTGCTCTCTATCTGGTGCTGTGTAGAGACCTTGAGACTTTAAATAAATGTACATAGAAACGGATTTCCCAACTTCTATACTTCAGTGCGCCGACGCCTTCAATTTGAGCAGGGATTTTAACATCCAGTTGTAGAAGGACATTCGTACTGTGGGTATGATAAAGTTCTACAATTAAAAAAAGGTGTAAAAATATGGTAGAGAGAATGACAGAGCTACGAAGCACAAGATTGTTTCACTCTCTGCTAGTGTAGAGGAGCGATGATTCCCACCTCCCGGATAACCCACTATCAACCCAAGTACTAAGCTTTTAATCTTCTACTGAAAGGGCTCAGCACCTGATGAGACTTCAACATGATAAGCAGGTACCGCTTTAAAATTTCGAAGCTGCGGCGAAGTCATTCCAAAGTGCTTGTTTTAGCATAAGAAAATTTGATCGCTCACGAGCCGTAATTATTGAACAATGAAAGTTACACGTGCTAGCCTAAATTACAACAACAAAGAAGTGAAGCCAAACTAGCATTTTCCCTACATGGCGCTTTGAACTTGATGTCATGGCCGTTCATCAACCAGTGTCAAGGAGTCCTGATGCTGCACTAAGATGACCTCAAAAATCACGGCTTAAGATGAATAGCCAATGTAGATGGACTTGTGGAGAAAAGAAATCTCGTACAAGCTGCACTAGAGGGACTGACAGCACCCAGGCACGTATTGGTCTGTGGGTGTGATCCACTGAATACCAAGCGGGCCACAGCATTGACATCTCACGTGGTGCCGTGGGTGGGTGCGTGCGTGACTGTGGCTAAGCTGTACGACAAACGTAAGCGTTACCTTGGTTATGTAACTCCCACCACTGCAATCACAACGTGGAGACAAGTCTGAGGGCGAAGTGATTGAGAGAACAAGTGCAATTTTCAGCAGCAACGGCAATTATAGCAGCAACAAAACAATCGCTCAGGTGCATTTCTTGATTTTCGAAAACTGTGCTTGTTATTTTTTCCTAACCAATTTACAAAATGTTCAAAAAATTATCATTTTTTGTTTTACAAATACAGCTTGCGTATATGAAAGCTCGAATGGCCTTGAGAGAGGGCGGGCGTAACAACCGAGCTACATAACTCAGTTGCTCATGGCGTAGGCCGTGTTTTGCGCTCGTTCGACTTGGTTGTTGAGAGGTGACAGACTTCTGTTATAATTCCTGATAATTTCTTATGCAAAGAGGTTTTTTGGCTTCATTAAGGTGATAGAAGATATAACGACCTACTTAGGGTTATCTGAGGCTATTAATGTTATAGCAGGGCTTCTCCTTTTATCGAAGTGGCTGAGGATTTGCATTGGCGAAAAGTGCATGATTTTATGGCTGTTTGTAGGCATTAATCGCTCATGTTTGTGGTAATCTACATAGATCTTGTGTCACTAACGCAGTACAGTTCAGGTCGTTCGATCATCGATACAGATTTACATTTTTCAACACATTTTTATCCTCATCACAAGCGTGGCTGTGATGACGAGTTCGGCACCTGACTCTTTCATGTGCCGCCCTCTGGCAGGGTAAGGTTGACACAAATGCAAAGTTTCTATATTAAATGCACCTACATTGTGGTTGCATTTTGATGGGAATCCTACAGTAGTTTTATGTGCCGAGTTTACTTTTCTTCTATTCCACGCTTCACTTTTTGTCGTGTGCAAACTTTATGTTTTCTTTTCCATCGATAGCAGCGCTCAGAAGCACACTTGCAAAACTATTACGTGAGAGATCGCGTATCAATCATCGTTACATGGGGCAGTACTTTACGGACACTTGCAAATAATCCCAGTAACGGTCAGTGTTATATCCGATCCTAATCAAAGGTCGGGAAAAAGGACTACAGAGGGTGAATGTTGAGAGGTCATGGCAGGGGAATGTACCGCCCTTCGAGCAGGCCAGAGTATAATTGTCACTCGCGCTAATACATCTGACTTTATAATTTGCACACATTTGTCTCATCGGCGCAATTGGTGCACAAATTTGTAATAAAAATTGTGTAATCAAGATCTCACCTCAGTAATGAAAATTGGCATCATGGTTTACTTCCAAGCTGAAATGGGATCTAATTTTAAGTAGAAAAGGTTGGAATTAAGGGGTCTCAATTCAGTAACCGTCTGCTGTAGGCATGTAATGTATTAATTTTTACCTTGATGTTGGCGGTGGACCCTTTAGATTTTACAATGTATTATTTGCAGTTTGGTGTGAACCCCAAGACGCTGGCGATCATCATCCATGATGCATATTCTGTTCAAGTCTCATAACTTCAACCTTTAGGAGTCTCGAAGTGCTAGGGTTAAAGTCAAGAATGCATTAGTCTCGAACTTCTTACTATACAACCCTTAGCAGTAGATTGTAAGGAGGCTCTGTCAAACATTGAGAGTCATTGCTAGCCATCTGACAGGAATTGCTGAGGCGGTCACATGCCTTAATCAGGATGGTAACTCACGTTTGAAAGAAAATTGTTCTTCCTCGAGGTCATTGTAACGGTGATTCTGCAGGAGCCTTTGGGCAAGCTCTTGACAGTAAAATTCACCACCGTTTGCATGAGATCGTTAAAGCCAATAGCGAAGCGCATTCCCTCCACAATTTCCAGAACTTCGGCCTTCATTTTATTGTTTTCTTAAAGGAAGAGACAAGGTAATCCGAACCTGCGCCACTAGAGTATTTGCATCCTAAGCATCCAGTGCTAAGTATGTTTAAGTCATAGAGGCTTGCCTACTTCCCTCGAAAATGCCCGACTAATTGGTGCAAGGTACACCACACCCGCTATTAGGTACGTATTCGGTTTTATTCACTGAACAGAATCGCATCTTAAATGTTGAATTCTACATAAATCACTCCTCGTTAGTGCAATTAGTTCAAGCATTGCAAACAAAGTCCCTAAAAATAGGATGCGCCTAATTGCCCCTACGAAATACCTACCATCTATCAACTACACTTTTGAACGGCAATCTCTATTTTGTCCACGGCACATCTGGTATATGCTTTTAGCCTTGGCTTAGCGCGTTTTAATAAGCTAATTGTGCACAACTTTTGCACATAGAAATGAAAAAAAATGCATAGGAAGTCTACCCACCAGCTTGCTACTTAAACCCATCTAAAGTAGCACCGTGTCGCCGATCCTTACAAAAGTATCGCAAAAACTAGTGACTTTGATTGCATTTAGCAATTTTAGACGTTTTTATAAGGAGCTAAGGGCATAAGTCTGTAAAAATTGATCGCTTAAGTAATTCCCCACCACTTATGCCCTTTTGGTTTGACGATACCCTTAACTCTACTAAAATGCAAAGCTTTACCAACATAATTTTTTGAGAAAAGAAGTTCGAATTCCGTCCCAACCATGGCGCTGGATGGATCGACATCGGAGGTGACAGCCTTGACTGAGTCCAACCACGAGGGATAGCGACTAAAATTGGTGACATATTGAAAGCATCGCATGGCCTGTTGATTAAGAATGATGTCCTGTTCGAAAATCCTCGGTCCAGGGGTCACACAAAGGTAGGCCACAATCGCGGCCAAAATGACCACCGCAGGGAACCAGAAATTCATTCAAACGACCGTGCAGAAGTAACAAAAAGGCAAGATGTTGCCTATGTTGCCCTGCCTTCCTTTCGCCTGCCTTAAGACTGCTGGCACCACCGTCCTTCGACCAATGGCTTTGAAGTTGGTGTCCAAGCTTCAAGTCGGCTTTGACCAATCAACGAAACCCTCTATCAACCAATGGAATGCCAAGTTTGATCTTCCTCCTCTCCTCCTCCTCCTCGGCTCCAACAGAGCAGTGGCTATCAACTTGAACTAGTGGTAGGTGCCTTTGTGTTAAATTAGTCAATTTCCAGTCCACTGTCGAGTCTGCCGTTTAGACAATAAGATCATCCCCAAGTCACGATTTTACACATTTGAGAGATGAACACATTTCAAGCTTTAAAAATAGTCCACACAAATGAAAAGGAAATGAAGGCAAAAGTGGGCATGAAATGAGATGCAAGGTGCTGGTCAGAGGTGTCTGTATGTACAACAGCCAAATTGGAGTGGACGTGGCCCTAGTGTTGACGCCCATCTCGACCATTTTTCATCAGCGTGGACGAACGTTTGACGTCTTTGAAGTCCTTCAACGCAATGTAGCGCCGATTCATCTCCCGTTCACAACATCTACGCTCAAAGTCGGCTAAAAAGATTTGAGTAGACCAGCTGAACTTCTTAAAGCCACTAAAGTGATGATGATACATTGAGGAGGCGGGGTTGAGAACTTACAACTAGCAGAGTCCATGTACGATTTCAATTCTTTGAATGTCATATCGTGTGTTCGTAGCATGAAAGACTCCATTGCTGCTCTGGAAGCGATGTCGGTCAGGGAGTTTGTGAAGGTCTAAGCATTCAGTTGGAAAACATACTGGCCACTTAGCCAAATCAATTTGCAAAACTCAACCACTTAGCTGATTTATGATTTAATTTTGCTGTTATAATTGGTCATTAGGTAATAACGAAAAGGTTTCAATTCTGAAAATAGAAATGGAAGTAGTAGGATTTGCGGACATACACCTTCACTTCCATCCCTGTAAGCACCATCCAATCCATTCGTCTGAACTTGCTCACTGCCGTTGGGTCTAAAAGTTAAGAGAGATAAAACGAATGCAAAAAATTTGTTCCACATCCAAACCAATCCTTTAATATCTACAAAACAAACAGTCTTTCTGCGCCAGAGAACAACACACGTCTACGTACGAATTAAGAAAGTCAGCTGGAACGGCGGAATGGAGGTTGCCGACATTACGGAGCTTTATCAGAGGTGTCGAGTTAACAGCTTCTCCGTCAAGACCTTTCGTTTTATTCTTCTTCTCCGCCTCTTCCTTTTGCTTCCGTTCCTTTCGTCTTTGCTCCTCCTCCAGGCGTCGATGTTCCACCGCCTCTGCTTGTACTTCTCTCACATTTGTCTGAAGCCTTTCAAAATTTGTTCGCAACTCTTCTGGTGCCATGAGACCAGGACCTTGGCGAATGCGTCGTTTTAGCTCGTGCAATTCAAACATCGCCTGGTCCACCTACAAGATGAGAACCAATCCTTTTCTTCCTTGCAATAACCGTTTGACATTCTGATAGAATGGATTTGATAAAACTAGGATAGTAAGTAAGGGTGCTGGTAGTTGCTGGAGGACCTGGCATCCAACTGAGTTGTCTCTACAGATGTCCATTTCATGGTGGAAAAGTCTTCAAGACTCTGACGTTCATTTGAATCAGACGGGTAGTAAACTAGTCAATCGGAGGGGACTGTGAGAAGTTAGACTTCCATCAGAGCGCATAGTTTGAAATGTATTGACAAAGGAGGGTAAAATCGTCCTTACATTGGCGAATCCCTTGCCCTGGAATTCAGGAAGGTGATTGTAGGCCTCTCTGACTTGCGTCAACTCCTCGGTCATTCTTCCAAGAGCTCGATTCACCTGAATGTAGTAGCTCACACGCTTCCGCACCAACCAGCCACGTACGTAGCGCTGAATGGTCACTGCATTGCGCTGACGATAGGCGATCTTCTCCCGCACTGAACACAAAGAAATGCAGCAAGCTCACTCGTTCATGTGTTGTAACACGCCACCACCATTTGTGGAGCGCATTAAGCTCCCCATAAAACTTTACACTTTGGGGTGACAATTTTTAAATGCTACCTTTTCCAACACTAAAACGCTCTTCTCATGGATGAAAACTGGGTTGGTTGCCAATTAGAGGCAAATTCCAGCAAAAAGTTGGGTAAAATTATTTGCAATTCCTCTTTACATACAAAGTAGAACATTCTTGTGCAAATACAATTCCTTAATGCATTATTTGACGATCAAGTAATGGTGATGAGTCTGAAACGCGACCTCCTGAAACCTCTCAGTTCTAAGGTTAAGTGTTGACTTTTGGCCTCTACAAAGGTGAGATTTTTAAGTGGGCAGAGAAACGAGTCGTGTTGAAAATCAGAAAATGAACTTTTAATTTCAGCAAAGTAAGCATCTTGCATCGTGCACCGAAGAGGGCTAAAGTGGAAAGAAGTTCCCTACTAAAGTACCAATCAAACAAATACCTCGGAATTTACTGCATGGCAATCACTTCTTTAAGTCTCGGTTGGGGTAATGGGGGAAGAGGGGGAGGGGGTGGCGTTAGGGCCTCCATCACTGTGCTTCTACCTGGCGGCCCAGGGTTCCGAGTCTCGGTTGTAGGAGGGTCTTGACGGCAGCGGAAAGCAAGGCGACCATTTTACGGTCGTCTATCCTAATTCTCACTAGTGTGTAATAAAATGTAACTGAGGTGGAGGAGGTGGGCATAAAACGAATGGGAGAATCAGTGATTATCCCTGACAGGCAGGCCAAAAATTACTTCTACCCCCGGCAATTGCCCTATTTTCCGCAGTAAGACTAGCTGTACACTGTGTGGAAAAGTCAGCTACGTGAGTGCCTACTGTACTTGTAGTGCAATGATTGTAAACAGATGACATCTTCACCTCTCTGCTGGTAGAATGGAACCCAGACACTTGTAGCCTAGCCACAGTGATTTGGAGAAATGCAGCCAGAGTAAATGGGCCTAAACTCCTATCGTCACGATCAGTGTTAGAGTTAACTTTCTGCTACATGGCCCTGTTTTAAAGTCGTCGGTGGGCATAAATGATAAACAGCATAGTCTCCTGTCTTCGATACTAGTGCCCTGGCAACGCGAAATTCCAGGCCACGTGCTGTTTAAGTTGCATAAATCTCATGAATGCTGCATTTTGATGCCTGACAGTACCAAAAACGATCCTCGAAATGGGTGAGAGGCTATATAATACTTTAACTGCTTTATCAACTCGTGATCTTAATAACAAGCTGTGTAAGATTTTCACCGGTGTTCCTCATTTGTAGAGGCCTGACCTCCAGGTTGTGCTGGTAGCCTCGAACCTTTACGCCGGCCGCACACCTTCAGACACTGAAATTACATCAGTGGAATGAAAAAAATGTACTAATAAAGACAAGGCAGCGTCGGATGTAACAAAATGTGGGGCACTCAGAACATCACATAAACCCACGAATCCGTACATTGGCAATTTGCTTAATGTCAATGCAGTATGAAGACTATTTATTCAAATGCTGTGCCACGGTCGCATGCCTTTACAGTGGACCTACTCTCCTTTTTTAGAAGCCTGCTAGGCTACGAAAAGCCCACCTTGAAGTTCAAAACCAAATCAGGCGGATTAAAGCAGGAAACATGGCAGTAGAGGAAAAACTGAGTGCGATCTACGTGGGTAGGAAACGATCTCCTATAAAGTGCACTTGTTCAAGAGGCAGGAATTAAAGATCAATGTTAAAACTGAGGCAACGCGCCTAGGCCAAGCGTGAAAGTACAAATGATAATTCTAAGTACATTGTCTCAGTGAAATCATTGTATTTTTCAAGAATCTTATCAAAGTAGGATGGCCAGTAATTAGGAAGGACTACCAAACAATTATCAACCACATTTTTAAATGTCTTGCTAGGTCACAGGTGACACAATAGAGATTTTCACACCAAATTTGCCACTTTTAAATACACCCCAATGTGACAACTTAATTTACTCTATGAAACTGTTATACCTTGCCTTACCTGAACCAGAGCCGCCGTGGAAAACTACACGTACTTGTATGAGTAGCATTTTGCACATGTCTGTCATCAAGGTTAAAAGTAAATGCCAAGCGCTGACACTCCCGACGTGGTTTCATAATGCTACGCAAAATTGTAAGTGTTGGTGTCACATCGCATGCCCATTTGAAAGTCAATAATTAGTTTGTATTGTTGGACATTAAATAATGCCTACCTCTGTGTGTAAGTATATGAACATACGGTGAAGAAGCAGCAGTCCAACTATTTATAAACAAAAAACGACGCATTACTTAATGGGATTGTGCCTACTACTGACATTCCAACCAATCAGGTGACAGAAAAAAGTGCGAAGTCATACCGACCACGTGTAATGAGCTTGATTAATAGGAAATCAATAGACACTGCTCCGAAAGTAGAGTTTACGGGCCATTTTCAAGAGGCGGTTTTAAAACTTAGCCAAACTAACTAAAATAACCAAAATTTGTTCAGGCACCTAAAGCAAAAGTAAAGGGAACCTGAACTAAGTATAGCTGGGCAGTATTATGGTAGATAAATCACAAACGTACGCCGAATAACGCTACGCGCGGTGTAAATGGCTCGTCGCCAACGGTAGCATATAATCCACTTGCGTGCACGTTCAACCATCTTGGAGAGATTGTCCGGGTCCATTCGCAGAATCTCATCAAATTCGGCGAATTTGCCAGCTCGAAAGAAGACTTTTGAAACGCCAAATTTGTAGTCATCGTCGTTCATTCCCATCGCATGGAACAGAGCCTGGCAAAGACAACCGACAAAACACGGGTAAATACGGTGTCCCCTTGGAATACGAATTTTCGACAAAAGGAAATAAAGCTACTGTTGCAAATGAGCAGCTCCTTTCGAGTGAACTGTAAGCATGTAGAACAATGCTTACTTGCGTTTTGTAGAGGAAAAAAGGTATAGAATCGTGTGGAAGAGGATAGAACTTGCATTAGCACTTAAACATGAACAAAGTTTCTCGGTTGCAAAAGGGCTTGTCATTTTACGAAGAAAAGGGAGAAAAAAAGAGAATGAGTGTAGATGAGGTACAATTTTAATTATTCAGTACTTGGAGAGAAAGTGAGAATTGAGCATAAAAATATGCACATGGTCATATGAAAGTCGAAATTGGATCTCGTTTGGAAGGCCTCACCTTAAAGAACATCCGGGGCTCCAGACGGCGCAATTCCTGCGGCAGGATGGGTTTGTAAGCGGAATAAAGGTCGCCGAACTGGGTCCTTGACGGGTAGCCCTGTTGCATGAGCAGCAGTACATCGGTGAGGCCGAAGAAACGCAACTGTAGGAGGCAAGGTCCGCCCTCAAATTCATGATCTGCCATGTTGGAATTCGGTTTCACACAGCGAATGAAGTTGGTACCCTAGTAGGGACAGTTGGACAGGAGGGAAAAAGGCAAAACTATTTAGAAGAAAACATTGTTAGCATTTTACCTCAAAATCTGTAGTGGCGTTGGAACATGCACCCTTTGCGTGCATGTGCGTGCGTGTGTGTGTGTAAGTGTCTTATAACTTTCCGTGCAGAGAAAAAATAAAAGATTTGAAGGACCTTACTGAGGATCGGAGTTTTGTAATGAGGTCGTTTATTTGATCCTTGAATTTGCTTCCCACGCTTATGAAGTTTATTTTGCCAGCGATGTTTGATTGCAACTTCTTCAACGTCCACGACTTGGCTTCTTTGGGCTAAAGAAAGACGTTTAGGTCATTAGCACTTCCTTAATTGGCGCATGACCTTCGTGACAAAAAAGATTCGAGGTGATTTTCAAGAGGCTCGTCGAACGATCAGCAGTATCAGAGAAGGAGCTAAGGGAAGTGTCTAAAGCAGTGACAACCAACGGAGTCTCACGTTATGCATCTTACGCAGCAAATCGTTTGAGCTTGAGTGCAGAAGTTCTTCAAGGGAATGATGAAGAGCGTCATTGTTCTTGGCTATGAATTCTGTGGTTGTGTAGCAGACAGACCCAGCAAAGTGCTTAAGGAGGAAACCTTCACTGTCTCGAAGGTTCTTGAATTTCTTGTCCTTTCGAGGTACCTAAAATGAGTGACACACGATCTATCAATCTTTGATACTGCAACTGGGAGGTGGCGGGTAAAATAGTGCCTTAAAATGCCTCATCATCAGTGTGGTGGGTAGGAACGATAACAACTGCTCCTTTCGGTACGTTTGAACATTCTCGCCTTGACGTTAGAGAGTTAACTTGCATCAACGTGAAACAGCCAGTCGCTGCACATACAAAAAGTGGTAAAAAAACCATTGGCAAGAAATGCCCAAATCAGCAAACAATGCTGTTAAAAAGACAAATGGCAGGCATTTGCATTCAAAGTAAGGAGGCAGAACTCGATTTGTAACCTAGCTACTTGCATTGCGTAGCTTTCACAGTGGCGGTGTTTCACAAAATCACCGGACCAGCCCACATGGATGGCGAGAATGTAGGAATTTGGGGCCAACTTACTGTAAGCCGTGGATTGTCGCCATGATATCGATGAACTTCGTCGGTAAAGTGCTCACTGTTGGAGTTTGGAAGCCGACTTTCTTCATCCAGTAGAGCTAGAATGCCTGAATCCTTGGCTTCAACGAGGTCTAAAATGCCAAAAAAAAAAAAAAATTATGCCCACAAGTAGAGCCCATTAAGAGGCAATGGTGGACGATTCAACAACACACACTCTCTGCCTTTACTCCTCTTTAGTGAGGCATGCCACGCTGGTGGTAGAGAAAACCGCCACCGATCTTGGAGGACAGCCATCCCAAAGCCTAACGCTGAATGACAGACCCCACCGAGATGACAACCCTCATCAATTGACCCAGTACCACGGTTTGCATGAAAAGCTTCCCCTTTTCTGCTCCTCTACGACCTGTATGGGAGATGTGTGGGGGGATGGTATTAAAATAAAGTAGTAATGAGAAGTGGACACAAAATTCTACCCCAATAGAAGTACGCTTAATTCTCGCCTTTGCCACCGCGATAGCCATAGAGCATAAAACTTTAGGATGCCGTGGAATTGTTAGGACGAAGCTGCGACACTGAAGTCACTGATGACTACCGTAATCGGTCGACCAGGAGGGGAGCACCGCGACACACAAAAAGTTTAGCTGTTCACTCAACTATCAATTCCAGGTAAAGGCCAATCAGCTGACACGTGTCAGGCGTACCGGGAACCGAAGCACTCCAAAAACTCCAAAACTTTTATTGTGAGTCCTGTTTTGGCACCTGTCACCAGTGTCAGTGCTAAGGAAGTCAAACGGTGGGGCCTCGATTTTGAAATTCGGTGATGCAGTTTGATTGACTGAGCCATACACCATGAAATTGATGTTCTTAAATCCACTCTCGAAAAATGGTGAGTGGTGGAATTTATTCTACGTTGCAGTGATGAAAGAACAATTGGTAAACCGAATTTCGCCTGATTAAGGATGATAGTTTGATGCTTGACAAGAATAGGGGAGGGGGAGAAAGGAGGGAAAGAGAGCACTCACCAATGCAATCTTGGTTGTCAATGTAGGCTACACTGTTGACGTTTAAACCCTCTCTTTGGTAAACAATTTGCTCCTCTCTGAGAATGCGTTCGTTGAAGAATTGTTGCAATTTTTCGTTACAATAATTTATGCAGAACTGTTCGAAGGAGTTGACGTCAAAGTGTTCTAACACAAACAAAGACAACATTGTCATCAGTAAAGGCGTCATTTTAACAAGGGTAAAAATAACGAAAATAGTGTAAGGGTTGTACTGGATTATGTAGGTTACTTAATAAGATACAGTAAGCATACCAAAACCCGCAATGTCTAATAGACCGATGTAAGTGAGTTTTTTTGACTGTGGAATGGCTCTGTTGACCGAGGTGACAAGAAGATCAAACAGTCGATCGTAGATGACTTTGGCAAGACCATCTCGCGCATTCGAGGTCTCTTCAAGTCGAAGTGCAATGGTGAGATCCAGGGTTCCAGTAATCCTAGTCGTCAAGGCCTTAGCCATTGTTGCAGCATCGATACCCAACAACTTCGATGCCATGTTCAAGGAGGGCTGCGACTGTGGCGTTATCATACACCCACCTAAAGTTTTATTATCATTATTATTATTATTTCTTCAAAAAAGGGAGATCCGTCAAATCAGTAGTGTCAGGTAGAAGAGGAGGAAACAAGTGCCTTTCTACCCAAGGGTATGAGTAAATGAGTTGAGAGGTGGTCGTCGTTCCATTAAATCGCATTTACTTTTACCAACCCAAACCACATGACTTTTGGAGGATGTAGTGAAGATGCAGTAATCAGTGTAGAGCCTCCACTCAGGCTCTGATCGATGTTGTGGCATGACCTACACATGGAGGAGCTGCGCAAATCTCAGGTCATCCAAAAGAGGTGCGCGCAGTGTATTTTTGTGTGTGTGTGTGAGTTAAACGAGTCATCTTGGTGTGTGTGTGTATGTCTAGTGACAAAATTAGGAGCCAGACAGGCCAATTCCACTTTCACTTCTTCAAGTTCACGTTAAGGCAGTGAGGTACAGTAATGTGCTTCTTGTCGTTGCTTTTTTTTTTAAAACTGCTCATTCACTATGCAGGGAGGAGGAGGAGACGGAGGGAGGAGGGAGGAATAGAATCAACAAAAAATGCAAATGGAGACGAAAGTGCAATTGAAGTGTATCTTTTTACAGTTGCAATCCCCGCCCCACCACCTCTCACCTCACTTTGACGTCACATAGTAGCACACAAAAACGTCATGAAGGCTCGCATACTGATTCATAAGCTCGGAGGTTGGTTTAAATTGGATGGCATGGTGACAAGAGGTTGTATCGACCTTCCTTGAAAGTCCACGATGATGAAAGCCCAATAACCGAAGTAAAGGCAAAATGGGGCAAGGAGTGACTTACAGCCAAACCATTTGAGGTGGTTAGAGAGGCCGGGAGGAGGAGGGTAGAGCCAGGGGGTCTTTGAGTAACAGTGAAAGTTATCAGTGATGCTGAGAGGAGCATATGACATCAAATAAGGCAACCACTTTGCGTAAGTGCTCAGTCGCGTTGCCAAGTGTGAATTACTGTGAATTTTTAGAGGACGCTAAATGTGGGGCAGAACTTGGGACATAAAAAGGTGAGTAATAACTTAATAATGATGACATTAGAATTTAGTACATTGCTAAGCTTTAGAAAGCAATAAATGTGTCGCCATCCAATCTCATACTCAGTATACGTGATCACAAACCCACACATGTACACACACACACACTCGATCAGTGACATCGTCATTACGTGGTTTTGTGAAGAATTACACATTGAAGCGTGTGCTAGGATTTATACCTTAAAAGAATGCTCGAGATGATTGGCTTCGAATAAAAAAAGGAGGATTTGAGAGCCTGACGAAGGGCCTGTCGAGAATCAATGTGGCATTCACATTGTTAGGACATAACTACCTCACCTTGAATGCACACTTCGAAATAAAGTGTTGAAGTGACCACTGCGGAGCTAAAGTCAAGCCACCACCGAAGCAGTGCAAATTAGCAATACGAGTAAGATTTAGAAATGAGTAAAGTTTGGATTTTATTTGTGAGTTAATGGAAGATACTACTCGTCCGGGATGGCGCATTTCAGTAGCGTAGAGAATAGGCGATAGTGATAAAGTAGGCAACAAGAATAAGATTTGTGGGTGGAATAAAGTTGAGGTGTCATCTGATTACTGCAATCGATTCTCAGTATAGATGAAGGCAATCGGGAGGGGAGATACTACTCGTACAGTGCTGATGTATTTCAGTAGCATTAGGAATCGTTGCTAGTTATAAAGAAGGATATTAAAATCATGCTAGCAGCACGCGAATAGAATAGCAGAGAGCAAAAAAATCGATTTGTTTGCATAGGAAATCGTAGATATTTTCAAACCTTTATAAGGCCTAATTGAAACCAGATCTTTGCTCCTTTTGCCATTTGTGAGTTTCAGTGTGGTGTGAACTGATGCAAGGGAAGATAGAAGTTTTCCCTACGAGTCAGAAGCAGTTAATATGTAACTAGAGAACATTTTTTTGAGTGCAGCATAAAAATACAAGGCTTGGAAGCGAGTGAATGTAAGCAATTTTAAAAAATACGGAAAACACCTACCATGGGTACTCAGGGATTCCTGAAAGACCACATTTCCAAGATGCAAGATTCCCGCGAGGATGGAGAAAATTGACTCCTGAGCCGTTTCATCCAGACCCATTTCTGTCATGACCTTTAGTGAGGTCTTGAAATCCTCTAGGTCATCCAGTTTTATGTCATATAGAGGTCCTTGCTCCCTTTGCTGAGCAGCAAAGCAGTAATTAGGCAGCGTTACATGCAAAAACAATGACACTACACTTCATTACAGATTATCAGCTACTTTATGACAAGGAGAGCTGAAGGTTACCCTTATCGCAGCAAGCCTGAAGAAGATGCAACCTCAGCATGGGTTTGTTTTTATTTTCTCCGACTATGAGAGGAGCTGTAGTGAGGTTATCAAGCAACCTTGTGTGTGTGTACATGCAGAAACACAGGATTAGCACAAGGATTGCTCCCGCCTACATCAAGTACTGAATACAAGGTGTAGGCTTACAGGCAGACATACAAGCAAGCCCACCCAACTCATAAGTACATCAAACACTAGGCTTCATGACTCACACCAGAGCGAATCCACGTGCGTACTCACGAAAAAGTGACTTACAGCCTGACTCAAACGGTCTTCTGAGAGCGCATTTCTATTTTGTGGTTGAAGGAAGTAGCGCGTACAACCCCGTGAGAGGTACTGTAGGTGAAGAGAAAGATGCGGTTAGACAAAGTGCTGTGTCGGAAGAAAATCAGAAAGCAGGCTCCCCTCGAGGTCATGACAATGGCTCTAAGGTCCTCGAAATGGCACCGCCTAGTCTTTTTCACTGACAAAGCTGTCACCGCCTTTGTCTAGACTACCCAAGATGAGGTAACCACGTTGGGAGAGAGCCTAGACCAATAATGGTGGATATCGAAGTATCGGATCAAAGTGGGTTGTAACAATCAGAGCCCAGATTGCAAGGTCATGTGACTATCATTTCAAAACTTCGCTCTGGCATTTTACACCAAGGGAGTTGTGTCATGATAACGGCTGCAATCAAGTCAAAACCTGTCTATGTGCACATACGCAATTCGACTTGCAACTCAGACAACTCAAAAGTCACACATTTAACGTGGGAATCCACTGTTCACCAATTGAATCTTATGTGTAAGAAGCGTATCTGCATGACCATGACAGCCTGATTTCCTTATGCGTAGAGGCGAGGAGCATAGAGTTCATTCAATTTGGCAAAAGGCTGTAAATGGGTGGAAAATACACGCACCAGAAAGTCATCTGGGGTAGTAAGTCCAAGTTTTCGTCTCAAAGGGTTTGAAGCACCGGCAAAAAGTTGATAAAAGAAGTGAAAATTCCTCTCCTCCGGCGACTGGCGAACAAGACGTCCCTTCTCGAGAATGTAGTGCTCCAACGACCCACCACAAACGGCAGTGTTCTTGTCAAATGCCAGTTCAATGAACTTGCCAAATCGGGAGGAGTTGTTATTTCTCCTTGTCTTAGCATTCCCAAAGGCTTCCAATAAGGGGTTCGCTGCAAGAAAAATGAGTCCAAAACTTAGCTTTTTCTTATTGATTGCATTATCCATTCCTAGTGCTCTTGAGCTTTTCCTTTCTTCAGCATTAAGCAAGGGACGAATAATAACTTGGTTAGAATTACTGATTTTTTTCTCAGGAAAGTAATATTTACCGCACAAAAAATTCTCACGCTTCTTGGGTAGACTCAGGAGGGTGGATTTCGACAACACAACTGCCTCATTTCAATGCCAATTAGCTAATTTTGCGGAGCCTTACTACAGACTGGAGCAATCATCGAATAATAATTCGAGTTCGTTCAAGAGGCAAAGGTCTTACATAAGAGAGTAAATTGGACTCACAATCAATGATTCTCTGTTCGATGACACCAGCGTCAGCACCATAGCCTTCAGTTAGGTACCGAAGGACGTGCTTCGTTGTCTCCGTTTTACCTGCACCCGATTCACCACTCACGATGATTGCTTGAGATTCCTTCTGCATTTTCATATCGCGAAAAGCCTTGTCAGCTAAAAAAATAAAAATGAAGAGCGGAAAATTAAACTTTTGTTCATATTATACTCAAGATCTAGTAAGAAATTGGCACGGTGATTTGCAGTAATGCCTCAGGGAAAACAGGAACATAATGATGAAGGTCAAAACTTGACGAATCAATTATTCTGCACTTGATGAACACGTGTGTGCCAGTACATTGGCAAGCCTTAATGATTGATAGGGAAAGAAAATACGTTTTGTGCATACAAAATAAATGAGATATTGAAATACAAAGACGTAGCGTGCACATGACACACAAAGTCATACGGGACCAAGCCAAACCATCAAGCTACAAATCAAAGGTGACTAGCAAGAGGGAAAGATTTCTTCCAAATTTTTCGGAGTAACCAAAAAATAGGAAAAGTAAAAAACCAAATTTTACGAACCAATGGCAAATGGATGCGGCGGCAGCGTTCCCAATGACATCCCCTTATATTTATCGATCATCTCCCGTGAGTACAGTCCCTTAATTTCGTAGTAGGGATTCACAGCTATAAGAATGTTGGCGACATATGTCTATGAAGAAAAAAAGTAAAGATTAAAACCAAAAATAAAAAGCTATAAGCAACTTGATCTCGATAACGACTACAAAGGTGAAAAAGGGTTCACAGAGAGCAGAAAACTCGTCATATAATAAAATGTATTCAACCTAACAAAAAGAGCAAAAATTATTAAAACCCAAAGAACCAAAATAAAAAATACGCACGAAGTAACCAAAAGTAATGTTATTCAGCTCCAAAAGTATATGATGGAATGGAGTTTGCAAAACAGTAAAGCAAAAATGTTGGTACAGAAAAGGTTGGCAAAACTCACATATATCTTATCCTTTAAGTAACGTTGTTTGACATTTTCTAGAAGCGTTGCCTCGTTTAAATTTATAAGTGCACCTTTAAATAAAATACATTAAAAAAAACCTACAGTTGTCATCAGGTTGATGCTCATGCGGTTCTACTAGAAGAAGATCCTTGGCAGGCAAATCAAACAGCTAAAATGAATAAATGTAGTCAGCGGAATGGAAAATCTATAAGTTACAAGCTTTCAAGCTACTGCTTTAAAGTCGTATGTAAGTATAACATTCAAAGGTGAGACTAATTACCTGTCAGAAAAAGGTTGAATTATAATACATATTAAAACAGATAAAAACATAGCAAAAACCTGACTCACATCACCTTTACCAGAAGCAGACTGACAAGTGGCAACGTCATTATTAACTTTCAACACCCGTCCCAGTACGTAGCCATTGATTTCATCTGGCAACCAGCAGCCTTTACTATCCATTAAGATCGACAGTTAAAATTGCTTCATCTATTTCTCTGATGCCTTTGCAGCACATTAAAAGCACTCAAGGTTGAAAGGATGAGGCTTGGATTAGAGAAGCTTGGAAACTAAATCATTAGTTTCTTCTTTACAACTTACAATAATATACAAAAAAACTTTTAACATTACCACAAAATGATACAGGATTCACCAGCAAAATAGCTATGAAGAGTGGGAAAGATTATATGACAAATTATGAAATATATTATGTGAACAAGAATAAATTTAAATATATTGTTGTTAAATTATCAAAGTTTGTATGGAACACCAGCATCTAGTAGAGCGCTCAGTTTATTTATTGCACTTTAAAAAGCATTTTTCCTGCTGCTATATAGGTTAAAGAATATGCGGAAGACTATATTTTTTAGACTGTATACTTTACTGTATTTGAAGCGCAAAATGCATGTGTCTAGTGCATTTTTGGTACTTGATTTTATCGTCTTTATCTGCATCACCATTTGTGGTTGGCATTCGAGGCGGCTCTAGCGATTCTTGCTGGTATTTGATTGATCATGGATGAGTCATGCGACATAGTCGAAATTCCTATTGAGGCTGCCCAAGAGTATATAGCTACAGCAATTGGATTTGCGCCTCTTCAGTTATCAGATCTTAGTACGCTGCAAAAGTACTAACTTTATTCCAGTCTATAACATATTTACGGACACTTTGTGTGAACTCGTCGAAAGAGTTGTCGGCCAGCTTCATGCTAAAGTGGGTTTTGTTGCACTCCATCGGTTAAAGTAATTAGTATGAAATCCATCTTACTCAAGATAAGGTTGATGCCCTGAAGAGAATGATTAAGATTAAGCTTCAGGGGCAACAAAACGTCCTTTTTGACCAGTTTGATGTATGTCTCATCGTCGCATTACTAATGATGCTCTCAGAACTTCATTATCTCTGAAGTTTTTAGCATTAGTGATGATGCAGTCCTCCCGGAAGATATTGTTCAAACGACCTACTCAAAGAGAAAGCATAACTGGATTAAAAGGAGCATTGAGAAGTACGAAAAGAACCTAATGTTGGTAGGTTTTGTCATGGTTCAAATTCTACTCTCATTGCACTTGATGATGGGATTTTGGTATTGCTGGAATGGATTGCTGCGCAGTCGTTTCGTCCACGACTGAGTTGCCCGAGTTGCGCTTTTTCCTTTACCATTCTTCATTTTCAGTTGAATTTGGCTAAAAAGAGGATTAATTTAGAACTTGCCAACGTTAGAGTACTTCGTGAGGATCTGAGGAACGCCTTGACCACGATCGAGAATGCCATAAAATCCGAGTTTGGAGACGCCTCTGGTGAGTGGCGATGCTTATTGTTTAGCACTTATGCGAAGTGTTTTGTTCGTTATGATAGCGGTCAAAGTACTCGCAGAAATTCGGTATCGTTCGTACGTATTTTTGGATAAATGGTCCATTTTTAGTCGATGAATTTCGTCTTGCCGTCGATGGGCTCATCCGAGGGAGGGAAAGTGTAATTAAGTGCTTAAAATTTTCCAATTCTCTTTCATGAGTAATGCTTTACCTGACTTTACTTATGTAAAATTTTGTAACGTATGGGAAACCACAGTACTCTAGTAAAATGTTTTATAAAACAAATAGATTTTTGGCTTTGTAGTTAGGTGAGTAGATATTAATGTTAAGCCGATAGGAAATGATTGGTGGAAATGCGGCTAAGGTTGTGTGGACTACTGCGAACTAGCTGGGATTCGTAATGAATTCAATTTCATCAAAAATTGGGCAAAACTGTGAGTTGCTCACTACAAATTTGGTCAAGGATAAGGTGTAGTAAATGGCTGACACGGGGACATTCGTTAAACGTACTTGAGATGCTGTGGTCATCCGCGGTAATGATGGGTGGTGACGATAGAGGATTGCGAGCGTTATTGATTATGAGTGAAGTTGGGTGAAGCGAGGCAGCTGCAGGGCCAAATATATTTTTGGGGCTAGTGCATTCATGCAAGATTGTCGAGTGTCAGAGGACACGAAGAGGTTTAAGGTAAACCGAACTTTTAAACAAGCGATGGCAGTCATGAGAAGTTGGATGGGTAATTTCAGGGAGTGCGGCGTCCTGAGATGTCCAGATGTTTTTGTGAATGCACAGAGGCCTAACAAGATTGTTCCAAAGTGCTGTAGGCATCGCTGTCACGTTTGGGACTTTGAACTTTGTGTGAGCAGGACCAAGTGATCGACCTGTGCATGCTCTTCGGAAGAAGAGGGTTCTGATAATTCGCTGCGGAGGAAGTAGTGCTGGCATTAAGCTGCCTTGCCTAAATTGTGTCGCAATGCAGTCCCTCCTTCCTTAACAAAAGTTCATGCTAGCGTTTCACTGTTTTTTATTGACATATTGGCTGCATTTCCAATTTTACGGCATTGGATTTCGCAATGTTCCTTCTAATAAAAGCTGTAGAACTCTCAGTATATCCTACCTATGGGAACGTTTACGCGGCTTTTGGCTCAACAATCATGCTACTGATTGCCTTATCAGTAGGACGCTTACGAGGAATGATCGGTACGCATTGAGTACCACCCTTACTCGTTGTCAGCTGGAGTTTATAGTTAATCTATTGAACGTCTTAAAAATGCTGATCGCAACTTTGTGAACCCTTCCATTGGCGTACTTACAGTGTTCATAGATATACTGATGGGTGCATCGCATGCCTCTAACTGTTTGGACATCGAAAACATCGTCCTCTAATTTTGGGCGTTTGGATGAGGTTTACCTTTGAAAATAACCTTAATTGTAGTGCAGAAGGTGGTTGGTTTTGACACTGAGTTGTTGGATGAAGTATGCTGCCCTCATATGAGATTTTCGTCACCTTAACCTTGACCTCCCCTTTGATAATTTCTTAGGCACTATGGATTTCTGTTTGAGCAATCTGGGTGTCTTGTAGCTCCATCACAATATCGGAGAAGGGTCGTTCCCGTAGCGATGAGTTTAATGCTCATCAATTTCACCCATCTACCAATTAGTTATTTGACAAAGAGAGGATGAAATGTGCAATTATTTCCTCCACTTAATGGCTATCCTGCTTATTTCTCATTCTTTCTTAATTTATGCAAAGCATCATAATCGAATTTGTCGTTGTGTGCTTGTGTATCTAGATTCGTTTTGGTCAGTACTTTTCCGGGAAAAAGAGTGAGTGGTTACTCAGAGATTGGGTAAAATCTGGTGTACATTAGGTATTGGGAGGCTAGTTTATGTGATGATAGGATGCGCGCTCTGTTTTCATACAACGAAAAGGAAATGCAATGCACATTATAGCCACCTGTCAATAGCCACAGCAGATCCGCGTTCCTTATAGGCTTCCTTAGTGATACAGATCTTTGGGTATGTTTGTGTGGATGCTATAATCGTTCCGCCCATCCACACGGCCTCAATACTTTGTCTGTGCTTAATCACCCTCTTGTTAATCCGTGGGACAGTCCTTGTAGCGATTCCAACTTGCATTCGTGACGCGGCTCCTGGGAAAGCTGTATTCCCTCCCGCTAACACAGCAGTCTCCAGAACTGCGTAGGCGTCGTTCTCCTCCAAACTCAAAGCTGAACGTATTGCTGCTTGGTCAATGGGCATCACATCTGCCAGTCCTCCCAAACTCGGATTGAAAAGCATTTCAGGAGCTAGGGTTAATTCCTCACCTAGAGTTATCTTATTTCCATCTGGCATAGTGACAACCGTTCGTTCATTGTCATTGGATTTGGGAAAACTTGGCGCTACGGAACAGTAATTGACCTTGATGTGGCGTAGGTCAGCTTCGTTGTAGGCGGCAAGTTTATTTCCACTTAGGTGTCGCAAATACCGATCAATGTTTCTGCCGCCGAAGGGAAGAACTCGTTCGCTTTCTCCCAGAGGGTTGAGATTTTTGACTGCAAGAATTCCTGTATGGGAGTAGCCGGAATCAACAACGAGGCAGTTAGAATATCCAGATGAGTAGGCGGCCAGAAGTGGTTGACTAACGTAAAATACTGATTGAAAGTCGAAGTTCTCGAACAGCACTTCCGTCAGTCTCTTTCGATAGGTGTCCGACATCTTTTGTGGAACGGCGAGGAGGAGGTGAGCTGACCTGGATTCCGCCTTTAGACTAGTAAGGCAGTCTTGAATGTGTTTGGTGTAGTAGGAGACGGCTTTGTGTGATCCCTTGAATTCAAGCACAACGCCGTTTTCGACCACCTCTGACTAGGAGAAAAGGAAAGAGGGCTTATTAATCTCCACATTTTGGTTTGGCGTTGTTTACCGGCTCGATGAGAGCGGATGAAATTCAATGGTTTCATTGTAAGTGAAAATGTGTATATTGTCCGTATATGAAGCATTCGAGTTTGAAAATTTAAGTCATTGCTATGGAGATGATACTATTGCAAACGAAGGTGAATTTTAGGTAGGGCGGATTTTCATGTCTACTTTCCACTCAAGAAAATTTAAAATTTGCCAGTACCGCTTGTGTCGTGGAGATTACTAACCATAAACTGTGATGTTTTGGTAAGAGTAGACATGAAAAGAGCGTACTTACACCTTCCAAGTTCTGCAAGGATGGCACAAGAGTGACTGCTGGGAAAGGTTCATTCGCGAAACCGGCCCTCCACTCTTGTGTACCAGTGTCGATTACAATTGGAATAATCAAGTCACTCATTCAGTCGAGGTTTGAAAGGGAGACTTTTGGCTCAGAAGTTTGACTCTGCCGGCAGATTGAGCCGGGTTGTGCTGCTTTTTGTAATTGCATTACACATCTTTCGTCTAGCCAATCAGGTTGTTGGTGCCTTGCACATATAGGCTCATTTGATTTGGTGCTCTGTGATTCGACGAACCTGAAATCGTTGTGGCTTTAATTGTTGTTATTGAATTTATTGCCTCATGTGAGTACATGAACACTTGGAGAACCGCCTTGAATGACTTTGAACGAAAAATAAAAGGGACAACACGACGCAGCGCTACGGTGGGAATACACAAACTGTCCTCTCTGACATGCAATGACGGTGATTTCTACGGACCTGATAGTCCCGAGCACAACTTCTTTGTGCATAGCTGCATACATCACCGCGACCTACCTTAAAGTTCGGGTTGGAGATGAATTGAAGGCGGGTAGTGATCCTCTTTTTCACTGTGAAGGTGCACAAAGTGCCACTTGGAGTGGGATTGGCTAATTGGTAAATGTGTAATTAAGTTATAAAGGCAAATTACCGCAGCCCCTGTGGGGTAAGACATGTCTCTACTGACATTTGTGTGTGCGATTTTTTTTCCAGCAGTGAGGGTACGCAACCTGTTTAATAATAGTGCGCATGCACAATGCCTCCGAAATGTGAGGAATAAGAGAATTGCGTAATCCTTTACTTGACGACAGTTTTTCTCATCATTCGCCCTTAGAATAGGAATTCTCAGTCCTCTCCAATCTGATCAGTCACATGATGGAGTTAGCATCAGCGGGGTAATCAGGTGCCTTGCTCATCTACTTCGTGCAACCTTGGCGGGAAAATGAACCAAGCACGGACTCATTTAATTGACAAATTAGGTGGTTTGGCTTTATTCGTTTGTTTGTCTCAGTTTCAGCAAGGGTACGTGTGGTGAAGTGGTCCGACACATCCACTGCGAGTGTCGACGGCATCACTCCTTTATGCGTGCCGACGCCCTCCATTCCGTCCAAGAAGTCTGTCTCCCTTTGTCCTTAGAGAGGTTTCAAAGGTCTGCATAACTAGTTGTTGGAGCTGTTGGGTTTTAATTAGTCAATTCTATCCTCTCAACGGATTACTGTTCCGAGAATTAGAGGTGATTCACGAGCTTGAGAAATTCTCACACAAACCCAACAAACTATCAGTCACGTCTTTTCTAGCGCATCTGTTAAATGTGCGAAGTTGATGAATAACGCAGTACATACAAATTGTTGTTTTTGTTGTTGTTAGCATACAAATGGAGGGGAAGCGTTGCTAAAGTAACATTTTCTTCTTGATTTTGGGAGAAAATAGGAAGGGTTTTCTGTGAGTGCTCACATCTCTGCCATCAGTAAAAGTATAATGGTGTCTTATTTTGATTTGGGATCGGAAACTTGGGTATATTTAAAGACTAACTGCTTTGACTAGGCAGTTAATGGCAGTCCAACACAATTCCATTCTCGTTTTTAGAGTGCGCAGAGCATGTCGAAGACGTGGTGACACGACTTGAAACGTTATTTCAATGTGTTAAATCTGCTTCAACAGCTAATTTAAATGAGCGATCTAGTGTTTCAAACCTGAGAAGTGTGTTTTCGTGGAAAGGAATTCCAAGCGAGAAGTGTCTTGGGGGACACTAACCCTTCCCTATTAATCGATCAGGCTCTTTGGTATACTAGAATCTCATTTTAACTGATTGTAATAGACTTACACATGGCTTTAACCCCTTATACGTTAAGACTGCAATGTCTACATAGTGCAGATACTGAGTACGTAGTTGAGATAAACTGTTTTAAACTGGCTTGGAAGATGTGATTTGATCATGGAGCAAGAGAAGAGTAATTCATGCTAGTGTGTTTAAGTTGGCCTTTAAAGGGAAGGGGTGGGGGAGAACTAGAAAGGTGAGTTCATTTAATGGGAGGCGTAAAGAGACGTTCTTAGGGTGATATCGGCCTTACGTCCCATCGATTCTTGCCACATCGTCCCTCTTTCTGCACGTGATGCTCAAAAATAATTTCCCTCAACCACCTTTTTATGAAGTATTCAGATTCAGAAGCAAATTAAAATTGTTTTTAATACAAGTGTGAAAAATTTTAAATAAAGTTACGGCATACACAGTGAGAACTAAAATGATGACGAAAAGCTCTAACCAACTGATCGTAGCCTGTAAACTCCTACGAAAAAGGAACACAAAATGGAGCACCGCTTGTAATATGTACTAGTGTTTAAGTTAACCTTTATAGGAGTGAAGCGGAAACTAAAAATTAGAAAGCGACTCCAGTGCATGAAGACCGTGAGGAATCCACCGCCCAATAGTAACTGCTACTCGGTTCATCCGTACTCCTATCTCCGTTCATACTGTAACCAGTGCCTAATAAATCTGCTACAACTAACCCCCTCTTGAATTCAGTTATTCGAGGGCTTGAGACGATGTCGGCAGCTTCCACATCGCCATCATTTTATTCGCTAAAGAGAAGCAACTATTTAAAAAATAATGTAAAATATCTATTCCCAAATAAACAAGCATAGCAAAAATAGCGCAAGATTTAGCATATTATATCAAAAATTAAGTGTCCAGCTTTTAAATATACTGTTCAATGTGCCAACTTTTTCACTTACCCATTTAGCAAGTGCTTCCATTTGTTTATATCATCAATACTGCAAGTTTAGTGCTTGAGGTGCTCACCGTGAGGCGTTTGGTAGGTTACGGATTCGTGGTGTGGGTTTTACGAATATTCTCCAAAGGAACTCAGTATTTCATGGAATCCGTTCTTTGTCATTATGTCATTATAAATGCGCTTCATTTTTACGTCTAGTTAAGGCATTTATCTTATATTCGATGGTCATGCTCGTTTTGGCGAATTTTTGTGTATTGCAACATGTTTACTTATTTTTTTTCTGATGAAAACATAAAGCAAATGAGTTTTGACTCCGGTTAGTTTGTGTGGGATTGTGTGCATTGTATCCTATTTCGGATTGACTTTGTATTTTAGGACTTTTCCTGCAGTTAGAATTGTTTTACTTCTCCGGATACTTCATCTATTGCATATAAGTGAGATATATCTTCTTGTTTCCCTCAATACTTGAAGAAGCAAGGAGTTGTCAATGACTAAACAAATGGAAAAGAGATGTTATGTCAACCAAGTTCTACCCAAGGTGCAGTGTTATTTCATCTAACCAAATCTAGGGTCTACACAATCTAGGAAACACATGCTATCTTAATTCTACACTACAATGTGTCTCTCGCGTGACTGGGCTCAAGACTTCCATTGACAAACTGATGTGCAACAAGACTGTGGGCCTTCTTAAGCGTTTTAATGATGAGGTGTGTTGCACGTTCAACAATCAACCTATAGGTCTGTAGGGAAATATAATTTTACCTCTTCTTTAAGGGGGACGTGATATCGTTGAAATTGTGTCTTTCACCTCGCAATTTGTCGTTATCTGCGGCTTACAGCACCTTTGTTGAGGAGTTGCTTGGACCACAAAACTCGCGAACATCTATCACCCCCCGAGTATGTTAATTTTTTTTCAGGAAATTTTCTGTGCCTCCTAGCCAAAGATTGCTGGGCGTTTTAAGTTGCGCTATCGTGCTCGTCGTCTTTCTTTGCTAGGCTTATGACGCGGACGAATTAATTTGGCTGGGATGCTGTAATTGCCTTTCGTTGCAAATTACCAACGCTCATGCATCCATTTTTTTTGGGTGGAACCAAGCATACGTTTGATGGCTTACATCCTCTTTCGGGTGCATCGACTTTAAATCTATTGAAATTGTGCATAGTGGAACGAAAATCGCTCTTTTATGGTCACTAAACACCGCATTATTTTTGACGCTTTGTTGTTTTAGCCTATTCTTATGGAACTCATCAAGTTGTATCCACGATTCAGCAACTTCGGTCAGCATGACAGTCACGAGGCGCTTCGATACCTGTTGGACGGCCTACGTCAAGAGGAGTTGAGGTTGTGGCAACGCGCCATCTTGGATGAAATGAAGTACATCTCCAAAGTAATGGAATTACTTCGATGATGGGATTGCTTCGTTGTTGTCTAAGAAGTGACACTTTGTTTCTCTCTCAGTCTGCGGAGGAAGAGGCGGCAAAACAGGAGGTGCGTGCTTGGGGAAAATCCACCTGTCTTTGCACCACAGTGGATAGAATATTTGGTGGTGTTCTGCTCACGTCCCTGACGTGTAGCCATTGCAATCACATCGCACTGCACTTCGAGGTCTTTTTGGACCTTTCATTACCTATTATCATTGATGATGTCGGTGCACAACGTCGCCACCGCAACGGTAGGTTGGTCTCCTTCTGTGTGACTTGACACCAAACAATGACCACCTCCATTTTTCCTTCATTTTTTCCATCTTTGAATTAGAAAAATGCGGCCTATTAACTCCCATTTGTAACTCTGGATTTGATCACTTCTCTTTGCAGCAGATTCCCAGCCAAAGACAAAACGGGAATTGAAAAAAGAGGTGAGCTTTACCAGATTAGCCATTTGAAATTAACATTTACAATCGGAAGCGTGGCAAGCAGCTTGTGGATTGCTAACTAGCTTGCCTCGTTCTTATTGTTGCTGTTTGATGCTACAGTAGTGGTAGTATCGTTTCCTCCTTTCAGCGCAAAGCAAAGGGCAAGAAGAACAAGAGGAAGGACAGGGATCGTAAGCGTTTCGAGCGGGTGACTGAGGAGGACGACGTCGGCACCATTGCATATGAGGAGGTGAGTTTCTCTCCACACGATAGATTGCTTTCAAGAATTTAACTCATAAGGGGAAGTTTAACCCTTTTTCCTTTAAAATTGTTGTAAAATTATCCTGCAGGAAGGTCATAGTAACCATGTGCGGCGTGGCGGTAGGAAAAGCAAGTACAGCAGATGGTCTTGGGAGGAGGAGTGGGACATGGCTGACGGGGAGGCGGTCTCGCAGGATGCGAAGAACGCCACTGTGGAGCAGGCGCGACTGGACACGAAGGTGGATGAAGCAACTACGACTCCAGAGCTCACCCTTGAGAACAGTGCATGTGATGGGGAACTCTTTGACATAGTCGGAGGTGACAGCATTGAAGGCCTTTTGTTGCTGCCTTCCTCAGAAAAGACAAACACTGTGGAGGCCAACACAAAATCAGCTTCTAGTGAATCTCCTGTCGGCGTGAAAGAGGCCTCAGTCAATAATAAATTGGGCGGCAAGAAAGCTTCTTCTCATCCTCTAGCAGCTTGTGGAACCGATTCCGACAGTGAATCCTACACCTCATCCTCTCTGAATGGTAGTTTTGTTGTTCTTTTGTGTGGATTTTGTATGTCCCGAGGTGGAATGTATTTTATACGATCTGCAGGTGCCGATGGCGTTGGGATGGGGAAGGAATCACACACCGACTCCATATCAGCTGGTAGGTGTCTTTAGGACTGAGCCATAACCTACCCATTCATTTATCCTCCCTCGTCTTATCTTCGTTTACGTCCATTGCTATACCTTTCAGCACTACTTCCATCACTGCTTAAACCCCTATTCTTCTTTTGGATGTGTGCAAAGGAAGCACGAGCTTCCAATCGCTTGCTTCCACCTTTTTAATTCCAAAACGCAAGTGAAGTGTTGGTGATACTTTTAGGAGAGAATGCAGACCTTGAGGACAACCTTGACGACCTCACCAGTCACCTCTCGGATGGCTCAGCGCTCATCCTGCCGATTTCACCGGATTCGGAGACGTTGATGTGCAAGGATCTCGCTACAAAACTTCGCATTTCCTCGGCCGGCGACGAGACGGCGATTGCCCAGCCGGACGAGGATGTGATGGCGAAAAAAGTCGCCATTTCTCCCATTTTGTCGGCACTACCGTCTCATCCCACCGATCTTGAGCTCTGTCTGGCCAAATTCGTTGAGCTTACAGAGCTGACTGGTACCAATCAACCTTTCTGCGAGCGATGCACGGAATGCACCAGTGGTGACTCTGGCGACAGTGAAAGCAGCAGCAAGGGCGGTGTTCGCCGCGACTCTGTGAAACGTGATCTCATTATCAAACCACCGGCTGTGCTCACCCTACATCTCAAGCGTTATTTCCAGGTAACCTGTCAAACTTGCTCTCCATTCTTTCTAGTCAACCCCTTCCTCTCTTCCCTCTGCATTCACTCAAACTTCGGGTGGTGTCTTTGAGGCTGCTATATCTCTGCAGCATGTGTTGCGTTTTAATGCCTCAATTTGAGATCTCTTCAGTGTTTACAGCTTTTTATGTTCTTAGGTCTTTTTTGCGTCGCTTTTCTTGATAGACAAGAAATTTAATTTGCTTAGGCAGATTCGTATGCGCTCCTTCTCTTATCTTTTCAGTGTGGCCGTCGCCTACAGAAATGTTCAAAACAAATCACCTTCCCAATTAACCTTGATCTGAGACCCTATTGTTCGCGTTTGGCTCGGGTATGCAAAGTTGTGTGCATTTCTTCACTTTGTCTGATGCTCCGTTTTTAAAAATGTACCGAAGGAGGCATTTGACAACCGTTAGCCATTCTTGATTTCGAAGGCACAACGTTTCTTGATGTTATTAGTGCCCTTGCTTTCAAAGCTGGCTGCAATAATTTAGCTTTCTTGTGCCTTCTGTTGATAAAGCTCTCCTCGGGCGAGGGTCAGTATCGCCTCTTTGGTGTGGTGGAGCATTCAGGCCAACTTCGCAGTGGTCACTACGTGTGCTACGTGGCAGAACAAAGTGACATTCCTGCCTCTAGATTCATAACGCAACTGGAGAAACCGGATCCCTGGCCCCTTCACCTCTACCACCTGGTGTGTCAACTGCGTCGTGGTGATCGACGCGTCATTTATGGCCAAGTCGACGACGACACCTACATAGATGAGGCATCAAGGACCAGTGACGCGCGGACCTGGTACTACATCAGTGATACTCACGTGACCCGCACCTCCGTCTCCAACGTTCTCAGTGCTCAACCCTACCTCCTTTTCTACCAACGAGTTCGGTAGTCCTTATTCTTCTTCCTCCTTGTACCGTTTATTCCAACAAAAAAGATAAAGCTATATTTTACGTGAAAATTATATTTTTATCATTTTTAAAGACATTCTGAAAGTTGTTGTGGCTTTGGTTTGGTTTGCATTGTACATTTCTGTCTGATTGGGAGGCTGATTTCACTTTGAACTACCGTTGGATAACGGAAAGTGAGACGGGTATGTGAAATGCTCCTCGTGAAAAGCCACAAAAGTAGTGAAGGTGTAATTTGTGGTGAGACGATGATTGTGACTCTAAAAGCCTTAACAGAGGTTTTGTCCAGCCACTATTTTTTCTTCACGTCATCTGTTTGCATGTTCTACAAAAAATGTAGTCTCAGTCTCCTTCAATGTATATATTCTTAACGCTATGCTTAGGTAAACTGAAGTGGTCTAAATCTCATTGACTAACTATGCCGAAGGTTATCAGATGTCGAAGATGCGAAGTTAAGAGGATGGACAGGAGACACTGGCGACACAATCGCTAGCTTGACAGTTGACACCCTCGTCTACTGGACACCTTTGCGACTGCATCCATCTAAGCGCTTGCTCTCAGTGAGAGTGGAAGTGATGTTTACTTTTGCAAGGATAATGGGCGACAGGGCGGTTGGACGGCTGAACGCAGATAATGTCAAACGGAGGATTCATGATGGTCAACTGGAAACTGGTTTTGATGTAAAGTTGAATGGTTAAGAGGGTCGCATTTTTAAATGCATTTGCTGCACTTTTCGACTCGCCTTCATCACAATCGACTCGTAGACGTAATCGACACTCGCACCTACGTTCCCTTCATAAAGCCATTGAGAACATTGCAGACGCAATTCAAAGTACCATTCCACACTACCTTTAGTCATTATTTCCTTTTTTTTCAGTTTTCCATGCCTTTTCAATAAGTTACACTCAAAGTCAATGCAACTTCTTGTGCACTTTCCATCGGCACGGGTTTGGATTGTGTGACGATTAGAGGCAAAAGTGAACTCTCACAAAATAACAAACTATGCGTCAATGTGACGACAGTTGCGTATTACATCAGGCACGATTTGAAGGAAGTTGGCGTCTTCTATTTTAGCGACGAGGACTTGATGGAAATGACACTGACAAGACGAAAAGACTTGAATGTTCAAAGCACGATCTTGATGAATAAATAACAGTGATAATGAAGGAATGAAGTTTGGCGTTGGCAGCGCCGGTCAATGGGGGCAGACGTGACTACCGACCCTTGCAAGTTTGCCTAACGAGCCAAGAATGATCACACGGTGGGTTTAATTTTGCCAGTGATGCTGATGTGGCGCCCCCATTTCGCCATGCTCACAGACGACATTTAGGGGACAGCTACGACTACCAAGACTACCTGGCGCCACATTCTTCAGAGCTGCTTTGGCAGCGCTGAAACACTTGTGGTCACCCATTTGCTTCTTTTTTCCTTTTTTTGCCAAAGGTAGATGCACATCCCAACTGCCAACTGTTTGAAGTTGGCAGTGATGGTGATCCCAAAGATCACATCTGACCGACTCCCTTTTTCATTGCAAATGTTACTCTACCCGCCACACACCAATAACACCTGAAAAGTTTTACCAATTTATTGTCAACTAAAAAAGCGGAGACAAGCTTTGACACCTCTGCAAATTATGCTGGCATCAGGACGTGGGAGCAGTGCTGGTGAGAGGCGATGATGGCCTTCAGTTCATCTGCCGAGAGGACTTCTTTCTCCATCAATTCCTCAACAATGCAACGCAATTTACACTCATTTTTTGTAATCAGCGCTATAGCACGCTGGAAGGCCTCGGCAAGTAGACGATGCACCTCAAAGTCAATCAGAGCCGCGGTCCGCTTGCTGTATGGCTCCACGGAGAAGCTGCTTTGCCATTGATCCTGTGAGAATTATTAACTTGATTACCTATCATTGTTAAGTATCATTGTAAGAACAACACATCAGTTCCCCCTTCCTCTCTCCCTCCTCTCCACCCTAACTTGGTTTTATAGTGGCCTTATCACCTGGTTGCGAAGTTTAGTGCTTTTACAGAATAAAATAAAATAAAATGGGTGGCTAAGTTTTGTAGACAATTAAAAGTGCGGATGAAAGTATTAATGAATGTCAAGCCTTACAATAATTTTGCCCAAAGATGACACCTAATCGGTGCAACAGCAAACCTTTCTTCTAAACGTGGCTTGGTTCGCTGTTAGCAGTGGGAATGGTAGGAGTACAGAAATGGTTAAAAGCACCGCCGTTTCCCTATTGGGGAGGAAGGCGACTTCTCGTACTATGCTAAAGAATAATTTGTGCAAAGCATTTGTCTACTTCTTCTGCCTCTTATCTGTGCTCATACCGACTTACTGTTCTACAGCATCACCAAAGACCTTGGCTATAGAGGCATAGGAGGTGTTGCAATCGTGGCAGATTTCTTTAAACACGCATTCGTCGTAAGGAATTAAGAAAAACTTTGAGTCTTATTAAAGAAAAGGAGAGAGAGAGAGAGAGAGAGAAAATGCAATTGGCCACAAGCCGAGAGAAGGAGGAGGTAGAGGAGAAACGTACGCCAAAACTTAGATTGCCCACGGCCTTTGACATGCCCCAATCTCTCACCTCCTTGTAGGCGAGGTCAGTGGCTTTCTTAAGGTACTGCTCGGAGGCTGAAATGACAGAACAGAGGAAAACAACAATGTGTGCATCAGCCATGCACGCAAGTAAGCACATCCACTTCCAATGTTTGACTAGCAGAAAAGTAGGATCAGCTGGCGTCAGCATGGAACATTCGTTACAGTGGTTACATTGCAAATCTGCATAATCGGCGGGTAAACAGGCCTACAAGTGTCAACTTACCATCTGATGAGGCCTTAAAGACAATCTCCTCGGCGGCCTTACCGGCGAGGAGAACAGTGATCCGGTCAGCGACTTCGTCACAGGAGAGAAGGAACCGCTCTTCGGGGACAAATTGAGTGAAGCCAAGACCACCAGACACACCAGAGGTGCCAGTGGAGGCGCGGGGCACGATGGAGACGCGGAAAGGCGTTAGTCCCGTTGAGGGTAGCAACGAAGCTACTAGCGCACGCCCCGCCTCTTGCACAGCCGCCACCTGACGCTCAGACTGCGACAGCGGACTCGAACGCTTTGCGGCACCTGCCTCAATGCAATCCACCTTTCATCCACCTCATTCCAATTCCAATGATGTAGATTTTCGAAAGCCTAGCATATCCTCAACCACACCAAAGTGGACAATTACGATGGTCATTCAAATGTGCCATAAAAATGACACTTGAGAGTCAAACCACATACACTCGAGATGGCAATCCAGTCATTACAACTTTCCACCGAGATGGGAAAGTGAAGAAGTGAGAAATCGAAAATAAATTCATACCTGCAAGAACACGCTCTAGTGCGCTGTCAAAGTGTGCATCTTGGATACCCTCTTCAGCGTTGGCACCTCTGGCAGTGATGAGAGCAGCCTCATTGCACAGCCGCGCAATATCCGCACCAGACATGCCCGACGTCCACGTAGCTAGGCGATCACGCAGTGCCGACACGTTGATGCTGGTGGCCAGTTTGTACTTTCCTATGGATTGCATTACAAGTTGCACGCATTGTCGTTTACTCCAATTAATGCTTCTGACACCATCCACCTTAACGCTTTCTAGCGACAAACGTAGGCTCTACGTACTTTAACTCAGACAATAACCAGGAGCACAGATTTTCACCACCACAAAGGAGAACATTACATCGACTCTTCGAAAATGCAGTGCAATAACGGTGGTACAAATAAACTCAACCCACTGAGGTACATGTCCAGAAGATCTTTGCGCTCAGCCATATTAGGTAGGTCAATGAAGATGTGGCGATCAAATCGACCAGCCCGTAGCAGAGCCTTATCCAACAGATCGGCGCGGTTTGTTGCCGCAAAAACGATGGTTCCCTCGGTAGTGTCCATTCCATCCATCTCTACCAGCAACTGGTTCAACGTCTGTTCCATTTCTGCCACCCCGCCACCACCACCACCTGGTCTGGAAAGCATGATGAAGGAAATTGTGCCTTACAGATAGTACGCGAATGTGAGACGCTAGTGATGCCATAGAAGAAATCAACCATCGCAAAGGCAAAACTGTCACTTCTGCTTTCATACTCTTTCACTAATATTTTTTTCCCAAAAAATGGTAAAATTGGGAAGCACTGATGAAACAATTTGACTTGGAAATGGTAACAAATACAAATTTGAAAAGCCTTGCTCAAAACACGTCATCTTAACTGAAACAGAATGTCTGTATCCTTTTCAAGCTGACAATATCGTTTCTACAACATTACTTAACTTTCCATTTGAGGCATTCAACGTTTCTATTGAAGAGAAATGTTCGACGCAGGAATCGCACCTTGTTTTACGAAAAATGAAATGAAATGAATTCTTTAATCACTGGAACTAAACACTCAACATGAGTGTCACTTAGTGGACGATTCCCTAGAAATAGCAGAAATGCAATGAGAAGCATGAGCAAACAGTGGTTAGAGAAGAATGCAGCCTGGACGTGAATGGAACACCATCTTAAACCCTCTCGATGGGTCAACATCTCATCACTGTGTCGGTCAAAATGAGGGAAGTGAACTATCGAGAAAGGAAGGTGTCAGCATACACTGAAGCAGAACGTTTACGTCCGACGGAGTCGATTTCATCAATGAAGATAATGGAGGGGGACCTCTGTCTGGCGGCATTGAATAGTTTGCGAATTCGTGAAGCACCGAGACCACCAATGATCTCGATAAACTCCGAACCGGCCATAGAGTAGAAAGGCACACCAACCTCGTGTGCAAGGGCTTTGACAAGGAGAGTCTTGCCAGTTCCCGGTGGACCTAGCAGGAGCGCACCTTTTGGCAGCTTTGCACCAAGAGCCTCATATTTGGTGGGATTTTTGAGATACGAAACAAATTCCATCACCTCCTCCTTCGCTGCGTGCATGCCTGCTACATCCTGCAACGTTAAAATGGTAAGAGAATTGGTAAATGAGATTTAAAGGTGGTGTTTTCCATGATTCCAAAGATCAATCTCAACCAAAAAGGCTTACACACCCAGCCAAAAGAAAAGCTGATACCTTTAGCAGCAAGCCTGATCAAAATGAAAACTTTACTAGAAATAAATGATGAATTAAATCAGACAAGTCCGACCTCACAAAAATAATGTAAAAGGATTAAAAGAAAAATAGTGGCATCGCCACGTAGAATAAGTCATATGTGATTTTGAAAGCACCTCATCATCAGTGATTAATTTACTGTGAATGTAGTCAGATTGATATTCACAGATGCATAGTTTGGCTCACAGCGAATGTAGTGTTTGTGGTGATGGGTTGAGGCTCGCCCAAACCGGGAAATGCATCAAGGAACGGCATTCCACTGCCGAAACCTCCAGTATAACTGCTACCGACACTAGGCTCATCCTTCGACACCCGCGGTGGCGGTGATTGCATCTGCGGCTCCGGTTTGGTGTGAGACTCAACACCGCCTTTCTGGGAGGTTAGCTTCCGCAGAGCCACCATAATTGCTTCCCTCGGTGGCAGGTTACGAGGAGAATTCTTATATATCCACACAAACAAAACTGTTGCAGCAACCGCTGAAGAGAGTATGACCGTAATTAAGAGGTCATCGTTACTCATTTCTTGACTAAAAAGCATCAATATTTTGAGGTTTAAAGTTAAGTAGATGAGACTTTGAAAAATTGAGGCAAGCAATGGAGACTCACGTAAGAACAAGAGGTATCCGGTCGGAATTAGGAATGCCTATTTTGGACTCAAATAGACGCACTCGACGATCGAAATCAAGAGCTGTTTCATTTTCAAGTGGAACACTGACTACCTTGAATATAACAAAGAGAAAAAACAATGCATCCATAAATTTAGCAAAAAAAAACAAAAAAATATATTTCACGAAATTGGATAAAAGTGGTGGCAAAAATGAAGCCTAAATATGTACAGAGGTAACATCGGAGAAAACTAAATAAACTACATATTACTAACAAAGACAGCCTTCCCATCTACGATTTGCGCAGATTGAAGAAGAATAAGCGCCCTTTTACGACTCTGTGAGACTTGAACACTGCGGACTTCACCACGAGACAACAATTCTTCAAACACTCGCCACGACACTTCAACAGGCTTGGCAACTCTGTATATATAATAGGCTATGGCTAATGAAAGGCCAGCTGAAAAGGCTATGAAGGGAGCAATGAACATCTTCTTGGGAGGTCGGCGAGAACCGGCTCCTTCCTCTGCCTTGGGCAGCGCGGACTTGGAATCCTGTCCAAGCCATCTAACGTTTGTGCTGGTTTGACGAGGTTGACAAGGATATATGAGGCGAACTCCAGTGGCAGTGTTTGAAACCTGTGCAAGAGCTCGTCTAGAAGAACGCATTAGGTTGAAGAATGTTCGCCGAATTGATGGATAAAACATCATACTAGTTGCCAAAACGAGAAGCGACGCTCCAGAAATTCATGACAATATTGTAAAAACCAAGCTTAGACCCACCCTGAGGAGGATTCGACAGGACTTATACTTGGCTAAAGTAGCTACGTAGAGATGATCCAAAACACGGGGGCCTAAATCTCCGGAAGATATGCGAACGCAATGATTGGGTGATTTGTCTGTGTAAATCTCTGACGATTCACTAAAACAACCTTAAGCTTACAATAGCAAACCAACATTTCATATATCCGATCTGAAGGAGATTTAGCATTTCAATATGCTCTGAAGGTTACATACACAAACATTTTACGTTAAAACATCAAACCAGTCTTCTCCAAAACAACTCGTGAGCAATGTGAACGACGTAATTTGCACGCGCCCACACCCAAGCAGCAAACAACGACCATGAATGAGTGGACCGACACGGATTTCGCACAGCTGCACCCCTCCAATCTGCGAACGCTAACACCGCCAGCTCTCAACTCGTCATGGATGATAAACACTCCTCTGCGGGGATGTGAACAAGCCCTAATTTTCAGCGACGACCTCGGCCCGATTAAGAATCACAAGGAGACTGCATGCACACAGATCGCTGCACAGTCATATTTCCCACCCGCTTAAAAGACTAGCGCTACAAAAATTAGATCTATGTTATGTACACATAATACACAAAATTTAAATCACCTAAAATATTGCAGCACCACAATTAAGCTCAACCTCATTCCTCTTCCTCAATGTCTTCATAAATTTGAGACGACCTCTCCTCCTCACCATCTTCCTCATCTACTTCGTAGTAATGCCTCACTGCAGCAGCGGCTATGCGCCTGGGCCGCAACCGACTCCCTCGCCCTTCCTCCACGAGCTCCTGAGGGTGGCACAGTCGACGTCTAGAGCTGCGTCTAGGCGCCGTTAAAATACAGGAATTGCGGAGAGAGCGGCTGCGTGTGAAATGACCTACGGAGGCGGTCGCAGAGGCAGAGGTGCTGGAAGAAGAGGATGTAGTGCTGCGGGAAGTTCCACGGGTACGCAATGAACGTCGATATTTGCGACCACGGCAAGCACGAGTTCCTCCAACGCTGCCGGAATGAACATCCCCGGTTGTCCTTCCATTACTCCTGTTATGCGCCTGTCCCACACCGTTGGATATGCTGACCGGTACGGCAACAGTTGTTGTACCTTTTGAGTGCCAAAAAACATACTGACTGTTTCACATTAAGAAAAAACACGACTAACACCATTGATTGAAGCTCCTTCAGACACAATCGACTCAAGGGAGCAGCAAAATAAACATGAAGCCACAAATGCAAACGAATTTGATTGATTAGTGTGGGTCAAAAACAGGAATGGAGCTTACCATCAGTGTTCTCGCTGGAGTAGAGCATGAAAAAAAAAAAAAAGCATATAATAATCTTGAATTAAAAGGCAAACAAGAAAGAAACGGAAACATGCGTGCACCCTTAAAGAATTTTAGGGACCAACTAATTGCATATCCAACTTTCGGCCATATTCATGATGAAGTGCCATAACAATTTCGGACACAGTTCACTCAATAAGCCGCAAATGTGTAACGCCAAAATGAAAAGTTCGGCTTACGGTTGCGCAAAAGGTCAACCGTAGTTGCTAGCGTGAGAATGTCAAGATTCAGCCAGCTGAACTCACTGGAGCCTGCGCAAAGATGCCCTGGTGGTGGGTCTAACACTTCGTAAACGTGGATGAACATCAGTGTCATCGTTGTTGTCCTCCTGGGTTGATTCACCAGAAGCTGGAAGGGAATCGTCTCCTAGGTATAGGGAGAGCCGTTTCTTTGCCACCTTTTGTATCCACCGCGACAACCATCGAGTGTCCGAGTATACCTGTAAGAAATCATTTCTTTTTTCTTTATTCTGCAAGGTGTTAATAGCATACTCTAATGACAGCAATTAAACGGCCTACCCTCCAGTCTACTAGCATACTTCCATGCTTACCTGTGTTTCAGAGTCCCGATTGAAGAGACGAGAGTTATTAACAATTAATTCAAGATCTTCAAGGAACTGACGTGGTCCGGAATAAGTAGCGACATCACCTTGGCGTGAATGCTGCAAAAGACGAGTCTGAACGGAAGCCAGATCCATTGGATTTCGAATGATCTCTCGGTAAGTCTAAGAAGTAAAACAAAATGTCATCAACTTAGTCACAGGACTCGGAAATTACAGAACTCAGTAAAGCAAGGAAATAGAATGTCTGCGTTTGTTTGTTAGCCGTTTAAAGGAATGCCCAGAGCAGAATCGGAAGAAGCTCAAGACATCAGGGAATGACTCGACAAACGAACTCAAAAGTTGACAGCGAATGTAATGATTTGGTATTACTCGTTCCGCATGACATAAGCAATGAAACATTCAAATCTCACGGTCATGAGCCAACTTACTGCATACTGATTGACGTTGACTGGTTCACGAAAGAAATAACTGCGTCGATCGCGTTTCACTTCACGCAAGAGTTGGCGGCATACTCTCCGCCAATCAAGCGCATCGACTCGTCTTTCAGTCGAATGTGATGGTAGCGATGGTGGTGGCGGCGGAGGGGCGGTAAGAGTCCGAAGGGGATAACGTGACTCTCCGCTGCCGTCAAGAGAACGACGCTTTGATACTGGAGCAAGGTCTGTCCGATTTTCTGGTGGTCGTGAGCGTTTTGTACTTGCGGCAGTTGTGGTGCTAGGAGTGGACGTAGAGGGCACAACAACATCTGGAACGTCGTCCACAAACATGCTATGTTCTTCTTCTCCGACTTCTTCTTCTTCCTGCTCTTCTTCTTCTTCTTCCTCTTCTTCTTCTTCTCCTTCATCAACCTCCTGCACTGCAGGGAGCGTAGAAGACGAGGAATTCTGAGGCACCTCGAATGCAGGATCCAGTTGGGGATCCAAAGTCACTGCTAATGTGTAGTTGTCCATCAATTTGTCCTGTGAGTAAAACGACCAACACATGACGAATTTCTCAATAGCAAATTTCAAAATTTTGCAAGTTATTTACACGCATGGAGCTGGAGCAAATTAGACCATAGACGTATTAACTAATCCAAAACAAGCAAACAGACAATATTAATAGGCGTAGAAGACAAAAGCAGCAATAAATTCCCATGAATTTGAGTGGATGACAGAGGATTATCGTTTGGAAGTCAAATGAAGGTACAAACAGACGTGACTATCGGTTTGCACGGGAACTGAATGCGAGAGCTGAATTGGACCACCAAAACACTTGGTCCAGTGTCTCAGTGAGTATCACTGGAGACTATTATTGCAAAAGATCAAGACACTGCAATTTCACGACATACCAGATTAAAATTCGCATCAGAGATGGCTTTGAGAGCCAGAGAAGTGACCAGGTGCGCCTGGCGTACAATGAGACTCGTTGGCTCGTTGTACCGAAGAGCATTCTTAAAAATCTGCTCCAAATCGAAGCGAATAGCTTCTGATTGCCTGATTCAAGGTGGGAGAAAACAAATGAGTGTAAAATGAATAAGGATGACCACGTATAGGGGTAAAAAAATGCCTCATACCTGTAAAAGAGGCTTTCCAGACGGCTGCGTATAAAGAGTAGATCTACCAAGTTGGGATTAACCACGATGTAATTTGGAAATGCTGCCAAATCCACGGGATTGTTAAATGCTGCGGCAGCATTCAGTGTCATTAGCTAAATGAATGCAAAAAAGTTTCGAATGTCCAACCAGGTTCGAGGGCTTAAAACAGGCAATGATTCGGTGCTCCGACCAACCTTGTCAAGGACAGCTTTGATGCGTTCAATAACCTCCCCAAAGGTAGTGTTGGTGTTGTTGGAAGAGGTTGATGGTTCCGAAGAGGACACAGCAATGGGCTGCGAGCCCCTGGACCCAAAAAGCCGGGTTAGCCGATCCACCGGAATCCTAATGTCTCCACTGTGCATGAAGACCGAAGAAAATGTTGTTGTTGGATCATCTGGAAGAAGTGAAAATAACAACAAGTAGTACATAAACATAAACTCGATTCAGTGAAGTTGTATAAACAGGATTTACCGGAAATGGGAAGTCTGCTGACCCAAGGGTGCATGTCCCAAGGACTCAAGCTGTCCGAAAATGTGATAACAACATCACCGTCGAAACCGCCTTCCAAAGATTCCACAGCCGAACAATTGGAGAGACTTGGTGGCAAAAGGGGTTCGTGAGCGGCTCCTGTTTCATGATTTTCCAACCAACGAACCCGAACCCCTAACCATGGATCAATTTGAGGTAAAGGAAGTGCGGATGATGAGGAGGTGCTAGGGTTGAAGGCAGAAAAGTTACGCAGAACACGTCCGCGCCACCAGACATTCTCCACAGGACAAATGAAGACGTCACCTAGTAGTGCAAATCATTATACTTTATCACAAGATGCTCACCGGGAACGCATGGTGACATCTGATTGCCTGTCAAAGACCTGTTCATAACCAGACCCGCACACTGCCCCACTACTAAATGCTTTGAGCTGAGTAATTCGTTCTTGTGCATGAAGGCTTAACCACAAGAGTAATTCACGCCCTGAAGGTCACGTATTAAGGTGGGGAACACATTTAATTACGAGGTAGTAAGCTCGATGGAAAACAGCAATCCAACAGTCAAAGACATAGAAGACCTTGTCACGACCTGAAACACCGCGTTTCAAAAGCGATAAACTAACTTAAAGCCAACAAAGATGCCTAACGAACCAGCGTTCCAAGAGCGGTTGATAGCCTCGTCAAAGACACCTCGAAGAACAAGGAAGTCAAGCACCCCATCAACATCATGGTAGCGAATGAATATTTCCTTCGGTAGGGGTGTTTGTGGTCTGATTCCAGAGTCAGCAAGGTAAGAGTAGGGTTGCTGTCGTTCCACGACGAGACGAAGGGACACGAGACGCACAAAACTGTCCGCAGAGTCTGTGACATCGGTGACGGCGTCAACTGCTGCAGGAGAAGCTCGAACCAGAGATTGTGTGAAACGACCGGTAGAGGTGGAGTTTGTAGAGGTGGCATTTCGGTGACGAAGGGAGGAGGAAGTGGAGGTGTTGGAATGGGGTCTCCTATTACTGGATGCAGTGGTAGTTCGCATGAAATGCACTGCCATTTCGGAGATGCGGCAACAAAGGTAGCCCTGGACAAGAGATGCTTGAATCAGCACCAAGATAACACTAAGAAGCTCCCCTTTCTGTGCAATTAAAGAAATGGCTTCACATCCTCCAAAAAATCAAGAAGTTGAATCACTCACAGGCAGTGCGGGATTCTGCTCCCACGGTAGTGGAAGACGCTCTGCCTCCAAATAACCATCATCAGGGTTTATGACGTCGATAGTAGGAACGGACCCTTCATGCCAGGCCCGACTCAAATACTCCTTGTGTCCACGCACCACATAGACCAACCGATCGCCCAGTTGGGGCACATAGGGTGATGCAGAAGGCTTTGTGGCAGAGAGCCAGTCCAAATGCGGACCCAACCATGAGGTGGATTCAGAGTCAAGAGGTCCTGGTGTCGCGTCTCCTGTGGGATTGGAGACGCCGGAAAAACCGTTCGGTGGCGGTTCAAGAAGAGGCAAATCCACATGGTGCTAAAAAAAGGAGATCAATGGAATGATTGATGAGGTTGTGCATAATGAGGTAGAAAAGTTCGAACGAATCGCAGAGGTTGCTTCCAAAAAGTGATTTAAAAAACTGCTTAAAAACTGTTTATAAGAGAAGGGCCTTGAGATTCAATAAAGCGCCCCGTACAGGCAAGAAAACCACGTTTCGAACACATTTAAAAACCTTTAAAAATGACTAAATAGACCCAACAAACTGTGAGAAATGTCCCTTGTCGCTTTGGTGGGCCTAGATTGACCACAAATGAGAGGAAAAGTTAGATAATCTGGCAAATCCTATTGCCTCCCAACTGAGATGCCTAAAATTATTGCAATAACAGCAAAGCAAATGACAATGTCTTCCACATGTCCTCGTCTCCTTTGAAATTCACACCGCGGCAGGCGCAACCGGATTTCGAATTGGCCAAATGTCACGCTCAAAGTTACAACATTAGTCACGCATATTGTGGGGCCAAGCCAAATACTAGCGAAGGATGAGGCCAAGGTCAGAGAGGCGTGTATGTCAAATATTTGCAATTATTTGACGAAAAAAATAAACCTCCTGGCCATGCACTTCGAGTCGAAATGCCAGCCTCAAATCGCCTTTAAGCTCACTTTATCTTGGACCAGTGTGGATGCCGAAAAACCAAAATACTTATTTTGATGGTAAATAGTTAGAATTCAGCACCATAAAAACACTCAAAAAGAATGATAATATAAAGCAAATACCTTGATGAGGTACTTACTGAGGTAATGAAGTCGATACTGCGGATGAGCTGCTGCTTGATTCGTTCCTTCGGGTTGACAGGAATGGCATCAGCAACCTCAACTACTTCATCGTTCATCTCAAGATCCTCCAAACTGTTTAGGGGTACCGACTCTGTTTCGCCTGTAGTTATCGTAGCGCTTCTTCGTAGCATAGTTACCGTCTCTGAAAGACCACGCTGCCGCCGGAATCGTCTTAGACGTTCGGAGCGTCGAGCACGCCGCAGTGTGCGCACCGCCTCCAGTTGAGTTGCCAGAGATAGTTGGTTTTGACGCTCACGACGACGTCGCTGGCGTTGTCGTGCTGAGCGACGAATCACGGAGTCGTCAAGACTGCTGTTCATCAGAGGACTTGCCAATTCTGCATTGGTGCGGTGACGGCTTGTTGACGATGGCTTAGGAGTTTGAAACCAAAAGTTTTGTCAAACATGTGACAGTCATTCTTGGTATATCATTACTCTGTTTGAAAAGGCTAGCAAAGTAGGAGAAAGAATTGTAGACAACTTAAGCGTCGAACGTGAGTGTTACGTGCGAAGTTTGCAAATATGAGTTAACAACAATGACCATCACCAAAGCATGGGAGAAAGGTGCCTGAGCTACAACGGTACAGCAGAGGATGTAGTTACCTGCTCCACAGCCTCGAGCTGCAATCGTCGCGTTCTTGATCGAGTTGTTGGAATGCGATTGCGACGTGTTCGACTGGAGCCCCAACCCACCTCTTCACCCATGTGTGCTGACCAATCTGAATCGTTCTCTGAGTCGTCCACCACCTCCCCACCATCTGCATCCAAGAGTGGGTCACTGGATAACCGAAAGACATTATCACCCTCCCCATCTCCGCCTCCTGCATCGCCCACCAAAACCGCCAACGACGACGACGATTGTGTCTCGCCTAGAGCTGCTGCCGATTGAACGGTACTCTCGACGGGCGGAATGGCTGTACTGTCTACATGCCCATCAACAAGGCTGGAGGTTGAAAGGTTGGGAGCTTGCGAAACCTCACGAGAGGCCTCCTTTTCACTTTCTTGCCGACTCAGGAACTTACTGAGTTCCAACCTATAATAGTTATACATTAAAATTATCTTCATGAGCGAAGAAAGAGGATGAAAATGGTATCTCGAAAACTCACTTCACATCATTTCTAGATAGAGGACAAATAAGATCATCTTCACCCGAGAGCCAGTGACAGCACCAGAGATAAGTCTTGTTATAATCCCGTTGTGCCGACGAAGGAATGGGTGTGGGGCAGCAGTAAGTGGATGGAACGTTTGCAGCAAGCTGTATGTCGTCCACAACGACCTCCTCACCGTCTGAATACAATCACAAAAGAAGAGCAACGATCTCCTGTTATTTAGCCTTCACTCAGCAAATGGGGATCATCTGATACACCCAGTTATAGGTGCTGCCAATTAATACTTCCAGTCCTTGAGTTTGGTTCTCCGGTTGCTCAAATGACACACTCCTTTTTAATTTGCCGAGTATCCTCTACCTTGAAGTAGGTGGGGCAAATTTGAGAGATTTAATCTTAGAGAACGAATTCACTGCTAAAGTAAGGCAGCTAATTGGGAATGAAAGTCAGATTAAGAGTTTATATAAACAGGTGGCGGTTACCCACCAAGTTTACACGGGTTAGCATACCACACCTGCTGTCCAATTCGCTTCACTCGACTGCGAAGCCCTTCAACTGACCATTAAATCTGCTCATACCAGGTTTACTCAAGTAAGCTTCCTCACCAAGTCTGCCAAGCTTATGCAATCACCTAGATGATACATACTAGCTGAATGAGATTCGGCAATGCCTTTGAAAGTGGTACAAACATATGAATTCACTGTCATTAACACAAGGATATTCAGGATGAAAGATGACCCATCTAGCGAACGCCAAACAGTAAATTTTTGGTATAATGGCCCCCACACGAAAAGAGCGCTTCAATCTCCCTCCCAATCCATGGCCAGTGATAATGTATTTTCCGATTCACGTGTTCATCGGCCAGCCCTGGGCTTTTCAGCCATCTGTCCATAGACGAAAGCCTATTTTTGTCAGCTTTGAAGGAATGGATATGCAAAGTACGACACGAAAATGGGAATGTCTGACATGATGTAGTCCATATAGGTCCCACATGATTAAACTTCTGTGAAGTTTGAGTAAACATTTGAATGTTTTTCGACATCAATGATCTTTCGCTTAAAAGGCAAAGTAAACTGCAGTCAGATCCCAACGGGATTGGGATGAGAGCTACAAATTATGAGGGGAACCTACCATCCTCCATGGTGGTTGGCCTGGCATCGATTGGGCTGAAAGCCTGTCTTCCAGGCACCTGGGCAATCTGTCTGGCTGAGGAATAGGGATAGCCCCTTAAGGTGGTCAGATAGGCCGGCGGCAGTCGAGAGAAAGGCACACCGCTGGGCTCGTGGACGAGCTGGAAAAGAACACCGAGCGGTGGTTGAAATACACCAGTGACGCTGTCATCGTTGCTATTACCATTTGATGAATTGACGTCTTGTTGCTGGAGTTGATGGTGTTGCTGAGGCTGCTGAACCTGTGAGGTGGAGCCTGCGTTAAATGACTGACTGGAAGCGGGCGAACCCAAAGCCAACGCTACATTGTTTGACGGCTGAGGCACCTCCCGCAGAGCCGCAGCGTCCATCTCCCAGTGCAGGAATTGTTCCTCGTAGGGCGGTGGCTTCAGAGTAAAGTAAAGTTTCTATTTAATATGCTAAGTTGTACATTCAGCAATGATGGTTTTGGATGAAAATGAGTGAATTTTCCGAAATAAGCACTGAGGTTCCAAGACCACGTGTTAACTAGATTTCGCCAATCTCCAAGTTAGGCGTTTGCAATTTTGGCAATTCAATCCAAACATGTAGTACATGTAGTCAATTTGAGATTTGTTTTGAAAAACTAATGACACGAAAGATGAGTAGAATTACACGTAATTTCCCTAAAAGAATCTTTTCGAGACAAACCAGCGCGATGCCAAGAATCAACCACCTGTCGTCTACATCGAGTTAACAAAATCTCACACCGATGAACTGTGCCAGACGAAAAGTGCGAGGAATAGATGATCACCTCAGCACCAGATAGTCGCTTTACAGGTTCCACTTCCTGACTAGGAGCAAACAATGAGATGACACCAGCCTTCGTGGCCACCAGAAAGCCCGGTCCATTGGCAGTCGGCATAGCAATGCAACACGTGATGCGCTGACTCTGCAGTCCACCGTCTCCGCGAAACCGACGCCGTTCCTCTTCATCCTCCATCGACGCTCCCAAAGAACCTTGGAGTAAATCCGAAGTTGCCATCCCCGTTGCTCCGGCCAAAGGGACTTCAAGTTCCGTAGATTGAAGCCAAGTGATACCCAAATCGGTAATCGGTTGGGGCGCAGGAAACCGATAAAAAAAGAGAATGGAAGGCACAACGGCCGTAGACGGGCCGAAACGCCAGATGTAGAAGCGGCCGTCAGCACCACCAGTTGCCAGAACCTCCTCGCATAGTGGCGAGGTGGCAACAGCGTAAACCGCACCTTCATGCCCCTTCACAAGCAACATAGCGGATGGTTAGAGCTATTGAAGCGAGTGAAAACTGCTTTACTTTTAAAAAAATGAACTTTTAGTGGGGTATCCGCAACCAGATCCCTAGGCAGTTCAACGATAACCATCATTTCCAACTTCCGGTTAAATAATCTCATTTAAAAATTACGTCCAATACTAAGACCATCTTTAGTTCTTGCAGACGAAAGAGTCTACCATCAAAAACAATTATGGAAAGAGAAATGGCTCAACTTATCCTGTTAAATTCGCATCTGTTTTAAGGTGACTCATATTTAAGGTCAGCAGCGTACCCTATCAGTATCAGCTCAACAGAAATACTGTTTTATGGTGCAAGTTCAGGACACCATACTTACGGTGAGGATAGCAACTCTTTCCCCATTCCTTCCATCGAAGATGTTTACAGCTCCGCTTTTGAGACAGACGGCGATGTAAGTATCTTTGCAACTCCATCGCAGAACACAAGGACGACTCTTTGGCCTGTGAGGATAAAATATGGAAATTATAAAAGTCACTCTCCGTGAGCGTATACAGAACGTCAGCTGACCGTTTCCGAAGCTTTAGTTCCGTGCCCGTCCAAAGACCGGCTCGAAGGTTCCAGAGCCAACAGCTACCGCCATCGGATGACCCAGTGGCTAGTTGCACTCCAGAATTGCTGAAAGATACGCTGTTCACGTCGTCCTGCAAAATAAAAAAGGTACTTTCAGTATGAGACTTAAATGCCGAGGATGTTAACGTTCTGGTCCAGGATATAGCAATTAATTTATTGCAATGTTAGGCATAGAATATGACAAAACCTCAGAGTAGCAAAGAAGTTCCCAATACACTTCAACAAAGCATCGGCTTAAACCAATGAGAAGGACAGCCTACTAAGATGATGGTAGCATTCAGCATCCAATGAATTAAAGAATGACGGCAGAAAAATTCAACCAGACACATACATCATGAGCCGATAACCGACCAGCAGAAACGGGGCATCCACCTTCAGTAAAGGAAAACATGCGAACACTATGATCGGTACAGCCTACGGCAACGTGATGTCCTCCTAGGAGAGAAATTAGTCCGTTCGCGAGGGATAATGGAGAGTTGAGAGGCAGAAGTAATTTGTAGCCGCATCCTTAACTCACCTGGACTAACGTCTAGAACAACGGCACTGGTACCACTAGACGAACCGGAATCCGACTCACGAGTGGTGAAGGTAGTAGTGGGGTGGAGGCGGATGCTGCAACAGTGCTCTACAAACCCATCCGCTCCAAATCCAAATTCATTTTCACTAACGGTTAGGGTATGTGTGTATCGAATGAAATGCAATCCACAGCCATAAGAAGATACCAAGAGCCACCCTTCCTTTTCATCTGTAGAGAAATGTCCGCACTGTCAATCGAATAAGGAAGTGCGGAATAAGAAAGGAATCGGAGACCTACTTGGAAGCTCGGATGGTCGGAGTACAGGTAGGAAACTCAAACCCGAAATAACTCTATTGCGACGAGAACCGCGAAAGGATACGAGAGGTTGACCGGTGCGTAGACACCATATAACTAGGGTGCAATCTGCATCCACGGAAACCATCAGATGGTTGTCAATCGACACATCAACCTCGATTATTTCCGCCAAATGGCCTCGTAGCGTATGCCGTAGGAGAGGAACGGAGAGGTCCGGCTTTGGTGATCGTAGAGACCATATTTTTATGGTGTAGTCATCGGAAGCCTAAAGCAAACAAAAAGAAGTACAAACGACAGCTGGCATTTAAGTTATTCCATGGCAAATGAGTCAAAACAGAGCAAAAGCACACCGAAATTCTTGAAAAAAAAGAATTTAGTCCAAACCCTTACATTATGTAAAAGTAAGTAGCTTAAAAAAATTACCGAAATCAAATAATCGGAACGGCGGTCGTATTTGAGGCAATATATGGCCGAACGGTGGGCCAAAACATGTTGCTGGAGCACAATTCTCTTATATACGTCCTGCATTAGCAATGAGAGAAAGCCAATAGGTTTTGGAACTGAGCGGTAATGCCAGATACCACAAGAATGTCCAGTCATTGCAAAAAAAGTCGAGAAATCGAGATCGCGTGAGAACCTGTTCACTCCTTAAGAGTCATATTATTTATAATGTTCCATACGATGAGATTTTATAAGAGCTAAGAGAGAAGAGAGAGAACGAAGACAAGCCGATTTGTTAGTCGATGCAAGGTTGAAGTAATCTTTACAAACAAGGCTGAGACACTGTGGCTCAATATCATTGTAGGTGAGATCCTAAATCATTAGAAGCTAAAATGGTAATTACAATGTTTTCAAATGTTTTGGATTCAAACCCATCTCCCTGGCTTCTTTCACATCCAGCCTAAAAATCAACCTGCAGCAAAGCAACCTACATGTCGATTGTTCATAAAACATTTAACAGCCTATGAAAATAGAAACAAAACAAAGCACTTACTTTCGAACCATCTTTGCACCCTAATGCATCAAGATACCTTGCTATCAGATAAAGAATTTCTACGAGATTAAAGTTTCCAAATATTGAACAAACCAAAGTCATCCATCGATAAGTTGAACACTGATTGTAGAAAACCTCGATCCGCAAGAACAAATAAATTTACTTAAAAAAATCCCGTAACATGCTCAGTATATAACACAACCTAGAATATAAACGGAGCAAATGGAGAATGACTACTATTTACGCGTCACAGGACACTAGCTAACGCAAACTCCTACTGTGATTGGTCTCAGCAAGCAAAGGTCATTTTCAATAAATTCGCCAATTTAAGTGTAAAAACCAACACAGTGGATCCTAACTGTCTAAAAGCCAAGACTCAAATTGCCATTGTAGCCTTTTGATTTTTTTCTAATTTTAATCGTGCAATGCTTAAAGTTTTGCATATAACAAATTGATTTTTTGCACTCTTTATAAAGTAAACATCTTTCAAAAAACTGCTGCAGCTTCTTGAGCCTTCTTACCCCGTAAAAGAAAACAGTAAGTGATGCTAGATGCATGTATTTCATAGAGGATGAAACGACTAAGTCTTAGCATGGCCCACACGTACTAGAATCGAACAAAGCTACCCTTTATACCTAATTGTGTTCGATCCCATTTTCCTTATTACGAATCTTGTCAGACTGGTATTTTTAGATTTATTGCCTAACTTGCATTTGGGCTGATGACTGGCGCAGCTGTTCCTTAATCTTATTCTCACAGCATCGAATATATCATGATGGCATGACTAGCCTTCGACTAGGCCGAAGTCCAATCTCATCCTCATTTTAGAGTCTATTAGAAAATTCTTGATATGCTACACCCTATGATGGGCTTAGATTCGCCTTCTAACCCATGATGATAATTGCGATATTAAAAACCGAAAGGATTACAATTTGCTTTTTAGCAGCGGCCATGCACAAAGCAAATATAAGAGCCATCTCCAAAGTGCTAGTGTAACACGTAATGTTTTTAAATATAATCTAACTAGTTGAAAACAGGAATTAAATTCGAAAGCCATGCACTACCTTATTTTGTGTAACCTTTAAAATGCCTTCTTCTAGGATCGTGGACGAGACTGCTGCAAGGCTCACAATTGATTGTCTCCCAAAAACACGTATCAGGCAAGTTCTGAACATAGTACGAAATATGCCTGTCGGTTAAGCCTTTGATGGAGGCTGCTTACTAGATAATAATGTGTATAAGATCTCTTTGGAGAGAAGAGGAATCCGGCCAATTTGAATTGGCGTGCAGTTGGATTGAGAAAATCGTTCCAAAAACTAACTCCTGCATCCTAGTTGTGCCGCAAGCTCTACAGACTACACCTATATGACTGTGTCAATGAATATTTCTTCAAGCGTTTTCCTTATAAAAAGTCTGCGGTTATGAACTAGGAAAGCGGGATGGAGGGCACTACAGAGACTTCTTCCACTCCAGATATTTTCCATTTGCTGAACCTTGTTCAGTAAACGCAGGAAAGATTTGGATCATGTTACGAACTATAAATGAGGCATTTAATTTTAGCAACGAGCAAGCCGCTCCGTAGTTTACTGGTCTCGGCACATTGTCAGGAGTAGTGCGTATTTATTTAGTAGATTTGTACCAAAGATGGTGTATCTGGGACGACGATCAAGAGTGAGGCTGCATACAGCTGAAATTTTCGCCATTTGGCAGCCATTATGTCGAGAGGTGATCTGATTTCTCAGGTCCCATTAAGGAGAAGTCGCTCCAACGAAGGTGAGCAGATTCCTTTCCTAATCTGAGCTACCACCTACGACTCGAGGCAGCAGCTAATGAAAGCCTCCCTAATTAAGAGTTTAAGGCTCTTTAAGACCTCTTAATCATCATTGCCTGGGTTTCGATACTTAAGGAAACAGTGACAAGCTAGAAAATGGCTCTTACGAATGAGTGCTAGCTTGTCTACTTTTAAACAACGTCGGCCAATGATGACGAAACCGTGAAGAATGGCTTGATGAGGGACGGAGATCCTTCGGAATTCGTCATAAAGTCTAAGACTGCAGATTGTATTCGCCAACCATTCCTGGAAAATTCAGGTCGTCTATCAATGGTGAATGGTCCACTGACGCTGACACCACTGTAGTCCCTATTCTACGTCTGAATCTCTCTTTTATAAAATTACAAAAGATTTTCCTTCACAGTTGTTTATAACGGCATTTCTTAGAGAGAAATAATGCAGAAGGCGACGTTCATTTAGTGGAGAAAGGACGCACCTCTATAAAATCCTCGGGTATGGTATTCGACAAAATCCTCGCACCTCTCTTCAAGTTATTTAAGCGAATAATATGTCATAGGTATTTTGCTTAATTTGATTGCAGAGACATTTTCTTTTCGTATTTTAAAATGCTACGTACGTATATAATAAATTCCAAGAAAGCGTACAAGCATTCTTTAAGATTTCGCTGTGACATTATGTGTTGCTAATTTTTTTGTCATCAACATATTTGTTTTCCGTCCTCCTTTCTGTTTATTCTTTCACAGGTGTTATCGACAGCGCCTTAGACATCCGGTCTATTCGAATCGCACTATATGCTAGAAGAGCTTTTCACCGAATCCTATGTACTCTGGGACAGTCTGCATTTTTGATGTCGATGGAACTCTCACGAAACCGCGACAGGAAAGTTTCTTGAGTAAAGTTTGTGCGATTAAGTAATAATGTCAGTGACATTTTTATGTGTGAACTTCCAATATGTATAACGGAAGTGCATTTTCATAGTTTGACTTAATTCCTCTTCTTTCCTGTGTCTATTGGTAAGTTTTCGGCTGGATTTTTTTTTGCTTTTTTGCGTCAGGCCTTTCCACTAATCCTCTTGTGCAACTCTGCTTTTGCGTACTCTCCCCAGAAATTGCTTGGCTATATTTATTCACTTGCTTCCATGAACTTGTTTTTTCTCCAAGCTTTGGTATTAATCAGTGTAATATATGGTAGTTGGCATTCCGTCGACGTGCTTTAGGGTGAGAATGCAACAAAATTACTACTTATTTTTCCTCCTTGATTATCGTTTGTTCCGGCTCATTGCACCAGATGAGCTGTTAAATTTCTGTAACTTTACTTCAAACACCTTTTAGGTTATAACTCCAGAGATGTATGAATTTCTCTGCAAATTAGATGAGAAGGTGACGGTTGGCCTTGTTGGCGGCTCTGACTTGTGCAAAATTCGAGAACAGATGGGTGGTTCATCGGCCCTGCATAGGTTCAAACATGTCTTTACAGAAAATGGCCTTGTCGCCTATCAATACGATCAACTCATCTGCTCAAAGGTTTCCTCTTTGTTTGCTAAGATTTTGATGTCTTCGGCGGAAAATGTCACTAAGTACTTTCCTTGCAGATGTAGTTTCCTTCAATATGTTATTTTCCGTCCAAGCTTTGTTTGTATTAGAGATTTGATGGCTTAGCACGTTAATTTTTGTTCTTTGAGTGACGGTATCACTCACGTGTATGATCTAAATCAGTGTGTGAAATATCAAACTTTGCTTATTTAAAGAGGGCACCGGAAGTTGGACTCGTGGTGCTACAATAAGACGATTTTGAAGGTATATTTTAAGGAAGGCCTTTTTCTAATATGTAGGATATTGCATCACATATGGGCGAAGATTTATTGCAAAGACTGATAAACTCCGTTCTGCGACATCTCTCAGAGATCAACTTACCGGTCAAGCGAGGTACCTTTGTGGAATTTCGTAAAGGTATGCTCAACGTTAGCCCTGTGGGGCGTAGTTGTTCTCAAGCTGAGCGAGAAGCCTTCTATGTCTATGATAAGGTAAGTCAATTCCCTTCTCTCGACCCCAACCACATAATCTGATCGGCATATCGAGGTTGCCTGATCACTTACCATAAAGTTCACTATATGTGGCTAAGTTCCCGCTATCTAGAACGTCAAAGTAGCTATACAGAAGGCACCATTAATTTTAATTCATTCGCTGTCGATGATTTCCATTTCCCGCTGTTCTCACTTTGTGACTAACTCTGGTTGTTGCAAAAAGAGATTTCTGACCGTTCTCTGTGTTCGATTATGTGTCTAGTTATTTCTATTATCAGTTGCGTCTGCCTGTTCAGGTTGCGTTGCAGTGTTTTTGGTAAAAATAGGTAAGGCGAGCGCAGCGATCGGCTGCATGTAGTGGGTGGGTTTTTCGTTTTTTTTGAACCATTCTCCTTTCTCTCAAACAATCGTCGGTCCAACTAACATTCAGTATTTTTTTACTAATTCAATCTAACGTCGACTGCGATTCTTAATCTCTCGCAAGGTGTTTTATTGAACTGCTGCTTTTCATTTAGGTAAACCTATTTGGCTTGTGTTAACACCATGACTAATTAAAACATCGGAAATGTCCTCTGTTGAGACCTGGGATTGACGCGCTCTACGTTGGCTACAGCTGTGGCGGTCCATTCGTGTTCGATTTTTCTTCTTCAGGTACACAAGGTTCGTGAGACCCTGGTAGAGGTGCTTCGGAAAGAGTTCTCCGATTGCGGTCTACAATTTTCTATTGGTGGACAAATCAGCATTGATATTTTTCCAGTAGGATGGGACAAGCGCTTCTGTCTCCAATTTCTCGACGATTACGACACTATCCACTTTTTTGGTGATCGAACAATGGAGGTAGGCTAATGGCCATCCCAGTCTTACCTACATGTGCTGTGCTCGTTTGGTGTAATGACCTGATTTCATTTTTTCCTACAGTCATGTTGAAATGCTGATGATTTATGGAACTGATTTTCTGGCATACTATTGAGTCTTCGTAGTCCAAAACAGACTACTACACCTGTAATGTCTCTATAAAACCATTGGAACAATATCATGCTTACTGTAACATCATTCTGACTCTTTTTTTCATTTGATTCTAAATTTCCTTACTATTTCGTATATTCCTTTAGGGCGGGAACGACTTTGAAATATTTTCCCACCCAAGAACCATTGGCCATAGTGTTATCGGTCCGGAGGATACGAGGAAGCAATTAGAGGAGTTATTTTTCACCTAATCCTCTTTTTACTTTTTCCTTGTCTTTCTTCATGAAAAGCGCCTTTCGTGGATTAATGTGATTGGTAGCTACCGTAGCTACCAATACTACTCTTGCAAGGTATCGCGATTAAACAGATCTGTCAGCCTTACTATCCGCGCTTAACATTGTCTTCTTCGTGGTAAAGTAATGAATAGCATTGGGTGGGAGGAGGAGCGCGGGCTAGCTACGATTGTTTTTCGGTCGTTCTTGTAATCCCGCTTGTCGAGGGAGAATGGTAGAAATGTGAAAGGGTTAGGGCTCGGAAGCTCCATATCTGTGGGATAGGGGAGTCAAATGAGACGTGAGAGGTGAGGAGGAGGTTTTGCGGGTTTTGAGTAGTGGTTTTGGGCAGCGTTTGTGTGATTCGTACCAGTGGGCAAACCCATCTCACTATAGCTGCAGTTGTAGTGCTTCAGATATGTTGGTTTAGTCTACGTTCTAAATCAAGGGTAAGTATAATTCACTGTCGATACCTAAGCTCCTAATTAGCCCAGATGGGAGTCTGCTTTTATGCCATTAAAACTTATTATTCTGAGGTGCCACGTAAACCGTCACCTAAAAAGTCAAGGAGAGGCCTTGGTGAAGCCAAAGTTGAAGCAACAAAATGTATTCCATGTGGAATGTCGGTATGAGCGACGGGAAATGCCTATAGCTTGGCTTAAAAATTATCGCCGAATATCGGGCAGCATCGAAGCCTGACCGCCAAGATATCTGCGGAAAACGATAAATTTTAGTAGTTTTTGTCCGCAGCAATAACGACATTAATAGTTAGATGGTTATCGAATAGTTGAGTGCCCAAGCGAAGCAAACAAAAACATTTGTAGCACTAAAAAAATACCTTTTTATTGAGACATATAATCTTTGGCTAAAACTTATATTTATTCCAATTTATGAGTATGGAATTGTTGTATTCCTTACAAACATTTTTATAAAGTAATTATTAAAAAAATATAGTACACTCCTTTTTAAAAAAATGTTAAAAATTTATACTTATGATTTCTACTAGTATGCAAGATTTATCGCAACAATTCTGTAGCTAATTTGTTTTAATGTTCGAATGAATTTTCTTCGCTCAGCCATTGTGTTAGTTTGGGTGAAGGTATGTTAACTGGCAGCGGGGTACCTCGTTATCCTGTATGCTTACCGTCAAAAATTTACCACTCTTGTCATACCTGACGTCATTAATACGATCATTACATAGAATAAGTATTTTGCTCGAAATAAACATCTTGACACGCATGTCCCATTTTCGTTCGTGATCTAAGCAACTGAAATTTTCTGCTCGTGACGGTGAGTGAATGGCATTGTGTCTCTTATTGCCGATGCCTATAATGGTTGTGGTATCTCGTGGATTTTGGAGCATAAGCCCATGTTTTACTTCCAGAAAAGATGGGTGATTCAGATGATGACAACGATATCCGCAGAACAAGGGATAAGTTTCGGCGTGAGCGTAGTGATGTAGACAGTCGTCGAGAAAAACGTGAACCATTTGATGATCGTACAGGTACTGGGCACTCTAGCGCGCCCCGGTCACGTCCTGATCGTCGCCTATCGGAATATCGGTCCTTCGGTGGTCCACGAGATCGGCTGCCTTTCAGCAACGAGTTACCAAGCAAGAGACCTCGCCGTGTTTGGAACGATGACCATCGACCAGCTTTTCGCTCCAGGGAAACAAGGAAGGAATCTGTTGATGAGGATATGAATTACAGACCTCCACTAATGCCCTTTAAGCGATTTCTGGAACCCCTAGATGATTTTATTACTGACGAAGAAGCTGTTGCGAAGTATAAGGAATACAAGGAATCATTTAACAAGCGCTACATTGAAGAATTTTTCGAGGCTCATAAGAATGAAGAATGGTGCGTTTTGGTTTGTTTGCTATTAACTCCTCTTGAGTTTACTCATTTGGTATTTGTTGTTAGGCTTCGTGAGAAGTATCATCCAGATTTTATTGATGACACCCGTGAGCAGATCACCAGGAACATTCGTCAACGCCTTGACGTCTTTCTGGATCTTTTTGATAAAGGTATGATCGACAATCAATCTGTCGATATGGAAAATGCAAAAAATCTGATCAAGCTTATGGATGCAGTTGTGATAAAGTTAAATGGAGGAAGTGATGATGATTTGGCCGTGTTAGACAACCCTGACGCTGTGGACGACGATTGTGGAAGTTCAAAGGGGAAGGTTAGTCTCTTTAAAAACGCTTGTACATCATTGGGTTCTTTTCTTTTGTTGCTAATTTTCTCTGGTTCGTACTAGACCTCTCGGTCTCAGAGTGGTCCAAAGAGCGAAGGCGAAGAATCTGATTTTTATTCTGGTGAGGAATTGGACACGAGCAAATTTTCCGAAAAGGCCAGTCCAAAGGCGAAATCTGCTGAGTCTAAGCCTGAACAGTCCGAGGTCGGGAATGATTGGACTGGTGTCAGTAGTGAGAGTGAGTCAGAGGGAAGGCTAAAACCGGAAGAAAATATTCATGAAGAGGAAGAAGATTATGGCGGCGACACCAAGGAATCGGAGAATGAAGATGGACATCCTCCGCTTTTCTGTACGACTCTCTAAACTTTTTGATAATTTTGTTGCGTTGATGTATTGTGGTGGTCTCTATATTGTTTATGCTGTTTTAGCTCACACGAAGGGTGTCGATGAAAGCCAAAAGTCAGAGGATACTACAAAGGACGTTGAGTTAGAAGGAAGGGATGTTCCGTCGTTACAAAATACGGATACCACGGAGCGTTCTGTCGATAATGGCGTCGTTGCTGGTGGTTGTTCGCTGACAGCAGAAATTGATCAGCAAAGCAGTTCCAAACGCCAGCCACCTAGGCGGGATCTTCATAAAACCTCTTCAATATTCTTCCGTTGTTTGCCTCCAACTATAACACGGAAGGAATTGGAGGACATGTGCGCATCGCAGCCAGGTTTCGTTCGCTTGGCTATATATGATCCAATGCCAGAACGTCGATTCACGCGGCACGCCTGGGCTACGTACGAGCCAAATGCAAATATCAAGAAGATATGCTGGGCTCTCAACACCAATCCTGTATTGAGAGAAAAATGGCATCAAGGCAGGGACTCAAATGATCTTTGCGCCACTGTGAACCGTGATTTAGCTCAGCGCATTCGCCCGGTATCTGCTACGCTGACGCGACATAGACCGGTGATGCGTAATGATCTGCGAGTCGCCTCTCGACTTGTTGCTCAGTTAGATACTAAGCATAGTCTTTGGTCCCTTCCTGGTGATGATGAGGGCGATGCCGTTACCAATGCATGCCCAGTTCCCGGTTTACCCGGTGTATTTTCTGCGAATCCTTTGATGCGCAATTTGACCGATTTCCTCGTTGACGAGACTGCATCGGAGGAGGAAGCCATGCTCAGTGAGTTTGAATTTCTAGCCGTCTGAAGTTTATGAAAAAGACGATTGCACTTTTCTGAAATTCACTTAGATCGCAGTACTTCCAAAGGGGTTGATATAATCGACGGAGAAGGAGAAAAGTCCACATCTGTCATTCCTATTGACAGCGATCCCTCTCTATTGCGGGCTCTTGATCGCCTTTTAATTTATCTTCGCATTGTCTATTCAATTGACTATTATGCTGCTACACTTTACCAACTGGAGGACTTGATGCCTCATCGTTGTGGTATCTTCCATGCTCGTGGTACTCTCGACTCTCGTTCCGGAGTTCCTACCGTTACTCAGCGAGAAGTCAACGATTATATCTCTGTAGGTGGTTCTATTGTGCCCTTATTGCAATTGTCGCACTACACTCTAGTTACATATTTATCACTTGTAGACATTCAATGAGAAAATGGCGGGTTTACTTGATGTCCCTCGTGAGTTAACTGACGAGGAAATCGAGGCTCTTGGTGCAAGGGATCCTGAGGCCGCAGCCGAAGAATTTATCGAGGCGAATATCCAGAAGCGTACAAGCAAAAAGAAACCGTATGATCTCTACTTCTTTATATTTCATGTCTTCGGGTAGATAACATAATGTGCGATTTTAGGTGCAAAGTCGTTTGGGTGTGTCCATTATCAGACAAGAAGTTTCGCGAACCAGTATTTGTTCGCAAGCATATACTCAATAAGCATATGGAAAAAGTAGAGGCAGCCAAAAAGGACAATGTGAGTTGCATATGACTCAGCTGGTTTTCAAGTTGCTTTTCCCCCACTTTCCTGAGAGTTATCAATGTCAAATGCTAAAACCGCGAGCTTTTGTAGGCGATCTTTTTTAACAACTTCCTGCGCGATCCGAGACGTCCATCACTGCCGGAGGCACCCCGACACCTTATTAATCGATTCTACCCCCCGCCTACCTCAGTCGGTCTCATCGGGGATACACCTGGCATGCGCGGACGAAATTTGGGTTGCGGCTATCGAGTCGGGGGTGGTTATCGAGGTGGTGGTGCCTATCGAAATAACTCCATACCATACGGTCCACGGGTAAATTTATGCGTCAATGGCATGGTTGTTTTCATTAACTCCTTACTATTCTTGTCTCTAGGACTACTTTGGAGGTGACCATGGTATGGCAATGGCAGCGGTGTCGGGATCAGGCAACATCTACAGTAATACGAATCAGTCTGATATATTCACCCTTCCCGGTCACAATGGAGGTCGCGGGGGCAGTCCTCGTGGCGGAAGTGGATACAAGGAATTCAACGGTCGCAAGCGACCCTACCCTGGTGATGGGTAATTTCTTCACCTCATGCTAATGTTGTTTAACCCTGTCGATGACCTTTGTAAAGCACTCCTGTTTACTTAGACTAAGATCTGGGGGACGTGGAGTCATCTCTTACAACGATCTAGATGATCCTGGAAACGACGGTTTTTGAACCTCTCGTTTGTACATTACAAGTATGGCGGTGTGCATTTCCCGCAATAGGAGCGTGGCTTGGGACAGTCTCATTTTATGTGCCCTACCCTATCGAATGTACCAATTTGGTGTTGTATACCTATTAAATTTTTACACTTCTGCTGTCGTGTTGTACTGCGGGTGGGGATGGGGTGTTGTCCAGCGCGGTTGCGATATTTCCATCCAATTGGTGGTGTAGCGGTGGATTACTGTAAGATGTGATAATGCATTAGACACAAAAAGTATCATTCCCAGATATAATGGAGTTGTATCTAAAGACCAATTAAATTGTAACCATTTAATAGAGTAGTCATAAATTGTTTCCTTGTTAATACGTATCAGTTACGTTGAAATTCGTTCGTGGCACGCGATTTAGTTGAGGAGATGTCGGGTGTTGGAGACAGTGGGTTGTGTGTACTTATGTTATCTTAATAACAACGCTTTTGTCAAGCTCATCCGTGTAGATCAACTTTTTTGCCCGCTTTATGCCTGATTAATTGGAGACCATTTGTCATATTGTGCCCCAAGGTGAAGTGGGTGACCTGCCTATTGTGCTGGAATTTCATTTCCATTTTTTGCGCCGCTTTGTTCCATTGCCAAGCATTTCACTTGCTCTCCTTAGCTTAATGCAAAATGTAGCTGGATCATTATTATTAAGTTAATATTGGGTTATTATGCAACACGTGGCTAAATAATCTCTACTTCTTTCTTCCTACTTTGTACGTGTTTTTATTGTTTTTGCGATTGTGTATTACCTAATTTTGTAATTTTTAGAAAAAGCAAGAAAATCGGTAAGGATAGTGTTTTTTGTAGGTTTTACTCAAATAGGTCCTGAAACCAATTAGCCTTCATGATTTGGAGCACCCAGAGGTAGGACTGTTCTCATCTTGTTACTTCTACTTTATAGAAGGAGAATGCTCCCGTCCGGAAACGTGTTTCCTTTTCAAAACGCATCGAAATTCAGTAATGTGCTCCTACATTCACTGACTTGTTTTATTTTTAGAGATTTTGACTCTCTCACAAATGAACGATACAGGTAATTTTTGTGCTGTCGACCTTATTCGCTCCCTACCTCTAATATGTTTTCACCTCTGCTTCTTTTGTTTCGTAGCGCAATACAGTCTTCCACTTCTGGGTCTTCTAGCTCAAAGATTTCTGGTGCAAGTCATTTCTCTCATTGGTCACGCAGCAATGCTCTGACCCCGTAACCAACTTTTTCTGTCCGATTTCGATTTTGTGACTGCCACAATTGTAGTCTCTTAATTAATTTTTAGCTCAAACGCTGGTCGACCTTCTATCAATGATGTTGATATGGATATTTCGTCCATTCATGACGGAAATTCACCTCGGTCCGTTGCGTCAGATGTAATGGATGTTTCAATGTCCATCGACAAAGCTGTTGAAATGGATTGTGATCAAACACAATCAGCGTCCGAACCCTCGATTGACGACACAGCTGACGTCAGCATGGATTGCGATGGCGGTAATGGAACTGATATTTCCGTTGACATGGGAATAGAGTCAACTATTCTTGATGCAGAGCATAATACACCTACTTCGGAGCCGCCTGACTCACATTCCATTGAACCGATTACGCCATCTTCAGTTGATGTTCCTATAAGTTCTGAAATGGAGGCGGAATCAGCGGATCCTTGTCTGAGTTTTGAAAGGTCTTTATTCGTGTCTAAGAGTCGTACACCCGTCTCGCCATCTGAGTGGACTGGACAGGAAGCAAGGGCGCATTCACAGGCCTTTTCTCCGGAGTTTCTTCTCGCTGATCCTCTGAAGGAGTTCAACCAAATTCGACCTGCTCAAGTCTCCTTTGGTGGCCTGGACTCGGATTCGCGACCACAGCCAAGACCCATATTTACCCCTGTCCTTACTCCTATGCTCTCTTCTTCAATGGGAACGGTCTCAATGCATGCGCTTCCATCCGATGAGTTTTTGATTGCGGGAAAAGGTAAATTTAATCTACAAATTGCTCGGGATAGGAGGCTTGTCGAGCCATTGTTACCGAACTTCGAATTTCTTCGTGCCACCTCCACTCATGCCTTTGATCAATTGAAAGCCAAACCGCCTGTGGTAAATTTTGATCGTCCTTTCGGTTTCATGATATTTATGGTTTAGTAATACCTGCTTTAACTTATTCTTCTCCAGATTTTACGACAACGAGTAACTGTAGAGGAGTTCATATACGATTTGTTGGAACTGAATGTATCGACTGCTATAAAGACATCGTCTTTCGAGGTTATACTGGAGAAAATCCTGCCTATTGAGTCTTGGAAAGCAGGAAAGGTGGGCGATAGGCTCTTTTTGTTACCATAGCAATGATTTATCTGGGTGCCATTGTTAAAATTCGAAATCGTTGCTCTGCTATTGTGCATCTGATTTTGAAAATTTGAAGTCCTTTTTTGTTTGTTGAACCAAATTTTGTGTTAAATTGTTAAACACTAGGTAAATTTTGGGTTAACAATCGCTATCTTCCGCAAAAGTACTTGCAATTTCGTTCAGCATGCGACCAATGAGCAGACATCGCGTGCTTGTGAATTTTTGCCTAGATTAAGCCGTTCTGGCTTCGTATTTTAAGCCTGACATCCGTCAAGTCAGGCTTATGAACCAGGAAAAGGATGATATACTTCCCAGTGGAAGCTCTAACATAAACGGTGTTCCTGTTTCCCGCATTAGAAGACGAAATCATTTTGGACGTATTGGCAGCCGTACAACTAGGTTCTCTTTTTGTTCGAATCAACAACGTTAAGTTTTGCCTTACTCAAACACTTAGTTGTATCTTCAACCGTACATAAGTGATCAATTATGTTTCTTCATTTAAGTTGGATTTGATTGTGGAAAAGCGCCTTCAGACCTTTTTGGGAGATCTTGTATCTTCTTACGAGCTGCTTGCGAACAGGTAGGTCGGTGCTTCTTACAGTTGATGTTGACACTCACGTCTGTCTTTCTTCCTACAGCCGGACCGTGGCATATAAAAGCCGAATGAACCTATCAGTAGACTTGACGTTAGTGGAAGTAAGCAGATCTTCATACGAGCTTTTCTCTCAATCATTCTGTGAAAGTGTACTGTTTTATCACGTAATGCGGTCTACTCTCCATCTAATTGCTCAGCAGCAACCATAGCGTCAGGTCAGATTTCCAGTTTGTCAAATTGTCGACACCCTATCTACCGAGGCCTTGAGTTGCGATTCGTCAAGACTACTGCGTTCCATTATCTATCGGCGATTTCCTTGAAAACGTTGAGCCAGTTGACTTTGTTACTGTTCGGACGATTTAGGAAAAGTGATTCACTTACGATTTAAAACTGCTAGTGCATACAACTTCTTGAGCAGTTGTAGCAGGACGCAGAGGCTATGCTGCCTTGGGATGAAAGCTGCCTTATGTGTTGCATCAGCTAGATTTCATCTCTTTTTGTTAGTAGTTCTGTTGATTTGTGTTTGTTGAACAGTTGCAGAGGAGCGAAAAAACTGACTTTTGGTCGGAGTTCTTGGTGGAGTTCAATGAATTGCCTGTTGATGCGGTAAGTTTGCGTACTTTTGGAAACGTCTTTGTCTTTGCTTGTAGTAATATGGGGATGAGGGTAGGTGTATGACACTATTGGGGACTTAGTTATTTCAGCATGGAGGTACACTACCAATTGAGTGTAAAACTACGACTTTATGGCGGGTTCATTTATTCATTGAACTCCGTTGTCTAAGAAGTGACCACTGGCCTACAGCATAATGCTGTTGTAACGTCCTCTGAGGCTAAAGAATAGGTGACTACCCACTTGCATAGACAGCAGGAACGGAAATTAAGAAACTCGTGCAACCACAATCTTGTAGAAGATTCAACGTATCAACTCCCTAAAGGATTTCTTCTACGATCGTATTTGTTCAACCGCTGTCAAGAGGGCTGTGTCCAGTCTTCTACCCCCTTTGGAAGTGAGCTGATTCCTCTATTTTGACGTACCCATATAACATCTCTCTAATTTGCGATTTTGGCGCGATTGCCAGAATTTGGAGCATCGGTTGGGGGAGAAGGTCGCGGCTCTAGAAAAGGAGGTACAGGCTAAATTGAAGGAGGTGGAACAACTTGAAATTGGTGTGTTGGCATCCGCTAACTATTGTTTCCTCCCCTTTCAAATTCTGCGGTATTATTCTTGCGGCTCTTCCTTGCAGAACTTAATGGATGGTCCGACATTTTGGACGATGAGGCAACGTTTGTAGGCAAGTAGTGACTATTCTTTTTTGCACCTTTTATTCGTACGCTGCAGGAGGAGTTTTTGGATCGTAAATGATCCCTTCCACTATTTCGCAGCTCTAACCAAAGCTCGTGAAAAAATTGAGGAGACAAAGGCGGAGACTGTAGAGATCTTGAAAGAGCGAGAGGAGTTTCGTCTCCAGTTGGAATCCATGGAATATTCAAAGGTGGTAGAGGAGCATCAAGAGGCATCATTCCACCGTCATTTACCGACTTCATACTACGTTGGATTGGGTGCTTCCCTCTTCCCCTTTGGACCATCTGTACCCCAATCCCGACTTCTGGCAGTTTGTCGTAGTCTGTAAGTCCTCCATTCTATTCACTACTCATGCGTTCCAGCTTTTCCACGTCTCAGATCACCTGTGCCTCTGTGGAAGACAATGTCTATCACATAAACACTCTCTTGGGTCTGATTCTCATAGAAGTCCACTGCAAAAGTCGGCAGCAATGGAACACTTGGTCTGCGTCTGAACAGGAGATCCTTAGCTTCCACATTTGCTTGCAGAAAGGTGAGTTTTGTGTTCGCCTCTATCTCCTCTCCATCGGCGCATAGACTTGGCTCAGCTAGATGCGGTAAATGACGTAGCTGAATTTGCAGTCGACCGGTTGAAACAGAGGTGGTCTCTTCTAACGGATTGCCTTGTGGGTCGGACCTTGGAGGATTTTGTAGATGTGAGCACTGAACAGAGAGGATTGAATAAAAAGTTGGACGGTAGTATGCTAACTGTGCTGGTTCAGTTTTTAGAGTACTCTCTGCAGTCCTACGTCCTTCTCATGATGTTTCTTCGAGCTCTCTTCTTTGTCAACATCTCGGCACTCCTTGAATTACCCCCTACGGATTCTGAGTGTTTTTCGCAATTCCCAGACCAGGATTATCCTACAAAGGCATGGAGATATTGTCCGAGTTTTTACACAGTTGCCAAGGCTCTGTCATTTGATGCAGCACTTGACTCGAAACCTCTCAGGTTGGTTGCACTCTTAATTCTGCCATGAAATGTTTCAACCCCCAAACAGATTTAGGCATACCGCTCTGCAAACTATCCAAAATGGAGGCATTCGGATGGAGAGATTTCTTAGTTTAGGGAATTGTCCACTTCAGTTGTTGTTCAAGCACGAACCCATCAGCACACCTGCATTCCAAATTGCGCCTGAAGCTTTCAAGTTACTAGGTCATTTATTCGACCATTGTTCTGATTACATTGTACATCGCCAAGTAATCCAAACACGTCACATTAAGAAGTTCGTAGTCTATGAAGCTCATGAGGTGGTCCATCACACTGGCTTTAGTTCATTTGAATGACTAGAATTCCCGCTGTAGGTTAATTGGGATTATTGCTCCGAAGGAAGTAAATGCCGTATTGAAGACGGTCTCTAAAGTGTCCTCCATCTCCGATCTCCTCAATGCAGAATCGATCTCATCCATTTCTCTGGAGGACCCCATTGGCAACATCAGGTATTTGATCTCAGGGACACTTAGAACTGACTTATATAAGTTAACGAAACATGGAACCCGCATCTTTGTAGACTTGAACTCCTCCAGCAATTATCATCCAAGGCGGCTCCTCACGCTCCAGACAACTTTGTCAGTTTTCACGAACGACTAGTCACAGACCTGCCCAGAACCTTAATGGTCGAGGATGATGAAAGCGGAGAATAATTTTTACCAAACTTCAAATATGCAATGTATAATAAACTTCTTAACTGAATAAGGGATTGCTAAATGTACTAACCCAGTCGATGGGAAGACGCCGAGGGGGAGTAAAAACCTATGTATTAACATACGTATAGAGGCGTACTGATATTTGCATAAAGAATACACATCTCAGTTCATGCTAACATCAAAGATGGTCAGGTAACCACATATACACTTAGTTAAATGACGCATGGGCGGGCACAGAATTTTTTGCTCTGCCTCAGACATTAATTAAACACCAAGAGGCTTCGATGGGGGGAGTTTCTTCCCAATGAGAGATTTATGAATGTGGGGGATGACACCTCCGCCAGCGATTGTTGCCTTGATAAGGGTGTCGAGTTCCTCGTCACCCCGAATGGCCAACTGCAAGTGGCGCGGGGTAATACGTTTCACTTTTAGGTCCTTACTAGCATTCCCAGCTAACTCTAAGACTTCGGCTGTCAGATACTCCAGGATAGCCGCAGAATAGACAGCAGCCGTCGCACCAACCCGTCCATGACTGGTAGTACGAGTTTTCAAATGACGGTGAATACGACCAACAGGAAACTACAAGGGTAAACGTAGGGGAAAATATGTAAGTAACGAACCTGCAACCCCGCCCTGTGGGAACGTGAAATAGCCTTTGCTTTAGCCTTCCCAGAGTCTTTTCCTGCCTTACCACCGGCCTAAAAGCACTATCAAAGCAGAATACAACACAACGAACCATAACAAGAGCTCCGTTAATAATTGAAAACTGAGCGGGGCGCCAGTTCTTTTCGCTATAATTAGTACAAACAAATAGTATTCAATTAATATTACAAAACCAAAAAATAATTTTGTGGCGCAAATTATCAGTTTTAAATTTAGTATGAACTGACACAAAATGTGTAGCGGCAACAGCACAATGCTTAATGGATTATTTACCAACATTAAACTGCAATTTCGCCTTTAGTAAAAAGGAATTCTCACATACCTAAGAGGTGGCAGATATCATTTGACATGTCTAAATATTTATATTCGGGCAGAAGGTCTAGAAGTAAATCTATGGTTTGGCCCGAAGTTAAGCATACGTTTTTGCACTTGAACTCGTGGTTGCCAGGCTCAGGCCCATTTGCTTTGTCCTATTTGGAATACATGTATCCAGCTTCACTTACTACCTTCATCCATCCGGTGAGAAGTCTGGTGACTCTACATAATTACTGTCCAATTTTTACCTGTGGCATCTTGTCCCATCAGATTGGCAAGTGGTTTTGGTCTAATATGACAACACATTTCGTTATAACTACCTACTCTCTATAGTCAAAAGACAACTAAATGTATGGCGCTGCTCGTGCCCGATGCATGGAGCACGTATTAGAAAGACTCAAACCGTAAGAACCCAAATGCGCCCTCAACTTCTATCGTCGAGTTTAATCGAGGACCCAACCAAATGCATCTACTCCTGCCTATCCCTTCCCCATCTAACGACCAGTACATAGAATCACCATTGGGATAAACCGTACGACCCTGGCGTTCCATCAGCGACCTATTGTAAAGCGACTTTATTTCATTCCAAAAAAAACTGTACAATATGGTCTCCTCTGAAAACTACTTGTCTGCACCTTCGTTATCCTCAAAGGTAATGCTAGGTTCATCAAATCGGTGAAGAGACGGGTGAAATACATCCTCAGCGAACTCATCAAACAGTTCTTGCGACTCCTCCTCGGTCGAAGACGGCGTAGGAGAAGGGATACTGGACGGAAACCACGTAGGGTTTGGGGGAGGATTTTCATTGCGCTCATGCCATCGGTTAATCAACCAAGAGTCGTGGAGAAGGCAAAAAGAATGAACTGGACCTGGTGTTGATCCCGACAGGTATATCAGATTCAACCGAGGATTCATTCGAAGGACCTGTTAGAGAAAAACATGTTCACCAATAATAGTTAAATGTGACATCATTTAAATGTTAGTTCCAACCTGAAGTCCACGTGCCGAGCGATATCTATTTCCCATTACGCCATGCATATGCTTGCCCCGCAGAACTTTTCGCTACAAGGGAGAGAGACTTGCACAAATCTCACCAGTTGGAGAGAGAATAAAACAAGTAAAACTGACCCCAGCACCAGCCAAACTACCGATTCTTCGATGAAACTTCGTACTCCCATGAGCTGCAGGACCACCACTCATGCCCCAACGCTCGATTACCCCTTGAAATCCACGATTTATGCTAAAAGTAAAATCGCAAAGTTTGGAGGAACTATGATACACCTTACTCGAACAGAAAGTTAAACAGAACTTCAGGAGAGCCGTACCCAATGACAGTTAAACGCCAGATTCTAATTATTCCATGTTTCATAAAGGCCTGGTGTTGCAGATAAAAAGCCTGTTTTAACAAATACTAGCGTTAACGCTTACGTTCTAGCCGTAACATCCACGTAATCGCCAACACGGAAGTGGTTAATCGTGATGGGAGTGCCTAAATTATTAAGAAAACAACTCATTTGACAAAAAAGAGGCTGAAAAGCAAGTGGGGAGCAGCGACCTTACCAGGTTCAAGAGCAGCGTCAGGACTGACGAGAAAGCGCGTGATTTTGCGTTTTGGAGGGACGCCGGCGGAGGTAAACAGTCCACACCACTCAGCAGTGAATTCGACCGGATCGGCTGACATTGCACCTACGATTTGGAGGCCCCAGCGTTGCTGGTTGATCCAAGATGGTACGTGGTTCTTTGTCAGCCAGAAGCCTCGAGGATCTTTTAAACTTAGGTATCGGTCAAGGTCGGAGGGAGGAACATACCGAAGAGCATGATTGTCCGGTACCTAAGGAGTAAACCACTGGTGCCAACCAAATAATTTCAATGAAATGACATGAGATAACGCTAAAGAAACAACTCATTTGACCAAAATGCTTGGTTCGAATATCACTCCCCTTATTAGTAACTGCTTATTACTCATTACAATCCAAATCGACAGCACATATATAAAGTTTCCGGATAAATGGAGTGATGCATCAACTTTCAACGTGAAAATACAGAAGTGAGTGGCTAGGAGTGCTAAAAGTATCGACCATATGAAAGTGCCGAAAATGAGCTGGGCAAAGAAGTAGGGCTTCAGGCACTAAAGCCCACAACCAAGCTAGTGTTTGGCCTATTTACCACCGAGCTTTTAGTTGCAAACGCTTTCGTATAGCGTGAAACTGAATAGCGACATAAAAATTTTATGCTATGTCGAAAATGAAAAGCTGATTGCAAAGACGCTCAAATTCGAAAAGAAGTAACAAAATTATACTGAATATGCAAACGTCGCAAAAACAAGGTTAAAATCAAGCAAAAAGCGACTAAGACAAGGAATCACTACTCCTACATAATGCCTCATATGCTCCAAAAGATTGACGAAGAGTCCAGACGTAAACGATCTAAGTTAAGATTGATTAATACATCAGCACAGCCAACGAAAATAAATCCCAATCCCAAATCTAACGCAAAAAATGCACAAAAGCCGTACTACACAGATCCTCCATACTTCTGCATTACTGATAAGCAAATTTACCTGTAAAACAGTGCAGTCGACCTTTTTGCCGGTCTTTGTCCACATAGGATAGATTCCCAATTTCACGGCCACTAGACCACATCGCTGGGTCTGCATGGGCAACCAGGGTCGATTGGCTTCAGCCGTGAAGTTAGTGGGAGTAAATCCATCAAGAAGAAGCCTCTGACGTTCAGTGGCGAGAAATTCGAGGTTCTCAATTGATATATCCTCGTTGCAACATGGGTCAGCCTTCTGATCTACCCAATAGGGTTTTCGTCGATTCATCCAGGGATAAATAAATTTTGTCAATTTTCCTAACTGACGAACGCACGAAAACTGGGGACTGGAACCACAACCAAGCAGCATCGAGCTGAGCCCACTTGCAGAGAAGGCCATTGCATAGACTAGGCTAATTTAGACGTGATGCATCATGATCTTATTTTTAACAAATCAGAAAATTGAAGCGCTAGCAATATCAATATTATCATTGTCATTGTCATTTATTACAAGATGTCCAAAAAATCCTACGATACCAACATATCATGTCTAAAAATAAAGAAGACTTTTGATTAGTCGGACGAATATTGGGCTATTCATTTTTTATTTGTATTTATCACCAAAGTGCATAGTAGTCAGTCTATATATTGACGAAACAAACTGCAACCTTCCGGAACTTCCCATTTTTAACCTAAAGTTATGCTTATTCACGTATTTAAAATCAGGCAGAAAGGGTCAAAGTGAGCTACGGTTTGTCTTAAGTGGCAGGCTATCCAGCCTAAAGCAGGGTGACCTCAAGGAAACGGCTTTTGGGCATACGGATTTTTTCTTCTTTCGATTAAGTTCTCGTTAGATCTTTTGCTTCGAGTGTAGTGCTTTATTGTTACGATAACATGATGGTTAGAATTTGCTTTGGTATTTATGTTGCCCTTATATGCGTGGGGTGGACTTCAGTGCAAGCCAAAGCGCAATCTCTTCTTATTTTACTAGAATACATGTAATCAGTCCAACCTAATGCCGTTCACTGTATTAATTTGCTTATGTGACGATCTGACGTTTGGCGGTCACTTTGGGATTTGTCATGCCCTTGTACACGTTGGCTGGCCTTCGGGCCATGTTCAGGCTCAGTTGTTTGTCATATTTGGAATTTATGTATCCAGCTTCACTTACTTCCTTCTTCCACTCGGTGGGAAGTCTCGGGCTGCTACATACGCTACCTAGTGGGAAGTCTCGGAGTGCTATAATGACCAATATAATGGATTTATTTGTTGGATGCTAACATCACTCACGAGCCAGTTCCTCCTATAATCATCTTTTATGAGACCAAGAAATATGTTTCTCCTTCTTACTTACTGCAACGAAATCTGATCACGCGGGGATAAGAGCCAAGAACTTCTGTTAAGCATCAATTATACTTTTAAAAACTGAAGTTAGAATATTGTAATATTACAGATGCGCAACAAGGAAAACGGTACATAGCACAGTCTCATGTGGCAGAGGCTTTGACTACTAAAATCGCCGATATGTATTCAGAAATATTGTAATGAGAACTCTAAATCAAAACTTCGGAAGTTATAAGCCTGTCACTGGCATACATGAAAATGAATTAAATACCGAATGCAGCAGTCGTTGTGAATGAGTTGGGGTATTTATCACTTTAGGTGGATACACTTTTCCACAAGCGGTGGGAACCACTATAGATGCGGCAACAATGTCAGGATCGCTGTCCGCTGCCATTGGAGTAGCGTCTCGAAACTACCTATTCAATAATGGAAGGCATAAGACGTGCAAATGAAATTCGAAGATGTGAGGGTCATACGTAGTTCGAATAGCATCCTATACAGCCTTTGCACACCAAAATGACCGCCGAGCATAATAATAGTCAACTAAACAATGTATTATCCCAATAATTTGGAAACGCCCCTCCTTAAGCCAAACACTGAATCACTTGCATGGCCAGAATCCTAGTCCGCTCGAGTAGAATCCAAAGTTGACGCAATACTTTGCTCATTTAATTGCCACTATCCAAAAGGGAGAGGCGAAAGAAGGGGGAAGGAAGGAGGAAGCAGAGGGACTTATTAGGTCAAAATGTTTCGGTCGGTTGGTTTGACCATTGGAGCATGGAAGACTACACTTGGGGATTCAAAATTACCCCGTTGCCAAAAGCCAGTGTTGAAGGACTGAAGTGGGTGCAGATATGAAGTCAAAAATAAAAGATCTCAAGTGTCATCTATGCAATGTCATACATAAAGAACGTATTTCTTCTTTGAGAAAGTCTATGCGTATAACGGCAGTTGGGTTAATCCATCGTGTTGCCTCTCTTCAACTCCTCCCTCTCCTCCTCTAGAAATCACTTTCGTGCCCTTCAAGCTGTCTTCAAAAAATTACATTTTTCCGCCAAGAAACTGTTCTCAAGGATTTAATGTTCCCATTCCGAAGGGCTGAATAGTCATTTGCGGTAAAACTGCAAGTCAGACAGTCTCTCTGTTCTCTAACAATAATTTATTCTAAAGGAGAATTATTCGGCTAAACAGTCTTTGTTAAGTTCTCAACGCCCAATCACCGCTTTACTACTGCTTTAGAAAGGACAAAAATGAAAGGCTTGTGTACCTGTTTTCTACGAAATCTTACAATTTGTGCACCAATAAAAATCCATTTCGAAACCCCAGAGGACAGCGGTGGCAGACCAGATGATGTGAAACAAACTTACAGAATGTCTCTGCCGCTTGGTCGAGGGACATCTGCGGAGGCTTAAGTTCCTGTGTGATCGGGAAACCACATTCGAATTCTCCTCCTCCTTCTCCTTCTTCTTCTTATTCTTCTCCTAGTCATTTTGGAGTTCTTATCAAACCACCTCATCGGTATCGTGTTTCAATATCACTGAGGCACCTTGTAAACCGAAGATCTTCTCTTTCTGCTGGAATACTACTTTATGGACGCAGTCATGTAACAAAGAGAGGCCAAAGCCCAGAGCATTTGGTTGCAGTTCATCAATGTCCATTTAATTCTGCTCCTATGAGGTCTATCAAAGTCGTTGAGTAGTGGTGAAGAGCCATGGCTACCATCTCAGTGTTGTTTCTGTGACCATTTAATTGGTATCGCTCCTAACTGCTCGAGAGATTAGTAACCGATCGGTAAGGTGACTTTACAGGCTCCCCCATTGGTGGTTGATGCTCTTCTCCTGTCCCATACACGTGAAACTGCCATCTTTGTAGCGCACCGAGGGACAGGCGGGGAGGTGATGGCATGAAAAAGCTCCACTTCTTAAATTCCCATCCCCCACCACATCCACCTTCGAATTAGTCGGATTTAAATTAGCGCCGATAATAATAAAGCCACACCCCAATTGTCGAATAAACTGAAAAAAATTAAGTCACTTTTGCTATTTATTTTTTTAACCCACCAATTTTTAACTACCCACTGACATTCAACCGCAAACCCGTGCACGTGTGTGTGGCCCAAACAGTTGTCATCATAAAGGCTCCAGACACTACAACATCGCGGCACAGAGGCAGAGGTGTGAAATCCACCAATCATTTTCACACCTTCACATCCACATGGCGATCAATCGTCGTCAGGGCGGGGAGGGGGGAGGGCAAAGTAAAGGTCTTAATTCGACAGAGGGGAGCGCAGCTGTTACCTCTTCCTCTGGTATGCGCACGCTATTAGTTGCGAGGTTATGCTGATTTACCTACACAGAAGATATCTTTTAAAAAAATAAAACGGTCTATGGGCTTCATTCTGCCTCCATTGTATTAATCACCGCTATAGTCGTTCAATACCACGCTTGTGCAGGGAAGATTGTGTTTAGATGAGGATCTTAGAGGTGGTCTTTGAGTGTCAAATTTTTTCATACCCTAACGATAATAACCAATATAGCCTATAAAGTAGTGCTGATAAGGGTTAGACCAAAGTCTCCTCAAATGCAGCTCACTGGTTGTTCAAAAATTCAAACTCAAAGAGGACATGTCGGATTTTATTTGCACTTGGCACAGAAACCTGAGGACAATCTATCGCTAAAATATTTTTCTTTACTTAACTTTTATTTTCGTTGGCAGATTAACTTAGGCATACTTTGCTCCCCTTCCCAACGATGCTTATCATAAAAATGACTTAATAATAATCCCATTCTCTAACAACCAGTTGCTAAGCCCCAGATGATTGGCTTTCTTTGTCCGTCTAAAGCTGAGGCTCAAGTCTCGGATTTTACCCTTTCAACAATAAGCCCTCGTGATCTTTAACAGAATCTTGATACTTTAAAAGTAACTATTTCTCATTGTTCTCGAAAAAAAGGGACACTTAGGCAAGTTTATATCTTGTAATAAGTTACTTAAGTGCTGCAAATAGGAAAATAAAATTGGCGCATATGTTTATGCCGCCTACCGACATGCGCATTTGCATGAGGTGAGAATTGGCTTCTGCATGCGATACCAATTGCAAGAGGACTCATCCCCATATGGCGGACACACGTACCTCAACAGCACCACAGTGGTCTCTTCATTACCCACACAAAACATTCCTGGCGGCAGAGAGCATGAGGTGCCACCGAGATTAACACAACGCCCTTCCTTTACCCACCGAGGCCAATACTGCTCTCCGTAATCATGCCACTTGTAGAGAATTGGGCAAGCGCTAAACACCTTCGCGATTCGTCCGAATCTCTGGTTAGCGGGTCCTCTTACATGAGGCCTGAGGACACTCAATCGCTTTTTTATTTCCTCTGAGTGCCTTCGTTTATCTTTGGGGAAAGTTATTTTACCTTGGGGGTAAAAAAACGATGCCTGGGGCCGTGAGATAGCGAGTAGATTTGGATTGAAGAACCGAGGTCCCAGAATAAAGAGCATTTTCCGTGTGGAAAGGATAGCTCGAGGAGGTACAGCGGGTAATGCCTCAGACAGTAATGAATGCTCCCTAGGTGGGGAGTGTATGTTGCGGTTACGACTGCGGAAGAGATTCCATGTAGTTTCAGAAAGAGTTTGATTAAAATTGGAGTAAAGTATGGTTGGACACACGATGTTAAAGAGACATGTGACCGTTAACCAGGATAGAAGGGTTTTTGACATGATCAAAGACGTACAAACTAAGTTTGATGACAAATACGGCATATGCAGGCTTTTGGCCAATCGGGTGCCAAAGTCGGTGCCCGTGACAGCCAATCAGCAATGTGCCGCTTTGGGCGAAAAATTTGACTAGACGAATGATCGTGCAAAGCTTAACATTTTTAAAAATTGCTATCTTATGAATATATTTTGGCAACCCATTGCAATTTTAGTTTACTCTGGAGTGGAAATTTTTAAACAATCGACATTTGTTTAAAAGCCATAAAAATGTAACACTTTTAAAGAATGGTACGTTTAAGGTTAGATGACCGACGTAAGTGAAATTACATGCAAGAAATGGAGTATTTGGTTGTTGGTCTTTGGTCCATTTGCATTTCAGACAGTGTAATTAAGACCGGCTGATCGTTTGCCTTTGACGATCTAGGTCATATATTTATTTAGCTTAGACTGTTGCTTTTTGAATAAATGTAACAATAGTTCAAGGAGATTTGTTTTGTGACAACGTAGCGGACCCATATGTAGCCTCCGGAGAATTACAACACTCTAAATGAATTGGAATCCAAGTAGCTTAAAGTGAAAATGTACCAATCATAATGATATGCGGTCACTCACACAGTAAAAAAATCTAAGATTTATATTTACTCGAAATTAAGTAAAATAAAGTGGAGACGCGAAGAAACTTTCGTCTACATTCTAAGAAGTAAAAAAGCAAGAAAGAAAGTAGTGATTATTCGGTGCTATTGTGACTAGAATTCGGCAAACTCCGCCTTGAATTTCTCCCTGTCGGCAATTTTAAGTTTTTCTTCATCCCACTTTTCAAAGTTGCTCGCATCACCAGGACTCTTCACCTTCGGCACATATGGCGGTCGCACACTTTGGTTAAAGATGGCCATAAAATCCACATCACTGAAATAAGCGTGCCCCTTGATGTCCATAATGCCATTACGAAGATTTCCAAAGCGTCTTGAGAGGTCAGTTTGGATCAGATTCTTGATGAGGTCTTTTAGATCTGGGCTGAACTGATTGGTAAACTTTATTTTGCCTGAAATGATGTGCTCAAATGTCTTCATCTGCTCCTGATGCATGAAGGGAGGAAATCCTGTGGTCATTTCGTAGAGAAGTACTCCATAAGCCCACCAGTCCACTGCATGAGCATATCCCTTATTCATGATTATCTCCGGTGCCATGTAGTCCGGAGTTCCACACAGAGTCCACGTGCGCTTATCCTTGGGTAGAAGTTTTGCAAATCCGAGGTCTGCAACTTTGATAAAGCCCTCGCCAGTTATGAGCAGATTCTCAGGCTTCAAATCCCGATACGTGATGGTAAGGTAATGCAGGTATTCAAATGCCAGCAGGACCTGAGCTGCGTAAAACTTGACCATACCCTCAGGAAATCGACGCATGTTTCGTAATAGTGCGAACATCTCTCCGCCCACAACAAACTCCATTACCATGTAAAGATAGCTGTTGTCTTTAAAGCTGTAGGCTAATTTGATGATTTGGTTCACATTACACGCTGCTAAAATTCGTTTCTCCATTATAGCATTGTCAATTTGCCGCGATTTAACCACTTCCAACTTGGAAAGAACCTTCATTGCGTAGTACTTCTCTGTATCTCGATAGCGAACCAGTAAAACCCGACCGAATGCGCCTCTTCCCAGGGTTCGAATACGGGTGAAGTCATCCCAAGTAGCAGTGTTCTTGGGCGGAGAATTGAATACGTCAAAAAATCCTCGAGACTTTGTTTCGAGTATCTTCTCGAACTCCGCTTGCGCCATAGTCTACTCACATCGACTCTCCACTAACAAAATTAATTTAGCATGCTCCACTTGCCGAGATGGTGTTATGGAAAAATTGGATGGATAACTCCCACCCCTCAAGTTCTTCAACCAATCGATTGAAGCTTTGGAAGGCACGTGTAAGGCCAGAATGTTGAGATCATATGACCTTGAAAAATGTTTCTGTGTCAGTGGCTGGATCATGGGTGTTGTAGGAACTTTGTCACCCAATTGCAACCAGTAGGAAGAAATTTCTAAGTGTTCTTTCACTCAATAGTAACAGCATCCTTGTATGAACCAGGCTTTGGAGGTGATGGAAAGCATAAGATGGGGTTTGAATTTGGCTTAGTCACTGTGCATCACTTTAGTTGATTAATTAACGCCCGGTTTTGATTGGAGACTACATTTGAACCCAGCCATTATAGCTCCAAAGAATGGTCTGATCTCCGAATTGCAAGTTATCTCAGGCTCTATTGTCCGACAATACACTGCAGTACGCTTAGGCACGTATGTGCTCTTTTGTCTCCTAAAAATATTAGGATCACTGAGGTATACCGACTGCATCCTATACTTTATCAATTTCACAAATGTTCTCGTCCCTATTATTCCCATTATTTGTCACTCTAGTGCTTTTCATGCTAGTTTCCAGTTACGAATGAGCCACTGATATGTCTAGGCAAACATTGCAGAGATGTGCAACAATGACAATCGTCTATTGACACCAAAGCAGGGATTGTTAAGGGATGATGGACTAAGTCTATTCACACAATTCTTGCAAGTCTGATGCAAATGTCCTCCTTTTAAATGACAATAAAGCTTGCTGCATTGCTTTAATTTGGTGTAGCCACAGTGTTCTGTAAGGGTGCAAACGCAAAATGTTACAGCGTCTATTAATCGGAGACTAATGGTTTTGGCTTTACAAATGGGGAACCGGAGGAGGTGCCAGGGAATCTTTCGCCTTTTTGTCAAGGTTCTCAATCAGTGGTGCTTCTGGTTTTGCACTCTTGATCTTTTGATCTACCATTAATTCCGACTCGATTATTTCAATAGCTGGATTACCCTAAAAAAATAATTTGCAAATTAAAAAGGACATATAAAAACAAATAGTTAGAATTTAAATAGTAAATTTATTAAAGCTTGCATAAATCATAAGCAAAATGGACGGAAAGCTATCCTGAGTTTTATTTACCTGAAGTGTTTTTGTTTAGCTACGTCGCAGGGTTTATTTTTGTGAGACTGCAAGATTTTAAGAATTCTAGCGAACCAATAAGGCGAAGGTCCGGGCATTAATTTGCTAAGTGGGTGGTATTTGTGAAGATCGAGAAGAATTGTGAAATCAAAGTACCAAGGAAGTAAATGGACTTGGCACTACCTCTATTATCACTTATTTTGCTGTGTTAAAGTGGAGTGTAGTGAGAAATTCCGAGGCACATGGGTCTCCTGAGATGCCATTGGCCGGTCTATAGCTTATTCATTTCCAAAGAGCAAAGTTAAAAATCGGTCCGCACTGTAAGTGGGTCATCTCAATGTGGAAAACTTAACTATGTTATGTTGATAAGGTTGTCCACGAAGGTCATAAAAACAATATAATGTCTGTCCTAATACAGCAAAATGCTTGTTAGCATAAATATATCCAATGGTAGATTTTGCCAAGCTTTTCAGATGCATGCTTGATATAGTATTGGCTGTAAGTAGCTACCTTGATTGGAGACTGCGCGGCTGATGTGGAGGCTTTGGGCGGTGTACGAGAGGGTCGTCTGGGCGTTGAAGCTTTTACCTTCTTTTTGCGTCGGATAGGAATTGGGCAGCAGTCAGGCGGTATCGGTGGTCGTGTTCGACCTGTCACCCACCAAGTACGCATTGTTCCCTTTCCCTTTTAATAAAGATATGCAAAAGTAATGGAGATAGACACCTTCATAATCCAACATTTAATTATTTATGACACTGGTAGGATTTGCTGCTTTGATAAATGGAACTGTAATATTTGCGTTCTACGAGTGCACTACATCAAGCAACTATTCATAATTGCCTGAATGTTCTTACCTTCACTTCAATTGTTCCCCTCTCCTCAAAGTGAAAGCCGCCGAGCGTATTCAGTATTTCATGTGTGGCATCACTGCAGTGAATTTTGTACGCTATAATAAGAAAAGATAGGCTTGTTATTTCATGTTGCTTCTTTTGCAGAAATCTACATCAATAATGCAAACCTTCTCCGTTGCTCTCCATTCGACTTGCTGTGTTGACGGTGTCGCCAAACAGGCAGTACCGTGGCATTTTTAAGCCGACGACACCCGCACAAACAGGTCCTGTCAAAGAAATAATGTCCTTATGTTTTTAATTTCACTTAAAAGGTTTGCTTTTTGCTTGGAGAACTACCTGAATGTAAACCAACTCGAATTTTTAGTGGTTCATTGGGCATATGCGGGATGACAAAGGAGTGCGACACCTCCACCAAGTCCAACGCCATATCGGTTATGGAGACCGCGTGTCGCTGGCCGTTCCTCCTCGGAACTCCCGAGGCTACCATGTCTAGGACAAATACAGGTTGATATTCACTCCTACATTCCTGCCTCTCCCATAGCATATGTGACGAGGTAATTAGTTTACCCACCTTTAAGATTATTACCATGAAGGATCATTAAGTGTATCACTAAGTATTTGTCATAGAGTTTGTACATACTACTTACAAACCTAGTGTCAAGTTGACAACACAATCTGGTGCTTACAAGCGTCTCCGATGGTCTCCACTTTGTAAACGTCATATCGATCAATGATTTGATCGAACTCGCTGTAGAGCTTGTTGAGTAGTGCAACAACCTGTTCATAGAAATGTAGATCTGTATACAATCTCGAAGACGAGGAACGCCATAAGATTTACTCGCAAATATTGGTTTGGGTGAGAGAGAAACCTACCTGAAAGGGTGTTGAATCCGAGGAGATGTTGGTAAAGCCAACAATATCACTAAAGTAGATGGTGCAGGAGGAGTAGGCCTCAGCTGGAACTGCCTGCCCGCTGCGCAACTGATTTGCAATTGTCTTCGGTAGCATACCTTTGAAGACCATGTCAGACGTAGACGGTGGTTAGAATTTTATCAGTAAAACTAACTCGACTGATAGCTACATACTTCGCTAAATATGTTAAATCGGAAGGGTCATTTCATTGTTTTACTTTCTACAAATAAACGGTAATGCTGAGTATTAAGATGCCTCTATGTTGATGCGGCTTTTTGTCGCCGGAAGTTAGTGTTTCTTTACTCCTCGTTAACTGCGAAATCTCCACAGTTAAACACCCTTATTTGCCGAGTTGGCTTTGTGAAATGCAAGTCTCAAGCCTTAGTGAGGAAATAATTAGCAAGGCATAAAGCAGCGGATGAACTTGCTATGTAGTAATTCGTCTGTGCGTTGTTTCTCGGCAATGAGATCTTGTGTTCTTTCACTGACAATACTTTCAAGATGAGCCGAATATTTCTCCATCTAATAAGGTATAAGAGTAAGAGAAGAAGTGGACTTTTGCTCGCCTCTAAGTGCTTTGTTTGCAGAGTAACTTACGAGACTAAGAATGATGTCGATTGGATTCTTCCTTCTGGGATTGATGAGATCCATCTTCGTTCTAATCACGTCAAATGAAGGTCTAACATCAACCGGACTCCAGCATAACTTGATGAGCTGCAACAAAATTGGAGGCATTTTGACGTTCAACGCAAAGTATGGTCAAGCGACTTACGTTAAGATAATCAGTCATATTCGGCGTGCTGTCATCAGCTGAGCCTTCAAATGCATCCATATTCGGCAGTGGGTAGTCCCACCACTGGACCATCAACTCCTGCCTCTCACCATCCGTCAAGTCAGGCGCGTTGAAGTCTTCTGGATCCTGGAGACGTGGAATTAGACTCATTCAATCAATTCAAAGTCTCGATTTTTTGGTGCGGCAGGACTTTGAGGAACTCACTTCACGGGATTGTGCCACTTCACACATAATTGTCCCATAGCTGAACGAGTCCATGTGGATGTTAGGTGCAGCTGGCGTGTTGCCTAGGTGATGGTAAATTGATGATATGGAAGGACATACTTCGGTACTCCGGTGCAATGTATGCCCAATTACTGGGATCCTCCAAAAAGGTCTCCAACTTCTCCTCCGGTCTGTTATAACGAATTGACTCCAGCCCAAAATCTACATTTAGTGGAGGTGATGGAAGGCGGTTCACCTTACCCGTGATTTTGCAAGTCAGACGATCATCGACAACACAGTTTTGGGAATTGAGGCGTCCATGAATGAAGCCGTGGGTGTGGAGGAATTCCATACCACAAACAATGTCTTGAATTAAGGAGAGTCTGATTTAAAGGTTGTAGAAGGTGGCAGAACATTGGAAGGCTTACTTAAAGGCCCAACTGGATGGCATCACCTCATTGCGAAATACATCTCGAAGGCTTCGTTTTGGACAGTATTCCATGTAGATTGCCAATTCTGGCGGTTCCAGACATATTCCAACCAACTGACACAAATTTCTGTGATTCAGTTGTCTAAAAAACGAGAAGAAGTAGACTAAGATGAAGAAGATGCAAACAAGGCGACAAAAATGGGGAGACACGATCCATATTTATGGAAATCAATAAAGTGGAACGTGAGGACTCACCGCATCGCCTTGATCTCCTTTCTAACATTCTTTGTCAGGAGGAATTGTTCCCGTTCAATGTATTTCACGGAGACCAACGTATCTCCACTAGATTGACAGGCAATAAATGCGTTAAATATACATCAGAGTATTTCGAAGACAACAAAAATACTATTTTATTTATTGATGTGGAAGCGTTTAGCGCGTTGAAGGAGCTGCTTGATCGCTTCACCGAGATTTGCACCGCCCGCTTTCTCCGCTTTGAGCTAGTCGTGGACACGCTGGAAGCTACAATTTCAACTACCTTCACCTACACCCAGAGGCCGAAATACTTCATACTTTCAGTGGGACAATGAAAGAGAGGTCAATGAAGCTCACATTTTGCCGTAGACAAAAGGTTTGCCTTCTTCATCCTCATCCGAAGTGTCTCCACTGTCCTCAATAATTGCGTGGGAGGTCTTTTGGTTGTCATTTTCAACTCAAACAAGAAAAAACACACACAAGCGAATAATGAGTATTTTGTAGCAGAAAATGAAAATTTTTATTTTTTTTCTTTAAGATGTGCTTACTTATGGTAAAGGCTCCACGAGGAATGATCCAAGAGTTGTCCCACAGAGCCAATCGACTTCTTCGAAAGAAGAACTAGAGAGGAAAAAAAGCAGTAAATAGTTTAAAAAATTACCATTTTAAAACCATTTTGACATTGTTTACTTTCCTTTTTCATTCAAAAACACTCATAAAATGTTTTATTTTTTACTGCTTTAATTATTTTGAGATAGAAGGTCATCCGAGTGCCTCTTGGCGTCACAACCACCGCGACGTGGTTTATGCAACAAAAAAGCAATGTGTTGACTCGCACCAAACCAATGGATCCAATGGATATGACGATGAGAAAGACCACTGCGATGATTGCTCCACCGACTCGAGCTTCCAGACTGCAGGTACCGCAATCGTTGGGACAGGAGACACACGTCTCGTTTTGACTTGAATCGCATACTCCATCGCCACAAACTGGGGTTAGAAACATTACAAGGGTAAGGTTAGAAAAGACAATTTGAGGCTCTCTTTTTCTGACCTTGGAGTGGAACTGAGGGGAGGGGAAGTGGGAGAAGAGAAAGAAGGAGGGGACGACCTCGTGTGTGCGTCAAATCACGTGCCGTGCCCCTGACCACTGGTACAAGGTGTGGCCTTAAAGAGGTGTGCGGCGAAGGCTACTTTGGAGAAATGGGTGGACAATTCACTCACCTGCTCGTAAAATGGAATACAATGTTGTGTAGGCTGACACCTTCAACAGTCCAATGAAGAAGGTTGCCAAAATAATTGTGCTTCCGGGCAGAATTAGCTCTAATTGAAATAAAAAAAGAAAAGGAGTAACAGCAAAGCATGACAAGCATTGTTGTAATGAGGGATTTCTGGCATGCTGAGGGGATTCCAACTTCCCTCCCAAAGCCAATTGTGCCCATTAAACCACCTCCACCTTTCATCTTTCGCCACCTCTGTAAATGAGACCAGCAAAGCTGATTTAAAAAAAACCCGCATGTTTAGCTCTCAAGTGTTGTCGCCGCGCCTTGGAAGGTCTTGTCACACCCCCCTTCCCCCTCCTCACCCCGTCACCAGACGATCTAGCCATGACATTTGCTCTCAAGTCACTCCTTTTTTCCTCATTATGCACCTTGCTCAAGCATTGCGCCTTAATTTGTCATCACAAGGTAATTTGTGTGATTACATGGCTTTACACCTTTTAAATGACTTTTTGCTGATAAAATGAGGGGCACAAATAGTCAAGACGGAGGACCTGGTATGGTAGCATTCCACGATGTTTGAGATACCAAACCAAATTGCGGCTTTGTGTGACCTATGATGATTCCGTCGGTTGGAAGCCAGGGTTTGCAGAATTTAGTGGTTGTATAATTTTCCGAAATTGGGCAGGTGTTGGCTATGAAACGCCAGACACAGCAAGTAGATGGTGTGTAGGGCTTTGAACACGGTCCGATTTCGCAAAATTTTCGAGCTTCTTGAGCGGACCTTTGTTACAGGAAAATCAGTGCAGATTTTCATTTGACTTACTTTATATTAGAAGGAAAGTAGTTATTGGCAATTGCCCAAGCATAAAATTCCGTTGTAAGGTGAAGCGCAGCAGATATTTCAATTTTCATGTCGGCATAGCTGGTGTTATAGATTAACTGGAGTACACTAGCAAAGACACCTGCAAAAAAACATCATGGAATTCAAAGTGGACACATGCTCCACCATGCAACTGAATTGTGTGAACTAGGGTGTGTCGTTCATACCTGGGCAATTTAATTCCTTATCGTTAAGAGAATCAGCATTGAGGTCCCAACAATGATGACCATCATGGTACTGTAGCTTTACCGGAGCCAAGAATGTTAGTATCACTACGGCCAGGGACGATATCATAGAGTTTCTGTTTGCTACTGAAATGCAATAAGTAGAAGTTATAATTTATGCAAAATTGTATAGAATTGTAAGATTTCTTATTATTTCCCCCTTTTTAAGGTTTTTGTCATAAAATGTGGATTTGAAGTGGGCTAGAAACTATCCTCATAAAAGCAGCTGTATGACGACGAGAGAAACGAAAGTATTATAGGGTTCGACACACCCAAATGCGATTAAATGCTACACTTTTGAGGTATAAAATAAAATGTCTTCTAGTGTTAAACTGCAAAGCGTTAGCATTCGTGATTTCACTGGTTTTCTTCTATCCACAGGTTGCTTGGTCTAACATGCACTTGATTATGCAATCACAACTCCTTACCCTAGGCATCTGACGCTACATTTTGAGAATGCTCAAATCTAGACTTTCGTTTGTCATTTGCGGTTTTTTGACGATGCATCAATGACTAAAACGGAGCTATGTGTCACTGGCTACAATCAGAGTGGAAAGCGTACATAGTTACTTAGACTAACTAATGCCTAAGGCTAGAATAATAGCACAACGCTTCATGCGCCTCACTTCATGAGAAGGTGTGCACAGGGCAAAAATCTTCAGTTAAGAAACGTAGAATCCATCAAAAACCTAATCGACAGGTGAAGAGGCTGGTAATTGAGTTGTGGTTGTTTGAGTTGACAAAGTATTGGCAAAAAAGCTATTTATGGTCATGGTAGAGGTCAACAGATGATCTCAGCTGTGGCACATGGCCTGAAGGGCCTGACTTTAAGACCATGTGCACAGCCGTCTTAACTTTCTGTATGAAGGGTAAAAGCTAGCGTTGCCAAGGTTAAAATCAGAAAGGCAATTTTATCAACTATCTTCGTAGCTATTTTGAAAGGCTTTACGCTACTGCTTTTTCCATTCTCGCATTACCGAACCTTTAAGACTTGGCATTAAATAAAAGTTTCAAATATTGGGGCAAAAAATTGAAAAATTTGGAAGGCACCCAAGAAACTCACAGTTCGGATGAAGGTACTCTAGCCTGTGCTCAGAAGCGAGTGAGGTTGGAAGAAGGCATATCCAAAGTGGAGGATAATTACAACCAGTGTAGGGTTGTTAACTCTACAAACGGAACCGCCCATAACCACTAAAATCTGACAAATCGGATTTAGACCGGGTAGTTCGTAGTGGCAATGGGGCGTGTCACCTGCACACACACACACAAGGAGAGGAGAGCAAACGTGTACTCGATGTTAAAGAGGGTTTGAGAGGGGGGTAGGAAGGTGAAGGGAGGGAAGGCGGACTGAGGGGAGTATAGAGGGAGGAGGAGTTAATTGCTCTTGTTGACCGAATCGTCTTGCATTCTCCTGGCGTCAAAGGCATCGCTTTATTTCTCAATGCCAAGAATTTCTTGCTGAAAAATCGATCGCCTTCATTGATTGGTTGAGACAAGAGACTGGCAATTTAAATTGATGAAATCAGTTTGTTTTTATAAGGTGTTTTCGTTAAGATAAGTAAAATGCGTTTTCATAAAAGCTATTTGTATTTTTTAATTTTGTCTACTCCTTTTTAA